ATTCTAATAGCAATTTTAAGAGATATACGATTATTTTTAATTTAGGCTAATTTAAACGCCATTTTGAGATTATATTCGACTGTATTTCACCAAACATCAGGCGGCATCCGAAGCTGGAAATCGAAGCGAAAATTTTGAAACCCTTATGTATATTTACATCATTATATATTTCTTACCCCACCCCCACATGATCCTATATCCATCACCAATCGTATACACATCGAATTGTGCTAATTTACTACGAAGTTACGCAAAGCAGCATCTACTATCTAAAATATGTACTGCGTGACTCTTAATACGTCCCTGCCGAATGTTACAGCGTTCGATGATCACGTGGTCTTGTTTATGTCCGGTCTATCTCTTATCTGAATATACTGTAGATAAAGAATCATTTCATTATGTAATATGTAATATCCGTCTATTAGTAATTACATAATCTTACATTAACCATTTGTTTGCAAAGCCTACTTAAATAAAATAGAAAAATAAGAAAACACATTTTTCTTTATAACTAAGAAAACAAATGTAACGTGTGATATATCGTAGAGAAAGATGCTATCACTTTCTTTTAGGACCTAAAAATAAACTTGATGATGGTTTCTCAACAACGAAATGTCTTGCACAAAATTTAAAAACACCATCATGTAGTGCCTAAGGATTGCCAGTCAAAAAATTACATTAATTTTTGATATTTCTTAAAATTTAAAACCTGTGTAATCCATGAAATTTGTTTTTCAACGGCATGCAAATACGCCTCCAAAGAACGCAAATTTTGCCTAATTTAATCTAAGCCGTATCTCCTACATGTATTAAGATCCCTATGCATAGCCTGTAGTCACCGCCCTACGTAATTTTTCCGTCACATCACCATATAGATGAAAGACGGCCGACTAGGAGCGGTAGTTGCCGAACTTGTGTTAAAAAAAGCAATCAACAGGACTTACCGTCGAGGATATTATTGAGGGCGGATTCATACAGGCACGTGCTGCTCAGGAAAATTAGTCTGCAGACAGGATTACACAAGTTATTGGACGCATTATGGAATGGAGCAGCGTAGCGAGCAACCAAAGAAGATTACCGGTAATTGAGCTGTTTTGGTGGCCGGTAATCGATGATATTACGACAACGATACTATAGCCCAATCGGAAAGGCTCTTTTTATACAGTATATTCAGATAAGAGAGATAGACCGGACATAAACAAGACCACGTGCTCATCGAACGCTGTAACATTAGGCAGGGACGTATTAAGAGTCACGCAGTACATATTTTAGATAGTAGATGCTGCTTTGCGTAACTTTGTAGTAAATTAGCACAATTCGATGTGTATACGATTGGTGATGGATATAGGATCATGTGGGGGTGGGGTAAGAAATATATAATGATGTAAATATACATAAGGGTTTCAAAATTTTCGCTTCGATTTCCAGCTTCGGATGCCGCCTGATGTTTGGTGAAATACAGTCGAATATAATCTCAAAATGGCGTTTAAATTAGCCTAAATTAAAAATAATCGTATATCTCTTAAAATTGCTTTTAGAATATTGATTAGTATGTTTTTTGATTTCTAGGTAAATATGTAACCAAATTAACACGTTCAAAACGTAAAAAAATGTGCATGGTTGAACATTGTCAGAAAGTAGATTCTTGAATAGGTTTTGCCAATATGGGTTCAAAAATGTCAATAATTAATTAAAAAATACAGTAGCTTTATAATTACTTATAACTTACCGAATTTGATGAACGACATCTTTTATTGGAAAGATGAGCTTGATGAGCTTTCATCATCGCTACTGCCTGAAGCACCAACGTCAATAATGAATGGCTCGACTTGTTCCTCTAAAATATTGTCCAGTTCCCACATTCTCTTTTCAACTTTGTCTTTCACGTGCTTAATACAGTTTTCCCATTTTTGCGCTGTTATTAATTCTAGTGCTTCTTTGAAAAGTCCTTTGAGGTCACAAAATTTAAAAGTTGTATTGTGCTTAGCTATATAATTTTTAACCTCTGCCCATATGAGCTCAATGGGATTGAGCTCGCAATGGTATGGAGGTAAACGGAGCACAGTTTTATTTTGACTTGCTGCCATTTCGTCAATGGCGTATTTTTGATATTCCGCCTTGTGATCCTTGACAATTCTTAATAATTGTACTTTCAGCATTGCTTCTTCAAAGTTGATATTTTTCGAGCGGAGCCAATTTTGAACATCAACTTTCCTTGAAGCCGTTGTTGGGACCTTCTCCATTCTTCGAGAATGATAAGGCGCATTATCCAACACAATTACTGCGTTTTCCTCTAAGTTCGGTAAAATTTTTGAAAACCACTGTTCAAACGATTCGCCATTCATTTCCTCGTGGTAATCTCCAGTTTTCTTAGACTCAAAGCACCACAGACCGTCAACAACAAATCCATCCTCACTGCCAATATGGCAGATAATGAGCCTTTTCCCTTTACCTGGAAATCGAAGTACTAACTGGTGTAGATTTATTTCAATAAGCGAACCTTTTTCAAATGTTTTCATCACATTGAGCGAAAAAAACATTGAGACATGAGTATCAGATTGCTATAATTGGGATTATTTAGTCATATTGAAAGAAAGATTATTGAACGTCGTATGATTACTCAGCGCTTCACAATTTAATTTAAAGTTATAAACCTTTAAAAAATGAATGATCAGGAACCTGAAATACGCGCAAATATTAATATTAACAAATTATAACTTTATAAAGCTTAAAGTATGAATTAAAATGATTAGAAATATTAGGAACGGTACACAATATAAAACTTAGTAACTTTTTTTAAGTTTATAATATTCGACATATTTTAAGATTATATTAAAAAATTATTGAAATATCGAAAACACATAAAAACATGGCTTAAAAAAGTTCTAACAAATGAAAATGACAATAAAACGTCCACGCATTTTATCGAAAGTTATAAAAGTTTTGTTACTTGTAATATGTTTTATCTGCCCCCTGGAATTAATGTTTAGAACCTTGTTCCCAAGGTTTGAAAAACATCCGATTGTTGTCTATTACTCGTATTTACCTGCTGGATTTTTTAATCCGGTGGACAGTCCATCTAGAAAGGCCCTCCTGGATGAAGTTACAGAATCATCAACCCATACTTTACTTGTAGTGTGTCCTGCGTTTACCCACGTTTCATCAAGGTAATAAATCTTCCTGTTTTGATTTCTATATTTCCTAATTTTTGTTAAATAATCCCTCTTCCATAGCACAATTTCTTCTCTATCCAGTAGTAAACTATTACGACCCCGTTTTTTCCATTTGAAATTTAAATGCTTCAGTAACGCATGGAAAGTTTATCGTTCGAAATTTGGCAACTTTGTATCTCCATTTACCTCCTGCAGTACTTTATCTATAGTAGGTATTTCATTCCTAAAGAAGAATTCATGCACTTTCCTCCTAATCGCATGCTTATCAGCTTCATCCAATGATTTAACAATACTTTTGCGATGTTTACTGGTCATTGGCTCAGAAAAGGTGTGATTTGTTTTGTATTGTCTTAACACATTAAACACTGATGCGCGACACACCCCAACTCCTCGCGCTCGATCTTATATATATTCAAAATGACCTCTTTCATTTCTGCACTCAGGTGTCTTTTTTTAGAGCGTTTCCTAGGTGGACTACAGGAGTTTACAACTTCATCGGCAGTATCTGTACTACTGGGCATTTTGCGCAAGCAGTTGATAACAATAACAATCAATAACAAGGTATAACAATAACAACGACAAACTCAACAACTTAATAAGATAACAAGCGAAAACGTCCAAAGAAATATCAAATTGCAATGATGCACACGACATACGTAACACGTCTGAACCTGAATGTGACTCTGCCTTGATACGACTGCTCTGCCGGCATTTAATTGCGAATTGACCAATGAGGGCTCCTGTTTTACGTCGAGACGGCGGCGTTAGCGTGAATATCACCCGAACCTTTTGTTTACATCCGGTCTATCTCTTATCTGAATATACTGTAGTGCGACATTAGACGGGCCAAAATCACATAACTTTTTTCTCCTATTTTGATCACCAGTAATTTGAATCTCTCTTTATTAATCAGTACTGATTCCTGTGACACAAACCCTGACTTTCTTTTGGCAAATTTCACAATGTATTGATCTATTGTGCTTGAAACTATCTAATCCTGGAACTATAATTTCACACGTTATATCTTTCCTTTTTAGCGACTTATTATTATGTTGAAATCCTCTAAAAACATCATTGGTCCCTCGTAAAGTTTGTCTCTCCTACTTTTAACCTTGATTGACAATGTCATTTCTTGTTGACGTCTCGCTTGAGGTGTATGGCTTCTTCATTCGGCTTCCAAACTTTGGGATATTGGGCTCTAATCACCAGTTTTCTTACCTACCTTACCTTTAGTAGTTTTTTTTTGTTTTGAGGTACTCTGTCCATTTTAATGTGATTTTAACCTCCAACGTGGGAAGTCATTGAGGAAAACCATCATCCGTACTCTTCCAGCCTCGTAGCTGCTTTGTAGCCGATTTTGCTGGGAACCATACCTTTTTCTTGAGAAAAGAACGCTGTTTATATCACGAATAAGGCAAACATATCTAAATAGATATAACAGCATTTAAATTAACAGTGTCTCACTGTTGCTGTACAAGATTGTGCTGACTCCTTTGAGGACATAAATAAAATTACAGAATGCTTATTCTTTCACAAACATCGAATAAATATTCAATTTATTTTATCGTACGAAAAAACCAGTTCCTTAAGCCAGCCGTGTTAGCAGGGAGCTCGCGCGCCCTCTACTGGGCAGTAGCACGACTACTTGTAGCCTTGCCTACCGTCCTGTAGAGTGCGTGACATCTCCCTGTCAACAGTAACAGGGCAAAGAACTCCTCATTAGTGAACAATTGATCCAATTTAATACAGGATATCCCAAAATTTGGACACAGGTTAAATAGTCATTTCGGTACTGTTCATTTTCTAACATTTCAATGAAACACTAAAGATACTCCACATGTGATATTTAATTTGGCTGACAACGTATACTGTTACATTTACAATTTATAATGTTTTCTTCTTTCAGCACTTCATCCAAAAATCTGTTCCAATCCTCCTGCCAATGTTGAAACATATCGTTCTTCTCACTGGTAGTCGTCGCGCTGTATTTGATGGAGTTTTCGGCCAGCTGCTTCAAAAGCCTCAAATCGTCATCTCTGCTAGCCATTCCCATAAACGCGATATACCAGTCATAACTCAAACCTGTAAAATACCACTATTTTGTCTTACGTTCCTGAATCGTACAATCTGGTGATAGATATAGCTTTCGTTCGTCCGATCACAGTTGGCCAACCACGGACAGTTGTTTCGTGCTTTTTGGCAACTCATCTAAAGTGTATCTAACGAAGCTACAAAGTAATCGTAAACAGTGGTTGATTCGTGATCAACGCGTGATCGGTAGCCATGGCGCTCTGTCGGCCTCTTCCTGATTGGCTTGTAGCGACGCGCCTCCAGACAAAGTCGCACGGTTGCCACGCTCGGCGATTTTTCGCCAGAGTGGTTGATCACATTCGCATGGATCACAAATCAATCTGTTGGTGCAATACGTGCAATAACTGTTGTAAAGGACATTATATAACAATAAATGGCATCACAAAGGTATATTCCAATTTGATCTGCAGCAAATTATGAACGGCATATACGGAGATGCGAAAACAAGCTCAAAAAGGTGAAGAAAATTTTTGTGCAATCTTTATAGTTAAATTTTTCCTAAGAGATAGCATCAGTGAGGGAATTTTTTTCTATTGTCTTATTATTCACATTAATGCGATGTCGAGGTATGTGGCCCTATCGCAATTGAAAATAAGGTTTCGATAATCCTTCCATAAAGTTTCGATGAGTACATCTGAAATAACCTTGAGATATTCTTCAGGGAAATACAAAAATCTCCTTTTGTGTTTTTTTGTGCAGATTTATCTATTAAAATCCTATCCGCAATCTATTTTCCGTGCACACACCTTCAACCGAATGTATGCCATATATGATATTACCGTTTCCAACTTTCACCAAGGTTAATAGGAACCATAACAGCTCCCTACCCTTCCCCCTTATAAGAATATCGATTTGTAGCCTCACATTTCAAGGTTAGACTTCTTGTAATGTTTCTGTTCAACATTCGGCGATTTCTGACAATTTTCCCAATAAAACATGATCATTGTGACATTAAGCCTGGCAACGCTGCATAGTGGAGGGAACTCTCAGCGTCACGTTGATGGTTCGTCACCACGCACAGGATTGTAATCAGTTACGGATACCCGTTTATGAGCGCGAACGTTTTATGCACGTCTTGACTTGATTTTTATTGCGGAAATTTAATATTAGTCTAAAATGTCTGATACAGATACAGCTGATGAAGTGGTTGAAATCAGCTTAACGCCACCCAGAAAAAGGGCTAAAAAGCTTCATCTTAGCGCAGGTGAAAAACAAATTATTCTAAATATCTACAAGAACCAGATGCAAGAGAATAGTGGATTGGCTATAGAAAATATCGTATGTAAGGTTGCTGGAGTAGGTCGATCAAATGTTTACAAAATCTTGAAGGAATGTAGACAAAATCACTCACTATCTGAGCCAAAAACATATCCAGCGAGGAAAAAAATCATCGAAAAAATAGATGACTTTGACAAAAGTGCCATTAGAAGAAAAGTACATCACTTTTTCTTAAGGAATGAAATACCTACAATAGATAAAATATTGAAGCAAGTGAATGATGATGAGGACCTGCCAAATTTTCAAAGATCTACGTTCCATAAGCTGTTGAAAGAACTAGACTTTCGATTTTTGAAAAGAGGAAGGAATAGTTTATTGATAGAAAAGGAGGAAATTGTTATCTGGAGGAGAGAATACCTTAGAAAAATTAGGCAATTCCGCGCTGAAGGAAGAAAAATTTATTATTTAGACGAAACATGGGTGAACGCGGGGCATACGCAGGGAAAGGTTTGGGTAGACAGATCTGTGAGGTTCTCAAGGCAGGCTTTTTTAGATGGCCTTTCGACGGGATTGAAAAATCCTGCAGGTAAGTTTCGAAGTACGAGGCGTGTTTTTAAAGTAAGTACCGTTTTGACCTAAAAGAACAACAAGTAAATTTTGTCCAAAAATAATTTATTCACTTGAAAGGCCATATTTTACTCTACTTTCCTACGTAATTCCCATTACGATTGAGGCATTTATCGTATCTTGAGACCAGCTTTTGTATGCCATCGTCAAAGAAGCTTGCCGCCTGAGTAAACAACCACTGCTTCACATTTTTGGCACCCAGCGTGAACACAATTTCCGATAATTTAAACGTTTCGTAAAGAACACTTCTTGAGACAGCAGGAAACTGTTCAGCTAAGGACGAAATCGTGAATCGTCTGTTCTCTTTCACTTTACAGTCCACTTTTTGAATCAGGTCATCGGTAATGTCTGAAGGTCTCCCACTTCGTTCCTCACCATGAATGTTTGTGCGGCCATCTTCAAAGGCCCTAACCCATTTCTGCACCATTCCATCACTCATAATGTTTTCACCACTGACTTGGTGATGAATTTCAACTGATTTGAAGCCTTGAACACACAGAAACCGTATTACAGCACACACTTCGCAGTCTGCGGGATTCACGATCGGTGGAGGCATTTTAAAATCACGCAAACAGATGTAGACTCGATCGGACGGTTCAGTAGTGGCGTCTGCGGCTTCCGAGCAGATGTAGCTACACGACGCGCATGCGCTAAACGGCAACCGCAGCGCTGTGGCGGCGTAATTTAAAAACGGTACTTACTTTAAAAACACGCCTCGTATATGAACTTTTTTGGATGCAGATAATTCATTTTCTGATCGAATCAATGATTTGGAAGCTCCGAACTCAGTTTTGCTATCTCATCCAAGTTTCTGAGTATTTCCTTCACCCAAAAACTAATCTAAGACCCTATCCTACACTAACCTAAAAAGAGTAAGTTGCTTAATTTCGTCATTTAGTGCGCTCGCTGAGAAGTAAAATAACTAATTACTTTCAGGCAAGGGAAAACGCCTGATCATTTGCCACATAGGTAGCGTAGATGGATTTGTTCCTGAAGCATTGTGGGCATTTGAATCCAAAAAAACTGGAGACTATCACGAAGAAATGGATGGTAACTCATTTGAAAATTGGTTCAAAAAATTTTTGCCGACACTTGATGATAACGCAATTATTGTGATGGATAATGCCCCGTACCACTCCAGAAAATTGGAAAAAATTCCAACAATGGCCACCAAAAAGGCAGACATTCAACAGTGGCTTGTCTCAAAGAAGATCGACTTCGACCAAACAATGGTCAAAGCTGAGCTGATAAATATAGTCAAGCGACATAAGTATAAATATGGTTTAAAAATTGTTGACGAAATGGCCAAAAACCAAAATAAAACGATTCTCAGGCTGCCTCCCTATCACTGCGAACTGAATCCTATCGAGTTGATTTGGGCCGACATCAAGCAATACGTGGCGTCAAATAACAGCACTTTTAAGTTTTCTGACCTTAAAAAACTGTTTAATGTTGCTGTCGATAGAATTACGCCAGCAAAATGGAGAACATGTATTGACCATGTCCAAGAAAAGGTTGAAACCAAAATGTGGGATATGGACAATATCATTGACACCCAAGTTGAACCCCTTATAATTGACATCAACAATTTTGCTGAAATGGTGAATACAGAATCTTTTGCACTGATTCCTAATGTCGAAATATGATTAGAAAGGCGTGGTATATTCCTGATAATTTACTATGCTTTTGATAGAATTTACAGCAACACATATCTTGTACGACATTTTTTGAGAGATCAGTCACAATAGCTTGATACGGCCCTGTAGCGTCTCCTACGGTTAAGTTCTTGATCACGTGCAATACGGGTGTATATGTTTGATTTTACTTTGTTTCTTCGATGGATACAGTTTAGACTTGGGCTTAGGTAGGACAAAGAACGAAAGCTCAGTAACTATCCTCTACCTAACGTGGCAAGTAAAAGCAGAATCCTTCTATCACTGACACCTCTTTCGGGTTTAATCTTACGTACAGGATGTCCAACGGGAAAGTTCACATTTCAAATTTGAATTACGCGGCAAATGTATACGCGAGGAAGTGAGGAGAGGTATTGATCGACGCGTTCGGCGCGCGGGATAAATAGTCACAATGGAACGTTGGACCGGAGCGCAACGTGTTACAGCATTCGCCGACCAAGAAATGTCGGTTTATCTATAGTCAAAAGCGTATTCCAATAATCAACGAACACTGCAGGAGCTTAATGACAACATTCAATGATATTTAAGAAATAAAACGAATATGTTGATAGTAATAAATATTTTCTTAAACTGCTGTCTTGATTCGGGTCTAAAGTCCGTCGTCGGTTGGAAGAAATTCCAGCCGTCGACAGCAGTTTATCAACTGGCCGCGAAAGCCTTAACCAATTAGTCAAATATTTTCTTTTCATAAGTTTGTATCTTTTTCTTAATAAAGTGAAGTTTCCCACTGGGTGTATTACAAACCTTTAGCTCCCCAGAATGTAGGATCGTCAGGTGCTATCACCACAGGGTAGTCGTTGGCTACCAATACAGCACCAGGATGATTCCTGATATCGTCCACCAATTTCAAAACTTGATTAGAAATAGGACAGATCTCCACAGCAATATCCTTATGCTTGGCCATTTTCATTATTTCGGGATGTTTGACCAGTGCGAACGCATGGCCTATTCTTTTCGTATCTAACAGAACCGCATCGAGCAGATTCAGATCCGTAGTCGCACCTTGCCAGTTAGTTTCTCCGGCGTGGAAGAAGAAAGGCGTTCCGTTTTGTTGCATCGGAATTAGTTCGTTGATGAAACTTGTCAGTGGAAAACCTGTACATGATGATACGTTTTCAGTATACTTAAAGGTTACGAGCAACAAAATAAAATCTTTTTTCTTATCAAGTACAGTATATTCAGATAAGAGATAGACCGGATGCAAACAAAAGGTTCGGGTGATTTTCACGCTAACGCCGCCGTCTCGACGTAAAACAGGAGCCCTCATTGGTCAATTCGCAATTAAATGCCTATGCCGAGCGGCAGAGCAGTCGTATCAAGGCAGAGTCACATTCAGGTTCAGACGTGTTACGTATGTCGTGTGCATCATTGCAATTTGATATTTCTTTGGACGTTTTCGCTTGTTATCTTATTAAGTTGTTGAGTTTGTCGTTGTTATTGTTATACCTTGTTATTGATTGTTATTGTTATCAACTGCTTGCGCAAAATGCCCAGTAGTACAGATACTGCCGATGAAGTTGTAAACTCCTGTAGTCCACCTAGGAAACGCTCTAAAAAAAGACACCTGAGTGCAGAAATGAAAGAGGTCATTTTGAATATATATAAGATCGAGCGCGAGGAGAACGAGGTATCAACCATCAAAGAAATTGCTGTGAAGGTTTCTCACAAAGTTGGGGTGTGTCGCCCATCAGTGTTTAATGTGTTAAGACAATACAGAAAAAATCACACCTTTTCTGAGCCAATGACCAGTAAACATCGCAAAAGTATTGTTAAATCATTGGATGAAGCTGATAAGCATGCGATTAGGAAGAAAGTGCATGAATTCTTCTTTAGGAATGAACTACCTACTATAGATAAAGTACTGCAGGAGGTAAATGGAGATACAACGTTGCCAAATTTCAAACGATCAACTTTCCATGCGTTACTGAAGCATTTAAATTTCAAATGGAAAAAACGGGGTCGTAATAGTTTACTACTGGATAGAGAAGAAATTGTGCTATGGAGGAGGGATTGTTTAACAAAAATTGGGAAATATAGAAATCAAAACAGGAAGATTTATTACCTTGATGAAACGTGGGTAAACGCAGGACACACTACAAGTAAAGTATGGGTTGATGATTCTGTAACTTCATCCAGGAGGGCCTTTCTAGATGGACTGTCCACCGGTTTAAAAAATCCAGCAGGTAAGTACGAGTAATAGACAACAATCGGATGTTTTTCAAACCTTGGGAACAAGGTTCTAAACATTAATTCCAGGGGGCAGATAAAACATATTACAAGTAACAAAACTTTTATAACTTTCGATAAAATGCGTGGATGTTTTATTGTCATTTTCATTTGTTAGAACTTTTTTAAGCCATGTTTTTATGTGTTTTCGATATTTCAATAATTTTTTAATATAATCTTAAAATATGTCGAATATTATAAACTTAAAAAAAGTTACTAAGTTTTATATTGTGTACCGTTCCTAATATTTCTAATCATTTTAATTCATACTTTAAGCTTTATAAAGTTATAATTTGTTAATATTAATATTTACGCGTATTTCAGGTTCCTGATCATTCATTTTTTAAAGGTTTATAACTATAAATTAAATTGTGAAGCGCTGAGTAATCTTACGACGTTCAATATTCTTTCTTTCAATATGACTAAATAATCCCAATTACAGCAATCTGATACTCATGTCTCAATGTTTTTTCGCTGAATGTGATGAAAACATTTGAAAAAGGTTCGCTTATTGAAATAAATCTACACCAGTTAGTACTTCGATTTCCAGGTAAAGGGAAAAGGCTCATTATCTGCCATATTGGCAGTGAGGATGGATTTGTTGTTGACGGTCTGTGGTGCTTTGAGTCTAAGAAAACTGGAGATTACCACGAGGAAATGAATGGCGAATCGTTTGAACAGTGGTTTTCAAAAATTTTACCGAACTTAGAGGAAAACGCAGTAATTGTGTTGGATAATGCGCCTTATCATTCTCGAAGAATGGAGAAGGTCCCAACAACGGCTTCAGGGAAAGTTGATGTTCAAAATTGGCTCCGCTCGAAAAATATCAACTTTGAAGAACCAATGCTGAAAGTACAATTATTAAGAATTGTCAAGGATCACAAGGCGGAATATCAAAAATACGCCATTGACGAAATGGCAGCAAGTCAAAATAAAACTGTGCTCCGTTTACCTCCATACCATTGCGAGCTCAATCCCATTGAGCTCATATGGGCAGAGGTTAAAAATTATATAGCTAAGCACAATACAACTTTTAAATTTTGTGACCTCAAAGGACTTTTCAAAGAAGCACTAGAATTAATAACAGCGCAAAAATGGAAAAACTGTATTAAGCACGTGAAAGACAAAGTTGAAAAGAGAATGTGGGAACTGGACAATATTTTAGAGGAACAAGTCGAGCCATTCATTATTGACGTTGGTGCTTCAGGCAGTAGCGATGATGAAAGCTCATCAAGCTCATCTTTCCAATAAAAGATGTCGTTCATCAAATTCGGTAAGTTATAAGTAATTATAAAGCTACTGTATTTTTTAATTAATTATTGACATTTTTGAACCCATTTTGGCAAAACCTATTCAAGAATCTACTTTCTGACAATGTTCCACCATGCACATTTTTTTTACGTTTTGAACGTTTTGATGTGGTTAGATATTTACCTAGAAATCAAAAAATATACTAATCAATATTCTAAAAGCAATTTTAAGAGATATACGATTATTTTTAATTTAGGCTAATTTAAACGCCATTTTGAGATTATATTCGACTGTATTTCACCAAACATCAGGCGGCATCCGAAGCTGGAAATCGAGGCGAAAATTTTGAAACCCTTATGTATATTTACATCATTATATATTTCTTAACCCACCCCCACATGATCCTATATCCATCACCAATCGTATACACATCGAATTGTGCTAATTTACTACAAAGTTACGCAAAGCAGCATCTACTATCTAAAATATGTACTGCGTGACTCTTAATACGTCCCTGCCGAATGTTACAGCGTTCGATGATCACGTGGTCTTGTTTATGGCCGGTCTATCTCTTATCTGAATATACTGTAGTGATCTTACCTGCGTCCTCCTGGCCAACCAAATCGAACCCAGCAATAAAATCTGGATAACGTGTCTTCAGCTTCTCATAAATCACAATATGATCTTGTATCGTTTTGTTATCCAGTTTTCTGTAAGGAGTATAAATAAACTTTGCACCTTGAAAATCAGGATAGTCTTCCATAAACTTCTTCAATGTATCGTAGTATAATCCCACAACTTCAAACGGGTCGTATATTTTTCCATTGGTATCATATACTTGAGGAAGAATTCCTCGAAATTCTAAATACTTCACGTTATCCTCGTAAAGTTCTTTCATTGCTTCGTAGAAGTATTCCCTCCATATTGGCTCGTATCTGCAATATTATAATCATAGGCAAAGTAGCCCCGAGGTGCACCAGCAGCATTTTTAGAAATAAGGTATTTGATGCATTTTTAAAGACCCAAATAAAGTGGTGGACCCATGGTCCAAAACTCAATAGATTCTTGTCTAAATGGCTTTATAATTTACAACTTTAAGTTCTTTATATCGACCACAAACGTTTTTGAATTGGGTAATTAACAAATAAATGGCATTTAAGTTTTTCTAAGTTAAGCCAAAATTTGTAGTCAGTAAGTAAGTTTCATTAAATTTAATATTTAAAACACACATGACAACAGCGCGTCTTCCGACACTCTTATCGAACAGGCAATCGATCGCAAACGGTAACAGTGGTTAGTTATTGTTCGCGTACGTCGTCGTGTTTATTTACAACGTTCTCGAATCAAGAGTTCGACGACACGTTGTTAGTTTACGGTGAAGCTCGTCAGAATTCAAATCTTGCAGCTCATGTTTATCGCGATAGATTTCGCCAACGGGTACACCGAGACAGAAGGACATATACAACGTGTGCAGGTCTTGTTACCAAAAGACTATCCTCGCAGACTAACATGTACTTTTACGCGAGATGGCATATTAAAATTCCACAATACTCACAGGTGGGCCCAAGAAACTTTCTGCTTCTTTTTCCTTTCTATCATAATATCGCAAATTGTTTCTATGACAAACGGGTATGGCCGAAAGCAAGTATTTCAAAGTACTTGGTGTCATCATCTATCAAACCTCGTTACGTACCCTAGCAACCCGGTGACTGCTACGAAGATGTCCTCGAACGCCTTCCACACTTTGTTCAAAGTTGAATACGCCACGTGCGGATCATCGACAACCAACGTCAACCTCTTCTTCAATTCGCAATCGAAACTGGAATTTGATTGTCGGAGGGTGCTCACCAGTTGCCAGTCACAATCCTTGTCTACTTTGTCCCCGAAGAACTGGAGTCTATACGGGCCATCGTTCGTACAGACGTACAAATTATCCTTATAGGTCAGATTATAGAGGCACTCGAAGGATACTAGGCCCATATCGTGTGAATGCAGAGATGCTCCTTTAGGAAGCTTCTTTATTAGATTGAACACCTGCAACGTGTCGCATACAGGTAGAGTAATTGCGAAACTAGACGAGACGAAAGTCTCAGTGATATAAGTGTGACACCCAGAAAAAACAATTTCCTCAAATTTTTTTTAGGCAAAATAATAGTCCATATTTATAAAAAAAAGTTTTACCTATTGCTTTCAAAAAATAAAGCAATTCCTTCAATGTATATGCATAAAAAGAAGTGAAGGAAAAGGTCACGCTTCTGTAAAGTAAAAGGTGTTAACGTTTTCTTATTTATACTAAGTGACATATAAATCCGAACACCCAGTTTAAATGGTTTTATTGGTGAATGTATTTATCTTACTGTAAATAACAAGTGAAAAATTTTTCAGCCTTATCAGTTGGACATTCCGGTTTTTATACTGCTTTTTTTTAATTCACTAACGCTCTAAAAATGAATATTTCGGCCGCAGTAAAGAATCAACGTTGGCGGATTTTGGTTCTTGACATCCTTTACGATCGGTTACGATGCCTAGAGTACGGAGACCTGTACGATTTCGTCAACTTAGTGAGTTTGATAGGGGCCGTATAGTGGGACTTCGGGTAGCTGGACTTTCTTTTCGGGCAATTGCAGTTAGAGTGCAAAGAAGTGTAGACACTGTGATTAGGTGTTGTCAGGCATGGCTTCGAGAAGGCCGTACGCAAAGAGCAAGGGGCACTGGACGCCGCCGTAGAACAACAGACCGTGAAGATCGCCGCCTAAGATTATTGGCCTTAAGGGACCGTTTCTCCACTATCAGGTCCATTGCAAATGAATGATTTGCAGAACACGGAAGACCTATTGGCATGAGAAGTGTTTACCGACGAATGAGAAGTTTTGGCTTGTTTTCATACCGGCCACACTGGGTCCTCCCTTTAACTCGAGAACACCGACGTAATCGCCTTGAGTGGTGCAGACAACGGTCACTCTGGGATCAGGAATGGAACAGTATTGTCTTTAGTGACGAGTCTCGATTTTGTTTAGGCATGCACGATGGTCGTACCAGGGTTAGAAGGCGACAGTTTTTTGTTGAAAGACATGTTCATCACACTGTTGGAGGTATGGTTTGGGGTGCTATAGCTTATGGTTCCAGGTCACCTTTAATCTTCATCAGAGGTAACATGAACGCGCAGCGTTATATCCACGATGTTCTAGAACCCCATCTTTTACCCTATCTTGACACCCTGGCAGATCCAACTTTCCAACAAGATAATGCCCGACCACATGTTGCAGGAGTCACAATAGACTTCTTTCAACATAATGATGTCACATTGTTACCATGGCCACCAAGATCACCCGACTTATCCCCAATTGAGCACGTTTGGGATATGATGGGTAGGAGATTGCTCAATTTGCAACGTCCTCCTCAGACTCTAGAAGCACTTCGAGAGGAGTCGGTGGTTGCCTGGAATGAGATACCACAGGAGGACATTGACCACCTGATCAGAAGCATGCCTAGGCGCGTTGGAGAATGCGTAGCACATCAGGGTGCATCCACACATTATTAAAGGTCAAAGGGCTTTAAAGCAGTGCAATCATTTTGAAATTTTTATCATTTACTTATTATGCTTCATTAAGTACTTATACGAAATTTTATTAAAATATAAACCATTTAAACTGGGTGTTCGGATTTATATGTCACTTAGTATATTATCTCCAACAACAACATACTCTTGCGAGGCTTTTTCGTTTGATGCCTCGTTTGAATTTTTCACCTTGGCAGAGTAATATTGTTGTTGGAAACGAGCAACTTTCAGTTGTTCAACTAAAAGTAATCGTTGAATCTGCGTTGTCGTTAACTGCCTCGTCTCGTCAGACTCTTGTTTGCCCGAAGCAAAGGTAGACTTCGGACTAATTTGTTTTATAGCAACCTCTTCAACCGATGTGTAGGAACGCTGTCTGTTAGCTACCACTTCAGGCATAATCTGATGAGCGTCGTTTTTCACCATAATGTCACCCTTTGGAGTAGGTAAAGAGGGTTGACTTGCCACGCCAATTGCAAGAGCCCCTAATAAAAATATACATGCATGATAAGTACCTACAAGATAATAGTAAAGACCTGAATCTATTTCTCAGCTGGTATCCGACTTAGTACAGGAGTTATGTCCGCATCCATAGCCTTTAACATAACTTTCTCCCAGGACAAAATGGGCTTGTTCCCTGTTTTATTTTTGTCAGTTTTATTTTTCAGTCGCATTTCACTTTTTTCATAAAAGCTTTAACAAACATCTCCTTGCCAAATAAAGTAACGTATTCCTTAACGATATCAGTCAATACAGCAGTTTTCTTCTTTTTCATCGCTGGAACTTGAGATTTCTCGAGAATATCCGACTGTTTCAGCGATAAACATCATCTCGTTAGGGGCATCTTCGGTAACATCCTGTTCACTATCGGTGTCAGACATTTTAAATATTTTATTCACTTTAAAATAGGTGCACAAATAAGCTAGATGGATCTTCTTTACATCAATTGACGTGCGAACTGTTTTTAATTATGAGACAAATAAGATCAACCCCATCAGTTACAGACCACGTACGCGTTGATTGCACGCTGCAAGTCATCGCTAATCTCCGTACCTTTTACTTTATTTTCCCGAAGCATTTGCTTGCAAGGAAGAGGTAGAGATTATGAATACGAATTTTACTTCTACCTTTTGCTTGTACCTTTTACTTCAAAGTAAATGCTTCATTTTCATAAATACGGTGTAATGACTATATTTAAAGCTGCTGTGCAATGTCAACGTTTTATTTTTGTTTTCGTTTGTTAAAATGTTATCTCTTAGTTTTTGTGAAGAAAGCAGTTTCTGGGAGCTGGATAGTATAGATATTTTTAGTTATTGCCCTTTCATCTAGTAGTGTTAAGCATAACTAAATGCCTCGAGTTCAAAGACGTCCAAATTATCACCATGTTATCGAGTTAGAATTATTGCCTATCGAGATGTTGGTTTGTCCTATCGCGAAACTGGATGCCGTGCTAATTTCACTGCAACGATGGCAACGCGTGTGTGTCGTGTGTGGATAGAAGGAGGTAGAGGAACACGAAGGAGGCCAACTGGTTCACCGAGGCGTACCACAGAGCCACAAAATCAAGTTTAAGAAATTATTTTTTCTGAGTGTAACGCTTTTAATGTCACTGGGTAGATAAAGATTGCATATTTGCGGGAAAGTATCGTAATCGCACAAATTATTGCCTCAAGCAAAGGGTGAATTGCAGTTATTGTTGATTTTCCGAGGTAGGGATCGCATAGTGGGGAAGAATCTACTTATAGGCAACATGAAATACAAAAAAGTAAAGTTAATGTTACGATGTCATAGTCCAGTTGACATACCAGTGCACCTTGTACCATGATAATTATTTCATTCATAACTTGCCTTCCACCTCCACTAAGCCTGTAACGAGTATCATATTTTATCAGATGAAGTGAAAAGTAAATAATTTTTGGTTTCGTCTCTCAGATATTTGGATCGTTTATTATCTACGGTTGAAAGGCCCAGTGGTAAGTGCTTTTTTATCTAATATATTTTCCTGATTGAATTACTTAGCATATCTGCCTCTCGGTGCTTGACCTGTGACCAATACTTTTCAAACAAAATATTTGTATTTGTAGCAACCCTTGTAACTACAAAAAGCTCCCCGAAGAGAGCTCTACACTACTCTATTTCCCTTGTGCAACCAAAATTTTAGTTGATTCTTTGATATGGAACCCTGTCTATGCATGTTATACAGGGTGACCCCACATGGTGCTGGGTACATACACCGCAAAATTTTGTGGGCGATTGGGGACAGTAATTGATGATTTTTTCTGGAAACCGCAATGCTCTAAGGGCTAGGGTTACCGAGATGTGATGTTTTTCGTTTTTGTGCTGAATTACCTACAATTGCGCATATATATCGTTATAACTTTTTTGTTTCTACATGTAATGACATAAAATAAACGTGAGTCTGTTCTGTATTGTATACTAAATCAGATTAGATAAATAGTTTGTGCAAATCTTCTCATACAAATGACTTATAACCTACCAAAGTCGTACAATCACGTGAAATTTATAAATAATTACACAATTCGATTATAAAGAAACTATACCCTTCTTGATACCAAGCGTTACTTACAAAACTTCTGTGATTTATTACCTTTCTAACGATATACTACACATCATATAAAAAGTAGGGATCAATAAACATGACATTTACCACGCCAGCCCAAACATTTAATCAAAATCTATGTTGACCGCATCGTTGTTCTTTTAAATTTCCTGTATCGCGAGGTTTGCCAAATTTCACACGGCTGTGGTCGAGAATATCAAAATAATCTGTGTAATAACATTTTAATTTTTAAAACTTTTAAGCTTTTATCAGGCAATTTATATACAGGGTGACTTTGAAGTTGAGTCATTAATTTTCAGATAATGATTGTAGAAGGAAGATAAACCAAAATATCTGTGTAAAAATTTAAAAAAATTAAAAAATGTTACCTTGTTTTATAAAGTATCCTCCCGACAAGTATTTCAGTGCGGCTCTGTATTTGATCGTGCGGTCTTGGAGCACCGGCCTGTGAGGTCTTAAGTCACCTAATTCACGAGCCCTTTGTACTACATTAACAAAGGCACGAGGAGTTGGTTGCACTCGATTGGGAAACCGATTCGCACAAATCTGTGATGCCGCGGCAGCATTTTGTAAAGACTCCCCCCCCCCCGTAAATAAGAACCATGTCCACAAGTTCAGCATTTTCGTAAACAAGTGCCATTTTTGATTTCGTTTGAGCCACGCAACAGACACCACTATCCACTCACGCGTTACCGACTGACACTGACTGTATACAACTGAATAAAATAATTGTAAAAACATCGTTCCAAATTCTTTTGCTTTTTTGTTTCCGATGCGATGAACCGATAAGGCGGATTATATCCGTTGTCGCCAAACACGAGCACATAATATTATTATTGAGACAGGGCGGTACTCAAACTTCCAAAGGGCTATAACTTTGTTACTTTAATTTTACCAGAAAAATGGTAAAGGAAAAAAACATTTCTTTTGATCAGATCTACTCACTGTTAAAATAAATGACTCAACTTCGAAGTCACCCTGTATAGGTGATTTTGTGTATATCAACTCCTTTTAACGAGTTCTACAAGCAGTTAACCCAACTTTGAAACCACCCTGTATATAATTTTTTGATTTCAAGTTACCTTGGATCTCTCAATTTCCTTCTTGGCATTGAAAAAGTGCTGCCCAGCCAGAAAGTTCTTTGGGTGAACCAGTCCATCGTCTAACTCCTTATATTTATATCGCATCAGTATCTTGTTCACCTTTTCCTCTCTGTCAGTCAACCGTAGGTGTCCGCCAACGCTTCGCGTCTGTTCCTTTGCGATGATTGCATCCCTTTCGCTCCAATAGTCTGTAAAAAATGGCATCGCTTCGTTCAATTTTGCACAAAAATTATCTCTAGCAGTTCGAACAGAATTTACGAGTACTCCTAAGCAGGGGCGGATGGCCCTTAGGTGCTGCAGAGCTGCCAAAACTTTTGTCTTAACAGAAAAAAGCAGTAGTAATTTGATCATTATTTATTTTCCATGTTATCAGACATACCGGCCTGTCCCCGCAAGACACGGCGTCGAGGGTGTTTTGTATTGCGAAAGCATTATAATCGACCAATTGTGTACTTGTCATTTTCGTCGCGACCGCAGCGTAACATTATTCATGGGCCACTTGAAAACGGTCTGTGCACTACTACGACACAAGCTGCACGCGGTTGCTTTTGTCTCTCTCTACAAAATCAAATGCGCGATTTAAGCATTAGCATGTGCTGCAATTTATGCAGATCCGTACAGATCTAATGCGAAGTACGATATCTGATTGGTCGGTCGGTGCTCGGTCCTCGGTATTGGCATATTGGTCTTGTCCCAAATGTTTAAAATGTGCTTCCGACCACACGACACATTTATGCCGCCTCACAGGACAAGAGGAGCGAAAGTGTGCGAACTGTGGAGGGGCGCATCCAGCTAACAGTCCCACTTGCAGATTCACCCCCAGGCGAAATCTGGAAGTCATAGCGCAAAGACGCAGCAAGTCATGCGTGGAAGCAGCCGTCTCAACATCTTCGGCTGCGCCCTCTGTTCAACCCAGTTTAAACACGCAGAATGTGGACCTAGCAACTGCGCTTAGGTCCCTTCAACAAATTATAAGTCCCCTGATTAGCACCACTCAGGCATTGCAGGCGATCTTTCCGCAGCCATTGAATGGCTAACTACAATAGACAACCTGCATTTATCATCTGTCAGGTATCTTGGAGTCATCATTGACAAGGAGTTGACCTGGCAGAAACATACTGATATTGTGAAAACAAAATTCCAAATTACCTTTCGGCAGCTTTATCCTCTGTTGTGCAGAAATTCAAAATTAAGTTTGATCAACAAGATTCGGTTGTATGAACTGGTCAAAGACCCGCAATCACGTACGCATGCGCGGCTTGGTGTTTTCTTGTCAAGACGCACATGCAGAGACTGCAAGTCCTGCAAAACAAAACCCAACGCACAATCACTAACGCCCCTTGGTACGTGTCAAATGAGACTATTCACAGAGATCTTGATATCCTATATTTAAGGGATTACGTAAGACAACAGGCGTTATTATCAAGCGGAATCGCGATTCAGTAGACTACACAGTCGAGCAAGCTCGCAAACATTCCAGGGCGCGCCTCGCATTGTGATCCAAATTAAATTGTAAATTCAGACCAGCCAAAATTATTTCAGTATTCAAAACCGATCTAAATTATTTTTTGGAGTTACAAAATAATTCTAGTAGTCAAAGCAATAATGCTTAGGCTTTCAAATGATTTACTTCTTTTCTTTGCTCTATTTCTTCCTTCCTTACTTTCCTTCTTTCCCTTTTCCCCCTAAACATGTTTGGTATCTGGGTAGCCAGACCTGACAGACTAACAGACCGACGAGACTTTTAACTAAGAGCAAAGGTCCACCGGACCGCTTTGACGAATAGTAGTCAAGGAGCTTTTCATATTTCAAGTTTGAAAGTTGACATTTTTGATATTGGTAGGAAGTTGGTTGTTCAATAAAATCGGACAAATTATTTTTAAATTTGTAGTTCATTTTAGATAAATAAAATCTTTGTCGGAGGGTGTATGTTTTTATTTTATTTATTTTCTAAATTGGCCAGGAGTAAATAAGATTCGTAGGTGCCTGCCCCGCTATAGTGAATTTTCGCCTATTTTTCGCTTTGTAGCATATGCAATTATAATTCATAATTATGTTTTATATTGTTTTTGAATTTTGATTTGTTATAGTCTGTAGCATTTCCACTCATTTTTTTGTTCTGTGAAAAGTATTAATATCGGCACGGGTATCACGTATCACGATTTTTTTTTACATTATGCTGTTTTTTTTTTGACATTATGTAGGTTTTTCTACAAGATATTAACTAAGCACTTAGTTGTACGTGTTGCCTAAACGTAATGAGGCTTGTTATCAATCTTTGGCTCTGATGTGATGTAAAATCTGCTTCTGAGATGGCATTACTGGAGGTGTAAGCTGTTAGAGAGATAAGAAATAATTATATTCACTGTACACTGTCGAATTACAACCCATATACATGCTAACAGTAATTACAGACAACGCGGGTGCGGTGACGATTTCCCGTAATTCTCCCCAGTTTTTCGTAATTTATAACTTTGAACATAAAATAACCCGTCGGACACAGCCAATAGATATACTTCATTGGCAGCATATTCAGTAATGATTTTCTCACAAAGCAAATATCACTGATTTTATACACATTCAGACCAATACACATCCAGATGCGATCTTGCTATTCAACCAACTTTCTTCCTAGAGATAAAAACTACAGACAATGACTATTTGGCCTCACAAAACATATGCAACCAATAATGCGTGCAGTTTAGTTCAGTGATTTCTCCATAGATGGTCGTTCACAACGATCCTAGTGAGCAAACGTGGAATGACTGTCCTAAAAACTACCTAGTTTGCAAGATGACATCTTATAGGTTTTTTTGACGTTTTATAGGTTTTTCAAATCAATTACCGAAATGTCAATGTCAAGACGTTCAGTAAAGAAAACATTTTCATCATGGTGAGGCACAGAACAAACAATCAAAATTTACTACCGAAGTTTCGAGTCGGTGACTGCAACTTTAAGAGCGTTAGCGCCAATTTTTGGTCGTTATTCTCGTCCCAGTAGACAAGCGTAGTTATTGTTTGGTAAAAAAATTCAAAGTAGCTCATAGCCGATATTGAACGAGAGATAGCGGCCATTTCTGACGAAATGTGTGGCCGCGTCATTGAAAGATGGCTTCACCGAAGTGATCGTGCCCGTGGTGGACATATGAACGAGGTCGAATTCCATACATAAATGTTTTGAATATACTTCAATCCAACAACAAAATTTTCGAGATATCTCAAGTAATTTGTGTTTTATTTAAAAAGAAAGTCGTCAGGTACTTAACGGAAAATCCTTTACTTGGTACATTTCACTGTCGTTGACCAGACAGAACACGAGTGTTAGTCGACAATTAAGAAAGAATAAATATTACAAACATCACTAGTTACCTGCTGACACAGAACATACGAAGACACAAAAGCAGAACAGTTCTACACGGGTCGGCATCGTTATAAAGACAAGAAAAACAGTCTAATTTAAGATCGGAATGCAGAGTGTAAATACACGTGTTCAACTATGTTGATGATTTTGAACCTTATAGGGTTAAACAACGATATTTAAACGATAATTGATTCTCATTAAATAATATGCAGTTACGCTGCACACTTATCAAGGCTAGATAGATTGAATGATCCGAGAGCTGATGAAGCTTGGCGCATTTTGTTATTGTGCAAGCATACACAATATTTTAGATACGTTTCTGCATGTGATATATAGGTTCACTTGACACTTGGAATGCTAAGAAAGGCACAGCTGGATGCACATTTCAACAACCACTTAGTTCATTCGAATATTGTTCTAAAAGTTCAAAGGTCGAAGTGTCTGGATGTTGTGATTTTGTGATTAGTACCCGTATCAAGTTCAGGTCATTATTCGATCAAATAGTGAGGATTTTCACTTTTCACTATACTAAGTGACATATAAATCCGAACACCCAGTTTAAATGGTTTTATTTTAATAAAAGTTGGTGAATGTATTTATCTTTCTGTAAATAACAAGTGAAAAAATTTTCAGCCTTATCAGTTGGACATTCCGGTTTTTATACTGCTTTTTTTTAATTCACTAACGCTCTAAAAATGAATATTTCAGCCGCAGTAAAGAATCAACGTTGGCGGATTTTGGTTCTTGACATCCTTTACGATCGGTTACGATGCCTAGAATACGGAGACCTGTACGATTTCGTCAACTTAGTGAGGCTGTATAGTGGGACTTCCGGAAGCTGGACTTTCTTTTCGGGCAATTGCAGTTACAGTGCAAAGAAGTGTAGACACTGTGGTTAGGTGTTGTCAGGCATGGCTTCGAGAAGGCCGTACGCAAAGACCAAGGGGCACTGGACGCCGCCGTAGAACAACAGACGCCGCCTAAGATTATTGGCCTTAAGGGACCGTTTCTCCACTACCAGGGTACATTGCAAATGAATGGTTTGCAGAACACGGAAGACCTATTGGCATGCGAAGTGTTTACTGACGAATGAGAAGTTTTGGCTTGTTTTCATACCGGCCACACTGGGTCCTCCCTTTAACTCGAGAACACCGACGTAATCGCCTTGAGTGGTGCAGACAACGGTCACTCTGGGATCAGGAATGGAACAGTATTGTCTTTAGTGACGAGTCTCGATTTTGTTTAGGCATGCACGATGGTCGTGCCAGGGTTAGAAGGCGACGTGGTGAAAGGAGGAATCCACAGTTTTTTGTTGAAAGACATGTTCATCACACTGTTGGAGTTATGGTTTGGGGTGCTATAGCTTATGGTTCCAGGTCACCTTTAATCTTCATCAGAGGTAACATGAACGCGCAGCGTTATATCCACGAAGTTCTAGAACCCCATCTTTTACCCTATCTTGACACCCCTTTCCAACAAGATAATGCCCGGCCACATGTTGCAAGAGTCACAATAGACTTCTTTCAACATAATGATGTCACATTGTTACCATGGCCACCAAGATCTCCCGACTTATCCCCAATTGAGCACGTGTGGGATATGATGGGTAGGAGATTGCTCAATTTGCAACGTCCTCCTCAGACTCTAGAAGCACTTCGAGAGGAGTTGGTGGTTGCCTGGAATGAGATACCACAGGAGGACATTGACCACCTGATCAGAAGCATGCCTAGGCGCGTTGGAGAATGCGTAGCACATCAGGGTGCATCCACACACACTTTAAAGCAGTGCAATCATTTTGAAATTTTTATAATTTACTTATTATGCTTCATTAAGTACTTATACAAAATAAAACCATTTAAACTGGGTGTTCGGATTTATATGTCACTTAGTATATGTTGAAGGCTGTAACATGACTTACAGAGCCGGGTTGCCAGCGGACAAATTGTTGCTCGGTTTTCTCTGTAAAGAGAAATGTCGGAGCGTTTTGGATATTGACACAACGGCCATTGGTCGACGTGGTATCCTAGGTGTGTGGAATCGCCCAGCTTCCTCCCGAGACAATCGTTGGAGTCTGAAAGTATCTCATAGCAAGAATCTCTATAGATTGTTACTTTAAAGTTGTTGTTGTTTTATTCAATCAAGAATGTTTGTCCCAATCCGTACATATCTTATCATTAAAATATAATCATGTTCCCCACCGTTGTTAAAAAAGGATCCGCGTAAATCCAGTTTTTTTATCTAGCCATGTGTTACCAAATACAATTTAATACATCAAACACTAGCACCAATCTCATTGACGAACTCCTGAAGATGGCAGCATAGCCTGTCGAAAGCTTGAGTATTTGTAAGCCAGAAGGATACACCTTGCTTAATTTGTGGATATCCCTAATGACAAGTCTTTCATATATAAATATACAGGGTGGCGCAACGAAAACGAAACAGACGCATTTACTGGCAGTTCAGTTTTTTTTTTTTGGAAAAACGCCCAGACCCGTCGATTTTGGTTTCAAGGGGGAGCTATAGCGGGATACATGGATACAGATCACAAAATAGTTGGCTATCTAACATTCAAGGCGCAATCAAGTACATAACAGTTATCATTCTGCTCGATTATCTCCTAACCATAGGTGACGACAGAGCTTTTGGGTACTGACACGGCAACATAATATCCTGGCTTCTGGGCTGATTTTCGTAACAATCAAAGACTTGGCATATCTGTTTAAGCACCAGATTATTAGGTATTCATATCAGGCTTGACTTCCATGCGGTAGAAAACCACCATTCCCCTAGTTATGGACATAGGTGTGACTTCCACGCGATAGGATGCTGCGGTTCCCCCATGCAATGTGTTATAACTTTTCTAATAGTATAATTGAGAAATATCGTCGCTATCATTATATTGCTTTATGATCAGTATCAAGACAGCTAATCAACATAATGAACAGACAGTAGAGTTGTGCATGTCACGAGTCGGAAGGATATGGAAGGTACTCAAAAGGCTTTTCCTAAAAATAGGCCTGGCCTCGACAACGCAGTTCTGTCGACCGTATCTCTCGCTAAGGAAGGAGAACTCCCCTTTCGTTATAACACCAAGTAAGTCGCTTTCATATTATCCTGACAATAAAGCCTTTCTTAAGTTGTTCATGTACTACCCTCGTAATAAAAGTGAAAAGGTACAGGGTAGTACTTCAAACAATATTTTCTCATGTTTATCATTATTATCATCGTCGTATCCTATAATTATTGTAATCGCGAAAATGACCCACGGTGATCCGGACCCCGTCTACTCCGACGCCCCTCGTAACCCGACACGCCTATCACTGTTGATTTGTTCCAGCCGCGAGTCTAGGTTTCATACCAGAATCAGCCGGTTATCGTTTGGTACGCTTTATTACGCAAGCGCTGCCTGGTTGTGATTCCAGAATTGTTTCTATGCTGGAGAGTGGTTAGAACGATTTTGTAGCTAGTAAGTGACAGATAGCTCCTTCGTCGCTATTCTTCGCAGTGACAGAGAATATCAATAACTTGACTTTGAATAGAAGATACACAGGCTATCAGAGCATGGTTACAGTTTGATGGGAGATAAGAGACAACCACCTGTCAATAGTTCTACTGCGCAGGCAAGATTCGGTAGGTTCCACTTTCAAAAACTATTCAAATGTACCAGTAGTTCAAATCAGCAGTAGTTAAAATGACCAGTAGTTCAAATGCTCAGTAGTTTTTCTCGGTTGTTGATGTGCTGGAGCGTCCTGGACGTTCGTTATTTTTAACGCCTTCAAGTCCATCTCGGAAACACTTATACGACTCGTAAACTATGGTTTTACTCACAGCAGAATCACTATAAGCATTTGCTGAAATGTCGCACACTTTATTTCATTTTTACGAAAAGTTTGATATAAATTCGTTAATCCATTTCTTTTAACTAACGAAAAGCGCCGAGTTCATACAAACACGTCTAACCTTAGCACAGAAACAAAGTAAACAATGAATACAAGTGAAAATCATACTTCAAAGGCATGTACTTTTCAAAATTAAAAAATTTCCCTCATTTTCTGAACGCACCTCGTACGATCTCAACCGATCCTGCCCGATAACCCGTTTCTCCAAATATCTCAACATGCAGATCACGCACCGAACACGTGCTGGTTATGTTTTGGTTTACTGTCTTTCTTGGATAATCAGACATTAGTAGCTTTTCTATGAAATGTGCCATCAGCTCTGCGCCTATGCGTAGTGCGATGTTCCAAATTTAACTCCGCTTTTTTCGTTATTTTTTGTACAATCAATTATAATGTACAGTTACGGTTGAATGGAAGATTGAGTATATGAAGGATTTGATTATAATCAATAAAAATTTGTAGCGTATCAACAAGGTAAATATAAATTTCGATATTGTTATCGGTTCGGGCTATATCTATAAAATAAAAATGATACATTCAGGCTAATTTGAAATTAAACCTAAAACTTGATGTGTCTTCTACAGGGTGACTTTGAAGTTGAGTTATTAATTTTCAGATAATGATTGTAGAAGGAAAATAAACCAAAATATGTGTGTAAAAATAAAAAAACAAGTATTTCAGTGCGGACCTGTATTTGATCGTGAGGTCTTGGAGCACCGGCATTCCCTCTCCTGTGAGGTCTCAAGTCACCTGATTCACGAGCCCGTTGAAATACATTAACAAAGGCACGAGGGGTTGGTTGCACTCGATTGGGAAACCGATCCGCATAAATATGTGCCATTTTTTATTTCGTTTGAGCCACGCAACAGACACCACTATTCACTCACGCGTTACCGACTGACACATTGACTGAATAAAAACATCGTAATCAGCGTTTCAAATTCTTTCGCTTTTTTGTTTCCGATGCGATGAACCGATAAGGCGGAGTATATCCGTTGTTGCCAAACACGAGCACATAATATTATTATTGAGACAGGGCGGTACTCAAACTTCTAAAGGGCTATAACTTTGTTACTTTAATTTTACCACAAAAATGTTAAAGGAAAAAAACATTTCTTTTGATCAGATCTACTCACTGTTAAAATAAATGACTCAACTTCGAAGTCACCCTGTATAAAAAGGCGTCAAGTAGATTGACTCTGCACTTCCCAGGTTTCAAATCAAATAAACTGTTCACCCTGTGTTTAGTAGTTTATGCCAATGTCAAACCTTATTAATGTTTTTCTGATTATTTGTCAATAAAATTTCGTGAGAGTGTTATCGTTTCATTCTTGATATAATATCACCTCATTGCAAAAAAATCAAGTCGAAGAAATTATTTTTTCTGCGTGTAACACTTCCAATGTCACTGAGTATATTATTATTTTCGGTAGTGTTGCGTCTTGTAGAACTTCAGATTTCACTGTTTTTCCACTTGAAACTTATGGAGGGTAGTGTGATAAATTATTTTACGTCATAAAAAGTGTGGGGGAAGCACGCTTTTCCTGAATTTTTTACCCCAAAACACTGTATTTTTAGCAGTTATTTCCCCCTATTATTTCCACCGCCATCTACCATACGACGCTGAAGTCTGTGGATATGTCAATATATGAGAGACGCTTGCCTGCGGTGTTGCCGGATTGAGCTCCGTATTTAGGGAAAAATGTGAAAAGTGGAAAATTTATATACATTTATATTAATGAAACACAAAAACAAAAAACTGAAACAAACAACAGTAGTACAATTAAAAGTGATTCTTACTAAGTATAAAACAAAAAATAACAAACAGCAGTAAAATAAAAAGCAATTCTAAATGATTATAAAAACCAAAAATTAAAACAGTAGTAAAACAGAAAAACAATTCCATTTAATTATAAAAATTAAAAACAGTAAAATAAAAAGCAATTTGGATAGAATGAAATTGTTCGTTTTACTTCTGTTTTTACTTTTTGTTTTGTGTTGTCACTTAGAATTGGTTTTTATTCAATATGGAATTGTTTTTTTTTTGTTATACTACTGTTTTTATTTTTTGTTTTTTATAATCGCTTAGAATTGCTTTTTATTTTACTTCTGTTTGTTATTTTTTGTTTTATACTTAGTAAGAATGACTTTTAATTTTCCTGCTGTTGTTTGTTTCAGTTGTTTGATTTTGTGTTTCATTAATTAATAAGATGTATATAAATTTTCAACTTTTCATATTTTTCTCGAAATCCGGAGCCCAATCCGGCAACACCGCAGGCAAGCGCCTCTCATACATGACATGCACAGATGTCTACGTCATACGGCAGATAGATGGCGGTGGAAATAATGATGGAAAGAACAGCTAAAAATACAATGTATTGGGAAAATCTTTTCATGAAAAGTGTGCTTCATCCACACTTTTTTGTTTCTAAATAATCTATCAGACTACCCTCTAAAAGTTTTAAGAGAAAAAACAGTGAAATCTGAAGTTCTACAAGACGCAACAGCACCTTATTTTCTTATTACTACTATTATTATACAGGGTGACTTCGAAGTTGAGTCATTTATTTTAACAGTGAGTAGATCTGATCAAAAGAAATGTTTTTTCCTTTACCATTTTTCTGGTAAAATTAAAGTTACAAAGTTATAGCCCTTTGGAAGTTTGAGTACCGCCCTGTCTCAATAATAATATTATGTGCTCGTGTTTGGCGACAACGGATATAATCCGCCTTATCGGTTCATCGCATCGGAAACAAAAAAGCGGAAGAATTTGGAAAGATGTTTTTACAATTATTTTATTCAATTGTGTTGTATACAGTCAGTGTCAGTCGGTAACGCGTGAGTGAATAGTGGTGTCTGTTGCGTGGCTCAAACGAAATAAAAAATGGCACATGTTTATGCGGATCGGTTTCCCAATCGAGTGCAACCAACCCCTCGTGCCTTTGTTAATGTAGTACAAAGGGCTCGTGAATCAGGTGACTTAAGACCTCACTGGGGAGGGCATGCCGGTGCTCCAAGACCGCAGGATCAAATACAGGTCCGCACTGAAATACTTGTCGGGAGGATACTTTATAAAACAAGGTAATTTTTTTTTTATTTTTTTTTTAATTTTTACACACATACCTATTTTGGTTTATCTTCCTTCTACAATCATTATCTGAAAATTAATGACTCAACTTCAAAGTCACCCTGTATATATATCAGTATCTGGTCACTCACAAGATCTACCTAACTAGATTATTTTTCTCGGTATTACTGTTTATAATGCTGCTAGTCCACCAGAATGACATCATCAATGGCTCTACTTAGTATCTCATACTATATCTGCATAATTAAACATTTCAACTGCTATTGTTTACAGCGGCTAGGTTTCCGTTACTTCTCTGATAAGAATGTAACTCAACCAGCTGATAGATGTCTGTTGATACACTTCATATATCGTTAGCCAAGCAACACACAATAGCTTAAAAATAAGTACGTTGCGCCGCGACTTAAAATCCACGCACTCGGGGATTCCCCGTAATAAAAGCGGTTCGTGCTGAACTGGACATCGACCAGTTTTCTCGTTTTGTTTACAAACGCGACAGCAGAAATACGGTGGGTGTGAGTGTCTGCGATGGAAGGTGAAAGTGATTTTAGTGAGAAAAAAAGACGCATATTGAATGCGGAAACAGTGCAGTTTATCGGCGGACGACTCAGTCTATCTGAAAAAGAAATCCGTGCCAGCGAGGTCATCCTCAGGGTGAAAAGGCTCGAGCTCGAGGCGGCGTACAATGACCCAGGTACATTTTTGCCGTCGCAGCACTTTTTATCGTCCAAACAGCGCATAGAAAAGTCGAAGGTGTTTGATATAATCAAGAGGATGCCTAAAGGAGCCTCACTCCACACCCACTTCTTAGCCGGAGTTGCTACCGAGTTTCTCATAGAAAATATCACATACCAAAAACATCTTCACGGCTGTACGGTGAACGACGTTTTCAAGCTCAAATTCATTTCAAATCCCGCATCCGAATGGAAAGCGTTGGAGCAATACCGCAAGGAGAACGCTAACTTTGATGTGTGGTTAAAACGACAACTCGACTTGGAAGTAGCGAACCCTACCTCCGAATATACGAACGCTGAAGTCGTTTGGGGTCGTCTTAAGAAAACATTCTCCACGAAATACGACATGGTTTCCTACAAACCGGTATTCAAGACATATATTCACCAATACCTGACAGAGCTGTATTTAGATAATGTCATGTATGCAGAAATAAGAGGAACTATTCAAAAATTATACGATTTGGACGGAAATGAATATAGCAACGCAGACTTTTTTAAACTTTTCATCGAAGCAATAAATGAATTCAAAAAGATCATCCAAATTTTATCGGGGCTCGTTACATTCATTCGATATACAGAGGTGTCGCTGTTGACGTAATGCAAGCATCTGTGAGAGAAATTATAGAAATGAAACAGATGTTTCCGGATTTCATAGCTGGTTTCGACTTTGTCGGCCACGAAGAAGAAGGTAATTCGATTGAATATTACCGCACCTACATCCAGGAAGCTTTGAAATATTTGAAATTCATCGTGCACGCAGGAGAAAGCAGTTGGTATGGACACACGGAGCTAAACATACTAGACGCAATCCTTCTCGAAGCGTCAAGAATTGGCCATGCTTTCGGACTTTCCAAACACCCTTTGCTATCGTCTATGGTCAAAGAAAAAAATATTGCCGTTGAGCTGTGCCCCATCTCCAATCAGGTGCTCATGTTGAACCAAGACCCCAGGAATCACCCTGTAATTCCGCTGTTAGCAAATGACTTCCCGGTTGTTATTTGCAATGACGATCCTGCTTTATGGGGCGCCACAGGTCTCAGTTACGATTGGTACGTGGTGTTCATGGCAATGACACCGGATGGCGCTGGCTTGGAAGTTTTGAAGCAGTTCGCTATGAATTCCATAAAGTATAGTGCCATGGAGGAACGTTTGAAAAAAGAAGCGTTGGAACAATGGTGTGAATCTTGGGAACAGTTCTTAGATGATGTAATAGCTCAAGTCTAGACGCTATAAATTAAGAATTGACACTTTAATGTCTGTTACGATATCCTTACTAATAAAGTGCATATAAAATTTAATAGTGTGCAAGATATTTGAGATTAAATAAAGGTGAAATCGTCTCACACTTTTTTACGCATTTTAGTTACTCTCACTGCTGAAGCATCTAACAATTTACATTTTTCTAATTCATAACTTGTTGGAATTACCGGATTAATGTACAGTGAAACGTTACCTTTGAAATGTACGGCTGTTTCAACAAAGTCAAAAACTGTTTATTATATTTTATTCCTACCTCACTTGAAATGTCGCAGTCATGACCATTAGCAACCATTTTGCTTGTAGCTTTTTTTGTATACGAAAGAACCTTCTTAAATAAAAGAGTACAAAATGAATCCGTAGCGTAAAAAAATACGGCTCGGTCTACCTGGCGTTGACAGATGCGTCAGGATTGCGTGTCACTTGTCGCTTTACTAGATAATCAGCTGTTATTCTACCGTAATGGATACTCGTGAAGAAGGCAGTACTACACTTTCTACCGATCAGCTTCTAGACTTGACTGTCAAGTATTTGAACATTCAAGTAGTATTGATTTAACTTGTCAATTTTGTAATGTAAATACGAGTAGATCATGAAGACATACACATCGAAAATACCTTATTTGTAACAAGTTACAGATAAAACAAAATACATATTGAACAAAATAATTTGTTTATCGTATAACAAACAATAAAATGATAAAGCTGTTAACACATTAAAGTTTAGTTTTTGAATGTGACCAGTAAGTCTTTTTCATGGATTTTATCTTTGTGTTAGTATTAGAAATAATGGAAGAGTCCTGATACATGTCAGTCGTGGTTCTGAAAAATACTATATATAGATATTTATCATTTTTCAAAAATTGGTCGATAATCTATGATCACCGGTGTGCCCCACCCCAATCTAGAGAGCTCCTCCCCCCATCCTCTGCCTCAGGGCCAGGGTTCCCATATTGTTCAGGGCGCACAAAACTCTGAAGCCTGCCCTGCCAGACGCTAAAAATAATAGTGATATGAATTACTCTGTATAAACGTAATTACATGCCACTACAAACAATGTTTTGATAATCTGTTCTGTGAATGTCAATTATTTACGTGCACCAAAGCATTACTGGAGTATCGCACCATAGAAACACCATAAAAACTGGGGAACCCCTTCAGTTGAAAGCCATTCTGCAGGAATTTAGCAGGAGCCAAGATCCTAAAGAAAAAGGTCAATTTGTTGTCCGACCTTATGAGGTTGTCCGAACAGTCGCTCAGGCATCCGTTACGACAAGGCTAAGTAACTACAATTGCCTCAGTTTATTTACGCATTTTCTCTGTTGCATTACTCATATTTTCTATTATAGACAAAAATGTTTAACATATCATTTTATCTTTAACCAGTCCGACCTTGAGAGGTTTTCCGAAATAACGCTTAGGCAACTTACATGACAAGGCTGAGTAACTACAATTGCCTAAGTTTATTTACGCAGTTTTTCTGTTGTATTACTCATATTTCCTATTATACATACAAAAAAATAACATTTTTTCTATTATGTTAAAGCTATACAGGTATCAGATAACACGACCCTTTTTGTGGAAAGCTCAAGAAATATCAACTAATAAAAATATAAATAAAAAATGACATGGTATGTGTAAATTAATATACTTCTTTTATTGCTAAATAAATCAGAAGCAAATAACACTTACGGTTGTTAGTTTGTTTTATACACTATTGTTCCTAGTTAATAGACCGTGTCAAGAATGATGTATTGCGCTTTTGGGAAACGATTATTAAGGAGGCTCAATGGTCTAGGGGTATGATTCTCGCTTTGGGTGCGAGAGGTCCCGGGTTCAAATCCCGGTTGAGCCCGTTTTTTACTTCTTTTCTGTTAAAAAGCAATACCATTTTCTATTTCAGGCTAAAAAAAAAGGAAACATTATGCAATAAATTGTTTGGATTTACAGCAGAAACGTTGCTACTAAAATGTTTCGCCTAAAAAACGTGAAAACTAGAATCTGAAAGCTTCAAAATGCTTTTTTAAAGTCTAGATACGACCATTTTTCAACGAAATTCAGTCTGTCAAAGATCACCGAAAAATTTGGATTTTTCCCTGTCCCTGAATTTTTTTGAATTAATTTAAATGAGTTGATGTACTCAATCTAAAAAAGGTTTAATAATTGTATTTTGGCAACTTGAAACGTTTTAGAAATCGGAATTAAACTTTACTAAACACAGTTAATTAATATTTTAATTAACCTAATAAGAATTTTGATTGCTTTAATTACACAGATGAAAAGCCAAAAAATATCCTAAATAAAATCAACAAAATATTACTATTTTTAATGAGCTAAAACCGGAATAAACTTATTTTTTCAATATTAGTTCAAGTTTTAGAGATACAGTAATTATATGTGTTCCTGCTGTGACAGTGTTAATATACTGTAATTCACGAGAATGCACGTGCTACATTTTTATATTCGGCAAGGAAAAATGATGTAATCGGCATGATTGTGTTACGTTATACATACGTGTACATTATATTGTTTTATATTAGCCATTTTTTCCTCAGTTGGCTGACAGCGTTCATGCAAGATGTCTCGAAAGTGTGTAAACAATCCAGATCAGTTTTGTTACGTGTGTGGTGATGTGACTTTTGCGTCTCAGAGACTGTCTATTACTCCACTAATAACAAAGGCATATCAACTTTATTTCGGTTGTTAACTAGGTGATCAAGACAAACAGTGGGCACCCCACATCTGCTGTAATACATGTGCTTCAAGTCTGAGGAGCTGGTTAAATGGCAAAAAACGGTGTATGCGCTTTGCTAACCCAATGGTTTGGAGAGAGCCTACAAATCATATTAATGATTGTTACTTTTGCATGGTACCTTGTGTTGGACAAGCCACAGGTATGTCCAAGAAAAAAAAAATCGGTTATTAACTACCCAAACATACCATCTGCGATGAGACCTGTGCCTCACAGTGACGAAAATCCTATTCCAAAACCCCCAGAATCCTACACTTGCGAATCAGAAAACGAATCAGATCATAGCGATCGAGTGATTCGTCAGGAAGAAGATATGCCATCAACGTCAAGAGATCCTGATTTTATACCGAGCACGTCATGCCACCAACCGCACAAAATAACACAGTCAGAATTAAATGATCTTGTAAGAGATTTATAACTTCCAAAATGTAAGGCAAAGTTACTTGGATCAAGACTGCAGCAGTGGAACTTGTTAGAAGACGATGTTTCGGTATGTGTTTTTCGTAAACGCCACAAAGACTTAGAACCATTTTTCAATATGGAGAATAACTTGGTTTTCTGCAGTAACATTAACGGCTTACTGGCGGCTTTAAATATAAACTATAACCCAGAAGAATGGAGATTGTTTATAGACAGTTCAACATTGAGTTTAAAGGCAGTGTTATTGCATATTGGAAATATTTTACCATCTCTTCCTGTAGGGTATGCAGTTCACATGAAAGAATCATATGACAATATGAAGTACCTATTGACATGCATAAAATACGATGAGCACCAATGGCATATTTGTGGCGATTTGAAAGTTGTTGCACTTTTACTTGGGCTGCAGCTAGGCTACACAAAGTTTTGCTGTTTTTTGTGTGAATGGGACAGTCGTGCAAAGGCAGTTCATTACACCAGACAAAACTGGCCTGTTCGTCAATTCCTAGAGCCAGGTCAAAAAAATGTACAGCATATGCCATTAATAGATTCGAAAAAAAATTTATTACCACCACTGCATATCAAGTTGGGCCTAATGAAAAACTTTGTCAAGGCATAGATAGAGATGGGTCAGCTTTTCAATACCTGCGTCAGAAATTTCCAAGACTAAGTGAGGCAAAGGTTAAAGAAGGTATTTTTGTTGGGCCACAGATTCGAAATATTTTGAAAGATACACAGTTTGAAAACACTTTAACAGGTATTGAAAAAACTGCTTGGAATGATTTCCGTCTGGTGGTCACTAATTTCTTGGGAAATAGAAAAGCTGACAACTATAAAACCCTTGTCAAAAATATGCTGTCATCGTATCAAAAGATAGGCTGTAATATGTCTCTTAAGATGCATTTCCTACACTCACATCTGGACTTTTTTCCTGACAATTGCGGAGCCGTAAGTGATGAGCACGGCGAACGTTTTCATCAGGATATTTCAACAATGGAAAAAAGGGAAAGTGGAATCCTTCCATGCTTGCAGACTACTGTTGGACTCTTGGTAGAGATGCTCCAGAAACGATCCATAAAAGAACAGCAAAAAGACAGCGCATATAGTGATTCTTATAAGTATATGAATCTTGTTACTTCTTTTAATATATCCTTAAAAATAAAAAGTTTTTTTTCTAAATCGCAACTAATTTTTTTATTTCATTGTCATTTTTGGATTCAGCGCCCCAAAATTAACAAAGAAGTGCACTTTTCCCACAAGATATAATTAAAAAACTAAAATTTGTTGTCCAGTGTTATTTTTCTTTATTTGTATGTAAAATAGCAAGTCCTAGTTAAATAAAGCTATGTTTTCATACACCATTAATTACATCTGCGCCGAATATTTGATTACTCATGTTTGTAATTGTGAGAAAATGGAAATTTTATTGTTGTTTGATATTCCACGTATTTTATGTATTAATAATAGTCATTTCTGTGAATACTATTGACAAATAAAAGGAGATATGATTAAAAAATGACGACAAACTTCTACCACTTGAATCTATGCGCAAATTTCTATTCAACATTTCGGAATATATTCCTACTCTTTTGGCGAACTTTTGATTTTCGCCCATCTCCTCAAGTTTAACTAAATCAATTAGATAAACGCTTTATTAAAAACACGAATAATCATGGCCATCGATATCGTCATATGTTTTGGAGGCTTGGGTCTTATTGACCCGCAGGGTTATTATGTAAAGAACCTATACAGGATGTTCTTCAAGTTGAGTCATTTATTTTAACTTCTTGTAGGACTCGTCAACAAGGCTAAAAATCACATATATAAAAGTTGCATAATAAAAACTTATAGTGTCCGATACTAAACATTAAGATTTAGTATTGGAAAGCACTGTTATCGTATCCTGCCTGATATTTTTTCGTTTGTAGTGCTGCTAATCTGCAATGGGCGGTATTATTTTATTTTACGTGAATTTAAATCAAACTATAAAGCCGATTTCATAAAATACGGAACGGTCTGTGTAAGCTCTGGAGTACAACTGTCACTGATGCTGAGTGAACGAACTTCCACGTCAACTACAAGCTGGAACAAGTCAGGACATGTCGCTCAAGGTACCAATACCAGTCAACCTTTTACTTCTTCTTGGAGGATATCCTCGCGAGTATAAGGTAATCATTATGAATATGAAAACAAGGACATGCTTATACTTCTACCTTTTTCTCCGGAGCAAGACCTTATACTTTTACCTTATGCTTCCGAGGACATGCTTCTCTTTTATCAATACGGCAACAACATATTTTTTTATTAATTGCTTAGGCTGGCGTGGTAAACGGCATGCAACTGTTTCTCGACCGACCGGTGAAATTTGCTTAGTATCGGAAAATCTACACTAAGATGATCTTTTAGTTTCCATACAATTAAAGAAATACAATAGTAATTTCTTCAAAAGAATACATATAATTTCATCCGCGAAAACAATCGTAAATACGTTCCCAAATGTATTAACTCTACTTTAGATATGACTAATATATGAAGTATCATTGCAATCCACTGACTTTGTTTGATAACGTTTTTTGTAATCCCCATGTCCTGTGCAAAATTAAGAGCTAAGTTCAATCAGATCAATAAAAATGTTACTGGATAGATATGAAACAGCAGCATTAAGGAACAGCCAAAATCAATAACAACTTAGGTTTGTTAAAAATTGATTTTATTTTATTTTCCTTGTAAGTAATTGGATCGAAAAATAGTACAAGTCGATTTGACGTTTTCAGTTAGGATAGCCAATCGCCTTTAAGCTTTTCTATCGACTTTACGTTTACAATCTATTGTGTGGTAGGGCATTACTCAATAGGAGACCTTTTTTTCAAAATAATAAGTGCTTACCTGGTTCAGAAATAATAAGAGCTAGAACTTTCCTGTGCAAATAAACAATCTATCTGAATCAGTTTTAAAGCTATACGGTTATCATTGATTTTCTCAAAAGTACAATTTGGGACATATACTGTTTTTCATCTCACCGATTCAATTGTTTATTGAACGATAATATAGAGACCTCGCAGAAATTTTGAAAATGTGCGCAATAAAACCATGTATAAATGCACTTCACTATGTAAGCATTAGTGTAATTTACGAGCAAAGCTCAAATGTATCACCTGAATTTACAACTTATTAATCCACATAAGTATCTACCTTACAGTTTTATGGCGTCGATAAATACTAAGTATCATGTGCCGCTTAGCCGTTAGAATCATTTTCATCACAAAGCCGTCACTATGAAGATCATCGTGCTTCTTACTTTTATCTGTGCATTTGCTGTTAGCTGCCGTGCAGCATTTTCCGAGCGGAATGTCGTAAATTTGATACGCAGCGTTCCAGTGGAAGGTATGTATATCAGCGATCAGATTAATGTTTTGTCATAAGCAGTGAACTATAAAAAATGACGTCAAAGAAGATTAAGTTCAGCCCAGCATAACCATCAAAAAAAAATAGAAATTAAGTCTAGGTGAGATTTTGCGTTTTTTGGGGGGCTTCCGGCGTTTTCAGGACGATGGACGAGGGTTGCGTATCTAGCACATTAAAAAATAAGAGATAGCCTCATACGCGCTTGGCGTTTTGGAGGATTGGACGTCCTTTTTTGGGAAAGAAAATGCCTGCCACGGGCGGTCCTGTGCAATGCTTTTTTATTTTGTGCATTAGATTTCACAACCATGAAACTTGTTCCTAGCGAAACTAGTGAAGGAGATTATTGAAGATATTTTACGAATCTACATTCAATTCTTATCGGAAATATCATTTTAGCAGATTCCAAATTATGAGCAAACGAAATCCCCGGCACATTCCTTAATTCTCGACGTATTTTTTGGAATCCCCTCAATAGCTTTTGCATATCTCTAGGCGCGTAAGGGTGCCGCCGTCCGACAAACGTCAACGGTGTTGTCATGGTTCAACGTCTGATGGAACCATGAAGAGTAGAGTTAGGAGGTTAAGATCATGGAGTGGGGGTGAAGAAGACTAGAGATAGGAAGTTAAGCTCTTGGGGTGAAGCCAAAAATGATGGCGATGAAGTGTGTTGCTGCGCATAAGACATCTCTCTCGGGTGTACACTGCACAGAAAAGGAATTTCAGGTTCTGTTGCTGTCATCATGACTGTAAAACAACATCAATTTTGACACTTCTAACAGGTTAAAAGCAGACATATTGGATAATAGTAATAAACCACGAACTAATAAGTTTACAAAGCGTGACAAAACGTGAATGAGTGCACATGAAGATTGCTACTAGATTTCCAAGAGCCACACTATCTCTGGCGACAGGATTAGTTTCATACGGATATCTGTTACGAAGCTTAACCTCCTACCTCTAGTCCTCATGGGTCTTTTGCGAGTTAGTTCAGGGTTGCCATATTGGCGGAATTTCCCTCAAATTTGGGAGAATTTAATGTTCCTGGGGAATTTTTTGGGGATAAAATGTTTTTGGGGAAAAACAAAATCGTTGGGTGTCTTATCCCATCTTTAACTACAAGAAATTTGAATAACAATTTCATCTTTCTTTAGCTTTTTCTTTCCACATGTCTCACCCATCTCCACAAAACATCCACGCTGACGCTGACCCATCTCTACACCTTTATGTCACTTGTAGTTGGGAAACATGCATCCATAGTCATAGAACACACAAAAACAGAATAGTATGTTGTGAACTGGCCGGTTGCTTTAGCTATCTTTGTCTTACACGCGTGTTTCGGGGGAAAGAAGTAGACGATTACTCGTCGCAAAGTTGTAAATCTAATCTGGGGGATTTTGTGCTTGTTCTGGTGGAATTCTGCTTGATCCATCTGGCAACGCTGTGCATGTATTTCGTAACGCAGCTTATCGTTCTACCTCTAGTCGTCGTGGGTAAAACTCCCATTTCTTCACCTAGTTAACGATATGACATAGCATATCGTTAACTAAGCAGATTTAGCTTGCCGCATAAGAACTGACACGACCTTAATTTTCCAGAGAGAAGAGATTTCATAAAATATGCCCTTGCGAAGGGTTACGAGAGGGATGCAGGCAATAAGCAGGTAAGGAAATCGGATTTATGTTCAAGCTGCAATTTTAATCATTTTACCAGTAAGGGACACTGAACATATATGCCAAAGATTATTAAAATCGGATGAACATACGTAGGCGTTTACCTTTTTTTTGTCACTCTGTATATTTTTTTCGATACGGTGTCCTGAAATTGCTATTTTATGTTTTCCGCTATACTATAACTATCTAAAACTGTAATGACTCATCGATGTTCACGTGAACATCACTTAACTACCAGTAGTCGGCTGTTCATAGGCGGGGTATGAATGTTTAACATGGGTGAACTAGATTTGTCACATGCTTAATAAAGAGTGGTTTGAAACATATTGTAAGTCAAAAATTTTGAATTACCTTTATTCATCGTCGCTTCCACTTACATCTGACAGTAATAAACTGTCGCTATCGCTTTCCTCGTTGAAATTGACTATAACTGGCTCTATGATGGTGTCGATGTGGTGGTCAAGCTGCCACATTTTTGTTTCTTCCTTCACAACATGACGGATAGCATTCTGCCAAGCTTCGGGCGTTACTAGCTGTATGGAAGTCTCAAGTAAAACCTTAACGTCTGGTAATTTGAAGGTTGAGTTATGGCGCGCAATATAACCCTTCACTTGAGCCCAGATGAGCTCTATTGGGTTCAGTTCACAGTGGTAGGGCGGTAACCGCAGGACAGTGACACCACATTGATGGGCCATCTCATCAGTCACGTAACTAATGTTCGCAGGTTTGTGCTGTTTAATTTTTTCATACAATTCCGCTTTCACACATGAATCGTCAAACGGGATTCCTTTTTCGCGCAACCATTGTTGCATGTCACTTTTTCGAGATCCCATAGTCGGTACACGTTCGGCTCGACGACTATGGTAGGAAGCATTATCCATGACGATCACAGAGTTGGGCTCAACTCGCTGAAGCATCCCTTGAAACCAGCTCTCAAAGCAGCTGGCATTCATTTCGTCATGGTAATCACCTCCTTTCTTAGAGACGAAAATCAAGTCACACTCTTCTAAAAAGCCACTATCGCTACCAATATGAGTTGCGATCAATCTTTGACCTTTCCCTGACGGTCCACGAAGACCTGTTGACAAACCTTCAATGCTTGCTTGTCGGTTACTCACTACGTTTTTGTCTATCCAGGTTTTTTCAACTGTGTGACCTGCATTTACCCATGTCTCGTCCAAATAATAGATTTTTCTGCTTTGTCGCCTATATTCAATCATTTCGCGTAGGTATTTTCGCCGCCAGGCGACTATGTCAGGCCTCTCTATCAATACTGACTTCCGATTACGCGTTTCGCAACGAAAATTAATTTCGTGCAGGGATTTCCACATTACCTCGACGCTCATTTGGGGTATAATTTCATTTTCCTTGATCGCTGCATGTACGGCCTTGAGGGTTGGTATCTCATTTCTAAAGAAGAATGAATGTACGGTTCGCCTTAACGCCATTTTGCTATCGTCATCCAATTTAACGGCCTTTCGTCCCTTCAAATTAAACTTTGGATCAGTAGTAGCTCCAGTTTTCTTCTTTTCATGCACCACCCTGCGAATGGTCCACTCTGGAACGCCTGTCATACTTTCACAACGCGCGAGTGCATCTCTCTGCGACATAGTTCTGTTCAGATAATTGAACACGTTGAGCACGATTTCTTTCGCGTCCCTCTTCAGTGCTTTACGAAGCCGTCTACTTGTTCCCTGGCTTTCAGTACTTCCACTCGTGCCATGTGTACTCTCCATGGTTAAGTATAACCAAAACAGTAACCACAGAAACCACAACAATAACAATCACTAAACAATTCTTATAAAAACACACAATATGCGATCGCTCAACGAAACACGTTCCAATGCGTTGCCGACGCCTATGAGTCTGCCGGTCGAGGCGCGTCTTTGATTTCTTTGGTTCTACCGGCTGAGAACAATCAGCCATTATTTCCATCTCTGTCTGTGCTGTTGACCACCGCAAAGCCACAGAAACGACATATGTCGTACGCTATACGGCTGTACTGGAAGGAATCCGGGATCGAGCTCTGATCACGTGTTGATCACGCGAGAGTTTTAAATAGTTGTAGTATAGTGTCATGTTTATGTATATCAGACAGTAGATCGTATGTATCTTTATTTTGTTTGATCCAAATCAACTGATGATAAACGATCGAGGCAAATTATGTCAAGATGTACAATCTTCTAAAGATGCTCCTACATGGATCGTCGTATTTGGCTTTGACGTAGATTTGCTGTATCCCTATTGCAGTTTACATGCCCTTAAATATTCACGGAAACATTTTTATAGGATTCTCTTTACTTACAGGAAGGTATCCCGGAAGCGTTTTCCAACATACTCAGATTCTACCGGACACAGAATTTAACACCCGCGCATATGTCGCAAGGCCTACAAGAAATTGTATGTTTCCCATGGGGTTGTATAGATATAAATGATCCGTCAGTATACCCTTAACGAATGTAAACATGTCTAGCGACTTGAGATTTTTGTTTTCAATAAATTAATTCATTATTATGATACTTTTAATTAGAAAAACAATGCGAAATATTGCTTCCATCCTAAGGGTGATCGGTTGAAAGTGACGCAATTGGGGGGAACAAGTTGGGACTTTCCTTTACACACGTTAAATCGTTTTTAGCTAGTAGCAAATTTACCAAAGTTAAGCGAGATTTATTATCAGTCAAACCTTAACCAAACCTAACCGGCTCCTGTATCTCGATCAGATAAAAAGTCAGAAGGCACGACGCACGTAGGTACTCAACCCAGGCGTCACCATAGTAGGTAAACAAAACATTTATTTGCCAATCGGTTCGAAAAAAACAGAATGGATCACTCTCACGGCATCATCGAACTCATCGACATGATTTTAATTTATTTAGTCTTCAAAATGCTACCGCGGCTTCCCGAGTGTATGCAGATCGCTTTCCCAGGCGTGATTTTTTGCCAATTTTTTACCAAAATCGACGGGTCTGAGCGTTTTTCAAAAAAAAAACTGAGCTGCCAGTAAATGCGTCTGTTTCGTTTTCGATGCGCCACCCTGTATAAAAATCAAGACAGGTTAAGTCTGGTCATCGCGAAGGCTATGGAAACAGATTTCCTCCTCCAATCCACCGCTGTTGAAATACTGCATTAACATGTTCTCGCACAATACTAGCAAAATGTGCTGGGAAACCATCCACACATTTAAACTGCCGTCACTGTTAAAGGTGTCTTCATTGATCCAAAGGATTTGAAATAAAGATTCTCTATTCTCGCGTATCATGCCTAACATATCCAATCCACTACAATACTTTTCTGTAAAATAGTTTCGTTTTAATATCTCACGATGTTATTAACTGGCAGAACAATGTTAAAATCATACACTCCTATAGAGTCTGCGGCAACAAAGTATCAGAAAAAATATCATATATCATCAAATTACTCTTAAATTAGTAGGATTAATATATTTCAAATATTGGTCAGTACGATTTGATACAAAAAACGAGGCTACACTTCAAATTTATCTTCATTAGTCTGGATTATAAAATTCCGCGGTATTTACTGAGAAAAAAATGGCATAAATATTCTGGGGATTAAGACACTAATCCGAGATTAGATAGGTAGGAGCTTTACTCAGTGTTTCTTATTATAAATAGCCGTAATAAAACGATCCGTCTCGCAATCGACAAGCAAACAGAAGCCTTCGATAAGATACTACATTCCTTTTGCCACGATGAATGCACATCTGCTAATTTCGCTAGTGATGGTGATAATTGTTGCTGCAGCACCTACCAAGAAGGAGTCGGCGTTCGTTGCAAAGATACTGCAAAATGTGCCTATGGACGGTAAGTACAAATTAACACATTCTGCAGATTGACTTCACCTACTGGCCACTGTCTGTCATCCTGAATAAATAAGAAACAACAGATATGGAAAGTTCTTCCAAGTCTTTGCTTGCAACAGTTTGTCCATACTCAACAAATCATTCCTTAAGGCGTGATGCATTTCACACTTCATAATATTTTTAGAGTGATGAGTACGATGAAAAGAATGTACTAGATATTGTGTTTACAGTAGCAAATATAATAATGCTTCAAGGACGAAATTATTTCCAATCTAAATAGAAAAACAGGTGATTATATCACTGAGATTGCCTTTATAACTTTGGTGCGAAACAAGGCAGATGTAGCAAAACGAAGTTGTAGGGTTTTGAAAAGATTCAACATAAAGGTTTTGACACTTTTCTTAAATATAAACCCGTATTTTTTTCACCGGAAATTTAAATAGCAGGAAACTTCGTGCTCAAGTACATCTATGACCTTGACTATGATCAGCAAGTGCAAATTAGTTTTGAACGGGAAACATCTATTTTTAATTCATGAAATGCAACCTGCTGAGACTTTTAGGTTCAAGTTATCATTGCCAATCAGGATTCACATTTGAAGATTAAATAAAGGTATATAAACTCATTTTTTGTAGAGGATATGAAAAGCAAAATATTTCACGGTCAAGGTCACTATCATGTACTTGGTTGTCACTTTGACTATGATATTCAAGGTAATTTGATAAATTCTTTCCTCCAAAACGGCCCGCTAAATCCTCGATCATCGTAAAACCGTTAAGGTTGTGGTCAAGGTCACGTTCAAGGACACCTTTAGATTACCGTTTTTGAACCTTTAGCTTTACTGTGCAATATTTTTCTGAAGGTAGCATATTTTTCGAGGTATTTTGTTCCCTACAAACTTTTTGGTGGCCCTAAAATTTCCTTAAAGATCAAATGCCTCTCACGCAATAGATGAGAAACTGCAGGTGGATGTTATTTATACCGACTTCAGTAAGGCTTTCGACAAGATTGATCATTCTATCTTGATGGAGAGACTTGCTGAGGTGGGTGTAGATGGTCCATTATGGCAGTGGCTAGCATCGTATATAAGTAATCGTAAACAAGTGGTGACTATCAATGGGTATCGTTCGGAGACATTCTTCAGGTGTACCACAAGGTAGTCACTTAGGACCATTGTTATTTAACATATACATGAACAACCTTACTTCTGTTTTTCATTTCAGTAAATATTTGTTATATGCTGATGATCTAAAGATATTTACTATTGTTAGAAATGTAAATGACGGTGTAAAACTTCAAAGCGATTTGGAATCTCTGCAAAAGTATTGCACTGAAAACAGTATCTTCCTGAATTTAACAAAATGTCATTACATGAGGCTTACTAGAAACATAGCGAACACTATAGATTTTAGATATAAGATAGGGACGGCAGAACTGGAAAAGCTTCATGTAGTAAAAGACCTAGGGGTATACATTGATGAGAAACTCTCATTCATCACCCACGTAGAGCACACCGTAAATGATGCAAATAGAACACTAGGGTTCATAAACAGGACATGCAGAGAATTTACGAACCCAAAAACGCTTCTTTCATTGTACTACGCTTATACATATACACAACAAACTGATGTTTGCATCAGTAATATGGAATCCGTCTTACAATGTACATATAGTCAGGATAGAAAGAATTCAACACAAATTTTTGAAAATGTTAGCACATAAAACTCACCAACCTGTTACAGATCATCATTATACGCAAATTATGAAACAGTTCAATATGATTTCCTTAAAAGATAGAAGAACGATTTCTGACATTTGCTGTGTCCATAAATTGTTGAATGGCCTCACTGACTGTCCGGATCTTTTGGCAAACTTGAACTTTAACACTCCTGATAGAACGTTTAGAACCTATCATCTGTTTAGAATACCGTTCCTTAGAACCAATCTTGGTCTTAATTCCCCTTTGGTCAGGGCTCAAAAAAATCATAATAATTTCTGTAATATAGATTTATTTAACATTAGCTTGACCTCCCTGAAAAAGGCTTTAAAGTATGAGTATTACAGCTCTATGGCAGACTAAAATAGAAATGTTTTATTTTTTTACATAACTCAAGTTATCACCTCCAATATCATTTCTGGTATAATTTCAATTTAATTTTGATTTCAGTTTTAATTAAACGTAAGTAAATGTTAAATTATGTATACTCCTTTTATTAAAAAAGTTAAATCAATAGTTTATTGCTTATAATTAGAACTACTCACTCAGTTTATGTTGTTACAACAATATCGGAGGATAAAAAAATGTTAATATTGAAGTATTCAATAATGTAATATATGTATATGTATACGATATTTTATGTAAGTTTAGTTTTAGTTCACTGAGGGTGTGTGTTGGGTTTACCTGTTAACACCCCAAACTGTATATAAATAAATAAATAAATTCAAGGCCACTGACATGGACCTGAAGCTTCCTGCTCTTTACATTTTCGGTGTCAAAAATAGGGGTTTCCATTTAAAAGACTGTCAAATGACCTTGAAAGTGATAGTCAAGGGCAGATGTATGGTCACCATTAGATGATTCTTTTCAAAGCTTACAACCTTGTTGTACTTTTTTCTCTAGGAAACGTATTTTTCGAGACATTTTGATGTATCCCTACTTTTTCGACACCCGGCATTGGCTGAGTTTTCACAAAATCCGCCTGTTACTACAAAAACTCAATTTGAGGTTGACCTTAACACGAATCACTGCTAAGTGGCAGATCTGAGAAAGGCGGTGCAGCCGGACAATCATCTAAGTAACCAACAACATAACGAGTATATTGTACCTAACCATCCGATTACTAAACTGATAACCATAAATATGTATGTATGCTCACTAAAACTTTTACTTTCTGCCACTGACATCACTAACCACAGTGTGTGTGCCGTCGATATTTTCGAGGACAATTGTTATGGGCATTTCCCTGAATGGTGAAATGGCGCGGAATTTTTACTCATTCATTGTTAATATTTTAAACCTAAAACACCCTGCTACATTTTTATTATTTGTGTTTGATAAGAAAAAAACTAAGATTTCAATAGTAGTGCCAACTGAAGTGGGAAGGGGCTCGTAGTTAGTGTTTAAATAAATTTCTTCACGAAAAAAATCCGATAAATATTTTGTGCCAAAACTCTTAGCCGATTTTTCTTTTGCAGTGGAGTTAATAGTGGCTTTTCTTTGGCCTATAAACAAGTTGTGCAACCTTAGGGTTTTTACTTCACTTTTTTTATAAGAAACCTTGCAAGTGCTAAATCCTAGTTTGTGGGCCTCTCTATGAGTTGTGGACCTCGAAATTCTCCTTCCAACAGCGTCACTCCACAGAGCACTTAATTGTAAATAATTGGCACGCTTGTTTTTCACGATTATTCTTCTTAATGCTCTTCGGTCGGCATTTGTAATATTACTTTTTTTCACATATCGTGGCTTAATATTAACTGAACCAGTTACGTTATATCTTCTAACCATATTTCTCACACTGTACCGCGATAAGTCTAACAAAGTTGCGATTTCTGAGTTTGATTTCCCAGAATTAAAAATTTTTATTATCCGTAACCGAATTTTCTCACTAATAACCTTTCCTCTACCCATTTTGAAAATCTTAACTACCCAAAACTATTTACAAACGTATTCTGACAGCTGTGATTGATAAAAAAAATTATCATGGCTTTTATTTTTCAGAGCCACCTATGCGTTATAGACTTATTTTGCATTGAAATGAAAATAGGTTGATATGCTGTAATTGCAACATGTGCTATTTTTATGCTGTAAATTTGATTAGGGAGTGATAAAGTTGGTTTTCTACTATATATTATCAAAATATTCATTTTTAATATTTTAAAAGTATAACACCCTGCTACATTTTTATTATTTATATTTAATAAGGGAAAAACTAAGATTTCAATAGTTGGGCCAACTGAAGTGGGAAGGGGCTCGTAGACTATGACTCTGTGAGTTCCTGAGGTTGCCGTTAAAAACGCAAAAGAGATGTGTATAAAAAAGCGTATTATAATTGTACCAAGAAATCTAATTGTTTACTTTGATAGGTAGCTCAACTGATATTTTTAAGATGTCAGATACAAGGTAGATAAGTTATTTTAAGTATCCTGTTTATTTTTTCAGAGCATACAAGCATTCAATTGCTATGACATATCACTTGTAAGACTTGTTCTAGATAAGCATGTGAGATTACTCTTCCTGTGTGTTATTATTGCAATGTTTACACCATTTGAATTTTATATAAATCGTGTTATCTTAAGTATTATTTTGTATTTCAGACAGAAGGAGATTTATCAAGGAGCAACTATTTGCAGGTTATCTGAAGACTGAGTCGTTGGTAAGTCATATCACCGTTTCACGAACTATAGGGGAGACTGGGTAACACTGAGACTTTTTCTTAAAATTTGCCCTAAACTCGTTATTATTAATAATGAATAACTTGTTTTTTTTTTCTTAGGTAGTTTACCATATATACTAAGTGACATATAAATCCGAACACCCAGTTTAAATGGTTTTATTTTAATAAAAGTTGGTGAATGTATTTATCTTACTGTAAATAACAAGTGAAAAAATTTTCAGCCTTATCAGTTGGACATTCCGGTTTTTATACTGCTTTTTTTTAATTCACTAACGCTCTAAAAATGAATATTTCAGCCGCAGTAAAGAATCAACGTTGGCAGATTTTGGTTCTTGACATCCTTTACGATCGGTTACGATGCCTATAGTACGGAGACCTGTACAATTTCGTCAACTTAGTGAGTTTGATAGGGGCCGTATAGTGGGACTTCGGGAAGCTTGACTTTCTTTTCGGGCAATTGCAGTTAGAGTGCAAAGAAGTGTAGACACTGTGGTTAGGTGTTGTCAGGCATGGCTTTGAGAAGGCCGTACGCAAAGAGCAAGGGGCACTGGACGCCGCCGTAGAACAACAGACCGTGAAGATCGCCGCCTAAGATTATTGGCCTTAAGGGACCGTTTCTCCACTACCAGGTCCATTGCAAATAAATGGTTTGCAGAACACGGAAGACCTATTCGCATGCGAAGTGTTTACCGACGAATGAGAAGTTTTGGCTTGTTTTCATACCGGCCACACTGGGTCCTCCCTTTAACTCGAGAACACCGACGTAATCGCCTTGAGTGGTGCAGACAACGGTCACTCTGGGGTCAGGAATGGAATAGTATTGTCTTTAGTGACGAGTCTCGATTTTGTTTAGGCATGCACGATGGTCGTGCCAGGGTTAGAAGGCGACGTGGTGAAAGGAGGAATCCACAGCTTTTTGTTGAAAGACATGCTCATCACACTGTTGGAGTTATGGTTTGGGGTGCTATAGCTTATGGTTCCAGGTCACCTTTAATCTTCATCAGAGGTAACATGAACGCGCAGCGTTATATCCACGAAGTTCCAGAACCCCATCTTTTACCCTATCTTGACACCCTGGCAGATCCAACTTTCCAACAAGATAATACCCGACCACAATAGACTTCTTTCAATATAATGATGTCACATTGTTACCATGGCCACCAAAATCTCCCGACTTATCCCCAATTGAGCACGTGTGGGATATGATGGGTAGGAGATTGCTCAATTTGCAACGTCCTCCTCAGACTCTAGAAGCACTTCGAGAGGCGTTGGTGGTTGCCTGGAATGAGATACCACAGGAGGACATTGACCACCTGATCAGAAGCATGCCTAGGCGCGTTGGAGAATGCGTAGCACATCAGGGTGCATCCACACATTATTAAAGGTCAAAGGGCTTTAAAGCAGTGCAATCATTTTGAAATTTTTATCATTTACTTATTATGCTTCATTAAGTACTTATACAAAATTTTATTAAAATAAAACCATTTAAACTGGGTGTTCGGATGTATATGTCACTTAGTATATTTATATGGTATACATTGTTAGAATATTTTTTGGCCTGACCATAAGAAACTTTAGTTTTTTGATTTTCCATATTCGATATCTGACCTCACAAATTACATGACCAACGAAATATCTTCGCCATCAAAAAACAGTAGACTAAGTGCTCCAGAAGCATCATACTTCTTTAGTACGCACCACGCTAGTTTATGAAACTACAATAGTAAATTTCTCTTGTATGATTCTCGACACGCTAAAAGTCGATCGTACATCAAAAGGAATTTGATCAAATGGAGTTTAACGCCTGTATTACTGATTTCAGGACTACAGACTGGAAGACGACGACACGATACTGTTGTACAGGATATTCATCAAGAATTCTAAAGAAATTCATCCCCAAATCGGTCCGCTTCAGACAGAGATCTGCCTTCCCAACGGACATTGTTTCGATCCTTCTGATAGTAGTATTTATCCTTAGATTCCCAAAAATGTGATATTACTTTAACCTCATTTTGTTCTTTTTTATAATATTGCTTGTTGTGGTGTGATACTGTCAGTGTTTCATAGAAATATAAAATAAAACACTTTTATCGTTTTGTTTTTTCTTATGCATGTTTACACTTTTGCTGAAGAACAATGAGCGAAGATATTAATCAAGTGAAGACTATAGTAACTTAAAAAGCCTTACTTTTGACATACTATACGGTGTCGATAAATTTTGTCGGGTTCTCTTCGGTGAAAAAATATGGTATCTCAGTCATGAAACTATAGGGAACCAGTAAATCTTCTACGTCATGTAGTAAGTATAATAGTGGCCATTGCTCCCGCGAAAACTACAGGGTGTCCGCAAAGTTGGGGTTTTCCTTTTAAGAAACAACTACCCTTGAAATAACAAAGGTAATGTGTAGTTAAACGAGGGCGACCAAGTAAAAAAAAATAAAGGAAAAAGTACTCACTCTCCAGTTGACGAGAAGGGCTAAGTACGTCTCTGTCTGAAATCATACCGCTCCAACAGAAAATGAAATCAGCTGAAGCGCTACCGAGCAGACGCAGGCAAACAAGGAAGGCAAAATGTTGCGTAAAAAGTCTAGGTTTACCATGCCAGCCCAAACATTCACCGAAAATGTTTGTTGAAAATGTGCCCGACGGACAGCGTGCGGATTTTCTACTGACCAAACATGAGTGTTGCGAAAGTTATTCACCCCATTACGCGTGAACGTAGATTCGTCTGTCACCAATATGCACTTCAAAAAGTCCGGATTATTTTCATGTTGATGCAACAACCACTCACAAAACCGCACTCTTGCTAGAAAATCGTGAGGTTGAAGGGCTTGTACACGTTGTACGTGAAACGGATACAGCCCCTCTTCACGCAGCGTTTGCCACACTTTAGTTTTTGATACTTGCACTTCTCTAGCCACGTCTCAAGTGCTTGTTGAGGGATTCACGTCTACGCGATTATCTCTACACGCGTGACCGTAACCGTCGGTTGAAGGTTGCATACTGACCTGACACACTGACCCCGACTCAGTTCTGTCGTTGAGCCGGTGACATTGTACCACTCCGTGATGTCGTGGCTACAGGACGGTATTCAGATATTTTTGATGTTGCAGAGCCCTTTATCTCGGTTCCCTTAAGACATTGGTGTATATGGTACTAAGAAAAATTGCTTATGTTTTCAAGATCTACACGTCGTGTAAAGGAAAACCCCAACTTTGCGGACACCCTGTATAATGGAACTTTACAGCTTGATGTCTGCCTTCTTCTACAAACTTCACCAAATCGAGACGCTGTCAACCTTATCCTCCGATGAAGGCGCCACAAAGTACAGTCCTGTGATTTGGTGACTTCGATCTGCAAAATCTCGTCGTCACTTTTTTTAAGTTTCCCTAAAAATTCTTGCTTAGCAACCCCCAAATCAATGTCGATCATGTCAGGTTTTTGACAGAATTCGCCATAAAACTATTCATTTTCTTTGGAATTGCTAACCTAATTGTTAGTTATTTTTATATCAGCTTTTTTTGGCCTGAGTTTCTTTTCAAGATTCTTGCGTTTGAGCCTTTGTTCCATCTGTGCGATAAGCGAGGTTGGACTAAGCTTAGACCGCAAATGTATTCAGACCTCATAGACAGGCCACTGGGTATTGTGGCTCCCTTCAGCTGCAGCACATCTTCCATGGTATGACCTCTTCTTGCAATAATTTATTCGCTTACTCCCCAGTGTATTTTGCGATTATAGAGTTGAACTGCTCCACACCATTGTTGTCCTCATCATGAATTAAACTCACTGCATTCGTAATTAAAATGGCCTTTTATTGTCCATTATCAACCTTGATAAATAAAAGCACTCAAGAACAATCACACCAACAGCACAACAATTCAACAACACAATATCGACAAACAGTAACAAGAGGAGAAAAATACTAAATGATCACTTGCTGAGTACCAAAATAGGAAAGGATTTACAGGCTAGATCGCTAATCGAAATCCGATTCTGTTATTATAAAAATGTACCTTGGTATGCACCCGCAGTCATCCTTCCCTGTTTTAAAGTAGCGCCGACGATCGTCTACGGCCAGCCCACCCTCGTTTCCTTTTCATCCGCCGTTACCTCAGCATATGGTGCTCGTGATTGTTACGGCAAAAACGACCATAACGCAAAGCTTCTTACTGCTGTAGCTGCCGCTATCCGCTACTTTCGCTAGCTTTGCCATTGCACTTAGTGCAGCTATGGCAGACTGTCCCTTTCTAGAACCAAATTTCAAGGGAGACCAGTGGTTCTTTTCCTTGACATATTTTCGTAGCATACCTTCTATGAGTCGTTCTAGTAGTTTTCCAGCAGACAAAGGGGTCTCGCTTTTTATTCTGAATTGAATTATTCTGTTAATAACTTAAATGTTATTATAATTTTATTCTGATGTCATTAATCAAACTTCTGGAAATTGGTGAAAATTATGCTGAAAGATTCCTTTACATTGAAATAGTTCCCGAGCTAGCTCTCTCAGGTTAATGGGACGAAGACGGTGTCACGACGATATCACTTTATTTATTAAAATAGAGGCCGATTTACAACTCACACTATACAATTCGAAATAAAAATAGAGTAGCAGTAACAATGTTCGTAAGTCCGTCGGGTGGAGCGACGATATCCGTCCTCTTTCTTCCGATGCTCATGCCCCTCCCTCGCAACCCGTCCTCAGGGTCTTACTACCTGCCATCCGTCGCACTTTGCACCCGACACGCACTCACACACGCTCGCGCTGTTGCAATTTTTTTAATTAATGAGGGGGGAATGCATTTACGCACCATACCATAGCCCGAGCTACGACGTGTGTGGGGCTCCAGGGTCTTGAGGAGATCACCTAATACCCACTAAACCCTAAACCTCTGCGTGGCCCGACTCATCAGCGTCTCGGTAGGCCATGTGTTGTGCGTGACCTGCGGTCTGCTACAACGTCTCCTCATGTGTTTCAGTCTCTGGGAACGCCGGGTTGGTTCCCTTTACCTCGCACATTCTATTGATGTCGTTAAGCGATCATCGATAGAGGGTCTGCTAGGTTCTCTTGAAACTCTTGTTTTCGAAAAATCAAGAGTTTCAAGTCCTCTTACCAATATGTTGTTCCTGGTCCTGGTCCTAAAGGGTCCTGGTCCTGGTGGGTCCTGGTCGTGGCGGGTCCTGGTCCTGATTGGTCCTGGTCCCGGTGGGTCCTGGTCCCGGTGGTTCCTGGTCCCGGTGGTTCCTGGTCCCGGTGGTTCCTGGTCTGCATCCACGCCGTGGGGGGGAGCAACCGCGAGTTCTCCTAGTCTCCTAGTCAAGGTTCCAGTTAGCGGGTGCCAACTGGGATCTTGGTCTGGGGTACCTGGTTCTGCGGTTGCGAGGCCTCTCGTCCGGATCGTAGTCCATGAGGAATCGTAGCTGCTCGTTCGGGTGGTCCTGAGCTTTCTCGAAGGTCTTCTCCGCTTTTTTCGTCATGTACTCGTGAATGGTGTCCCAATGCAGGTCTCTACGCAAGGTTGAGTTTCTTACGTAGGATGGTGCACTGGTGGCGATCCGGAGTAGCTTCATCTCTAGAGCAGCAAGTCGCTTGCGGTAGCTGGGGGCATCGTACCCCCAGACCGCGGAGGCGTAAGCGAGCTGAGGTCTGGCGATGGCCTTGATCAGCCGTAGCTTGGTCGCTAGCGGCATCCGGCTGTGTCTACCCAGTAATGGGTAGAGTTGAGCCATGGCTGCTCTGGTGTTTGCGATGACAGCTTCTATGTGGGCTTTCCAGGTGAGGGACTTGTCAAATACGATCCCCAGATATTTGACTTTGTCGCTCCACTGGATATCTTCGTCGAAGATGGATGCTTCGAGAGGTCTTGCAATCCTTCTTCGTTGAATGAAGATTGCCTGCGTCTTCTGGACGTTGATGCGGATTTTCCATTCCACGCACCAGTCCTGGATGTGGTCCAGTTCATCCTGTAGTCTCCTACGGATGATCTCGGGTCGTCTATGCTTGGCGGCTATAGCAGTGTCGTCTGCATATAGGGCCAGCATTGTGTCAGCTGTATTCGGCACATCGTGAGTATAGATGTTGTAGAGCAGGGGGGCTAAGGCTGACCCCTGGGGCACGCCTGCTTCCAGCTGTCGTCTTGTTGAATGGCATGTACCAATCTTCACCGTGAACCATCTTTGTGTTAGATAGCTCTGGATCAGTTGGCACATGTTCGCATCGATTCCGGCGGCTTCCATTTTGGCGATGAGTCCATCGTGCCAAACTCGATCGAAGGCTCGTTCCACGTCCAGCAGGACGAGGCCAGTTGCCTCCTGGAGATTGAAGCCGCTGTCGTCTTGTTGAATGGCATGTAGCAATCTTCACCGTGAACCATCTTTGTGTTAGATAGCTCTGGATCAGTTGGCACATGTTTGCATCGATTCCGGCGGCTTCCATTTTGGCGATGAGTCCATCGTGCCAAACTCGATCGAAGGCTCGTTCCACGTCCAGCAGGACGAGGCCGGTTGCCTCCTGGAGATTGAAGCCGCTGTCGTCTTGTTGAATGGCATGTAGTAATCTTCACCGTGAACCATCTTTGTGTTAGATAGCTCTGGATCAGTTGGCACATGTTTGCATCGATTCCGGCGGCTTCCATTTTGGCGATGAGTCCATCGTGCCAAACTCGATCGAAGGCTCGTTCCACGTCCAGCAGGACGAGGCCGGTGGCCTCCTGGAGATTGAAGCCGCTGTCGTCTTGTTGAATGGCATGTAGCAATCTTCACCGTGAACCATCTTTGTGTTAGATAGCTCTGGATCAGTTGGCACATGTTTGCATCGATTCCGGCGGCTTCCATTTTGGCGATGAGTCCATCGTGCCAAACTCGATCGAAGGCTCGTTCCACGTCCAGCAGGACGAGGCCGGTTGCCTCCTGGAGATTGAAGCCGCTGTCGTCTTGTTGAATGGCATGTAGCAATCTTCACCGTGAACCATCTTTGTGTTAGATAGCTCTGGATCAGTTGGCACATGTTTGCATCGATTCCGGCGGCTTCCATTTTGGCGATGAGTCCATCGTGCCAAACTCGATCGAAGGCTCGTTCCACGTCCAGCAGGACGAGGCCGGTTGCCTCCTGGAGATTGAAGCCGCTGGGTTCGGAAGTCCGTCGGGTGGAGGGACGATATCCGTCCTCTTTCTTCCGATGCTCATGCCCCTCCCTCGCAACCCGTCCTCAGGGTCTTACTACCTGCCATCCGTCGCACTTTGCACCCGACACGCACTCACACACGGTCGCGCTGTTGCGGAACCTGTTCGACATACATATAGGCCAAGCTTATAAAAGCGTGTTATAAATGGAGGCTGATCGTACATCAATAAGGCTTCCTCAACATCCACCTTAGGGTAAGAAAATAAAACACAATCCTATTTTATAAACATAACTTTTAATATCCCCTTTGACATAACAAGAAGTTAGTTCTTAACGAAGAAAGTTATATTCACGAAAAAACAGTTTACTGCGGTCAAATTTTCTAATCTAAACATCACAGCTGAACATCGGGTAGTATGTTATCCCTAGTGCTATCGAAGAGCAGCTTCGAGATGATCGATCTCTGTATTTGGGACGTTCCTTCAAAGATCTCTAATATTTTCGCGTCTCGCATCAGTTTTTCGACCGGATACTCCTTATTGAAGCCGCACCCGCCGAAGATTTGCACAGCGTTAGTCGCACATTTATTAGCTATCTCCGATCCGTAACATTTTGCAATCGACGCCATGTAGGAATTTCTTTTTCCGTGATCGATGTCCCACGCAGCTTTCATCCAGGCCAATCTGGAAATAACAGTGACTGTAGTTTATTCGCTGTATCAAAACAACGTCAAATAATGACAGTGACGCACATGGTTGCCACATTAATTAAATCTACTAGATCCTAGGACGTTTCACAAAATCTGCTTTATGTCTTCGATGCCTTACCGCAAACCAACGCTAGAGCTAGTCTAAATTCTATTTACTACCTAATACCTCTCTTACGGAGTATAAAGGCAATAACGGAACTACACTAAAACCTACGACTGACAGAAAACATCACCAGCGGCTTCAATCTCCAGGAGGCAACCGGTCTCGTCCTGCTGGACGTGGAACGAGCCTTCGATCGAGTTTGGCACGATGGACTCATCGCCAAAATGGAAGCCGCCGGAATCGATGCGAACATGTGCCAACTGATCCAGAGCTATCTAACACAAAGATGGTTCACGGTGAAGATTGGTACATGCCATTCAACAAGACGACAGCTGGAAGCAGGCGTGCCCCAGGGGACAGCCTTAGCCCCCCTGCTCTACAACATCTATACTCACGATGTGCCGAAGACAGCTGACACAATGCTGGCCCTATATGCAGATGACACTGCTATAGCCGCCAAGCATAGACGACCCGAGATCATCCGTAGGAGGCTACAGGATGAACTGGACCACATCCAGGACTGGTGCGTGAAATGGAAAATCCGCATCAACGTCCAGAAGACGCAGGCAATCTTCATTCAACGAAGAAGGATTGCAAGACCTCTCGAAGCATCCATCTTCGACGAAGATATCCAGTGGAGCGACAAAGTCAAATATCTGGGGATCGTATTTGACAAGTCCCTCACCTGGAAAGCCCACATAGAAGCTGTCATCGCAAAGACCAGAGCAGCCATGGCTCAACTCTACCCATTACTGGGTAGACACAGCCGGATGCCGCTAGCGACCAAGCTACGGCTGATCAAGGCCATCGCCAGACCTCAGCTCGCTTACGCCTCCGCGGTCTGGGGGTACGCTGCCCCCAGCTACCGCAAGCGACTTGCTGCTCTAGAGATGAAGCTACTCCGGATCGCCACCAGTGCACCATCCTACGTAAGAAACTCAACCTTGCGTAGAGACTTGCATTGGGACACCATTCACGAGTACATGAGGAAAAAAGCGGAGAAGACCTTCCAGAAAGCTCAGGACCACCCGAACGAGCAGCTACGATTCCTCATGGACTACGATCCGGACGAGAGGCCTCGCAACCGCAGAATCAGGTACCCTAGACCAAGGTCCCAGTTGGCACCCGCTAACTGGAACCTTGACTAGTAGACTAGGAGAACCCGCGGTTGTCCCCCCCCCCACGACGTGGATGCAGAGGACCAGGAACCACCGGGACCAGGAACCACCGGGACCAGGACCCACCGGGACCAGGAACCACCTGGACCAGGAACCACCGGGACCAGGACCCACCAGGACCTGGACCCGCCACGACCAGGACCCACCAGGACCAGGACCCTTCAGGACCAGGACCAGGAACAACATATTGGTAAGAGGACTTGAAACTCTTGATTTTTCGAAAACAAGAGTTTCAAGAGAACCTAGCAGACCCTCTATCGATGTCGTTAAGCGATCATCGATGATCGCTTAACGACATCGATAGAATGTGCGAGGTAAAGGGAACCAACCTGGCGTTCCCAGAGACTGAAACACATGAGGAGACGTTGTAGCAGACCGCACAACCATGGCCTACCGAGACGCTGATGAGTCGGGCCACGCGGAGGTTTAGGGTTTAGTGGGTATTTGGTGGTCTCCTCAAGACAGGAGTCCCACACACGCCGTAGCTCGGGCTATGGTATGGTGCGTAAACGCATTCCCCCCTCACCAAAAAAACTGCACTGCGCACACGTATCTCGAAGGCTGACGGTTTTTGTACAGAGTCGTATTCAGCACCTTTTTGCGATGATTCAATGATGCCAAACGATTTATCGATTGCGGATGCTATACAGGGTGACTTCGAAGTTGAGTCATTTATTTTAACAGTGAGTAGATCTGATCAAAAGAAATGTTTTTTCCTTTAACATTTTTGTGGTAAAATTAAAGTAACAAAGTTATAGCCCTTTAGAAGTTTGAGTACCGCCCTGTCTCAATAATAATATTATGTGCTCGTGTTTGGCAACAACGGATATAATCCGCCTTATCGGTTCATCGCATCGGAAACAAAAAAGCGAAAGAATTTGAAACGCTTATCGCGATGTTTCTACTACAATTTTATTCAGTTGTATTCAGTCAATGTGTCAGTCGGTAACGCGTGAGTGAATAGTGGTGTTTGTTGCGTGGATCAAACGAAATAAAAAATGGCACATGTTTACGAAAATGCTGAACTTGTGGACATGATTCTTATTTACGGGGGGGGGTCTTTACGAAATGCAGCACGGATTTATGCGGATCGGTTTCCCAATCGAGTGCAACCAACCCCTCGTGCCTTTGTTACACTGATATCCTGTTATTTCTAGGCACAGTATCAAAAGATAGATTATGAAAAGAGAGACAAAAAATTAATATCTCAAAAACAGTGAAACGTTTACTAGGGTCATTTTTTGGTATGTTGTTCATCTTCGCCTATCGTCCCTATTTTTTTGTCATACTATTTACCGGATCATAAGCATTTGTAAATGCTTGGAAAAAATGTATTTCCCAAATCATGGAAAGGCTCTCTTGTTTTAGCTTTGCCCAAAGTACCTGTTCTTCTCAAATTATTGGAAAAGGCAATGTATTCACAAATAAACGAATGTTTTAAATGTTCTATACTACCATATAGACAATGCGGTTTAAGGAAGGGATATGATACTGCTGTTATTGGTAATACAAACCTTGCAGTTTCAATGCCGATTGCCATATCGGCCAAAATGAAAGCCACAGCTTGATGCTGAATTATTGGAACGCCAAAAGTTTTTCTCTCAGTTGCGTATTTTCTAGCTTCATCCAGGCAACGTTGTGCGATTCCTGTTGCCATAGCTCCTACCTGCAAAATATTATACAGGGTGGCGCATCGAAAACGAAAACGATGCATTTACTGGCAGCTCAGTTTTTTTTTTTAAAAACGCTCAGACCCGTCGATTTTGTTTTCGAAGGGGACACAAGTTAACACGTGCAGACCCTGGTCGGGGGTGACACCAACCCTAAAATCTTAAATGGAAAGGGGGGTCGAGTGATACCTTAAAGGTCTTTCAATTCCCGTTATAATGATATAAAATTAATGTACTTCAGTTCAGTAGTTTTGAAGATTTATTGATTTAAAGCTTAAAGTCGACTTTAATATGTACATCAGATTAGTTTGTACTACTTTTAAAAAAAAATACTGAACTGCCAGTAAATGCGTCTGTTTCGTTTTCGACGCACCACCCTGTATATTATATTATATTTTACCATTGATTTGGATCGAGCGATTCACTTAACAAATGGAATACGCTCAAGAAAGTTATGGCCTACGGGGAGTGCCAGTCAGTGCTGAATATTACTGTGTAATAATGCTTTACAGAGTATACAGGGTGACTTCGAAGTTGAGTCATTTATTTTAACAGTGAGTAGATCTGATCAAAAGAAATGTTTTTTTCCTTTACCATTTTTCTGGTAAAATTAAAGTAACAAAGTTATAGCCCTTTGGAAGTTTGAGTACCGCCCTGCCTCAATAATAATATGATGTGCTCGTGTTTGGTTCATCGCATCGGCAACAAAAAAGCGAAAGAATTTGGAACGATGTTTTTACAATTATTTTAGTCAGTTGTATACAGTCAGTGTCAGTCGGTAACGCGTTTGAATAGTGGTGTCTGTTGCGTGGCTCAAACGAAATAAAAAATGGCACATGTTTATGCGGATCGGTTTCCCAATCGAGTGCAACCAACCCCTCGTGCCTTTGTTAATGTAGTACAACGGGCTCGTGAATCAGGTGACTTAAGACCACACAGGGGACTGCATGCCGGTGCTCCAAGACCTCACGATCAAATACAGGTCCGCACTGAAATACTTGTCGGGAGGATACTTTATAAAACAAGGTAAAAAAAAAATTTTTAATTTTTTTTTTATTTTTACACACATATTTTGGTTTATCTTCCTTCTACAATCATTATCTGAAAATTAATGACTCAACTTCAAAGTCATCCTGTATATTATAAAAATAAGTTATCAGAATCCTTGTCACAAACTTGACTTATTTAACGCAAGACATTTCTGAGGTTTTGGATGATCAAGGTCAATTGGATGTCATATACGCTGACACTGAAAAGGCCTTTGATCAAGTTATCAGCTAAGCTGGAATCTGCTGGCTTGTGATTGGAAAGGAGCATGTACATGGAATATGGCGGTTATCAATCCAAGACTTATACTGCAACATCTGCTCAGGGGTTTTTCATAATCTTTATTAAAGAGTTATCGCTGGCTTTGCCATGCATGCATCTACTTTATGCTGATGATTTGAAAATGTATGCTGTTATTAATAATCTGTTGCAAAACTTCGAGAACTTCATCTATTCATGGTGCTCTAACAATCAACTGAATATTAATATTTCAAAATGCTAGGTTATGTCATTTGCTAGAAAACCTCATCCTATAGTATACGATAATTATAGCATTATAGACTTTCAAGGATTTGGGTGTCATGTTCACGCTAAACTGACATTTAATGGCCATATCCTCCATATGGTGAATACAACATATATACAGGGTGACTTCGAAGTTGAGTCATTTATTTTAACAGTGAGTAGATCTGATGAAAAGAAATGTTTTTTTCCTTTACCATTTTTCTGGTAAAATTAAAGTAACAAAGTTATAGCCCTTTGGAAGTTTGAGTACCGCCCTGTCTCAATAATAATATTATGTGCTCGTGTTTGGCGACAACGGATATAATCCGCCTTATCGGTTCATCGCATCGAAATAAAAAAGCGAAAGAATTTGGAACCATGTTTTTACAATTATTTTATTCAGTTGTATACAGTCAGTGTCAGTCGGTAACGCGTGAGTGAATAGTGGTGTCTGTTGCGTGGCTCAAACGAAATAAAAAATGGCACATGTTTATGCGGATCGGTTTCCCAATCGAGTGCAACCAACCCCTCGTGCCTTTGTTAATGTAGTACAACGGGCTCGTGAATCAGGTGACTTAAGACCTCACAGGGGACGGCATACCGGTGCTCCAAGACCTCACGATCAAATACAGGTCCGCACTGAAATACTTGTCGGGAGGATACTTTATAAAACAAGGTAAAAAATTTTTTTTTATTTTTATACACATATTTTGGTTTATCTTCCTTCTACAATCATTATCTGAAAATTAATGACTCAACTTCAAAGTCATCCTGTATAAAGCATTAGGCTATTGTGTCAGAAATTGTTCGGGCTTCGCAACATTGAAGCTCCTGTATTTCACATTTATTAGCAGTAACCTGGAGCACGTATCTTTCATCTGGTCTCCTACCTATCAAACCTACAGCGCGAGCACTGGCATAAGGCACTTAAATATTTTCATTTTTAACAACACGCTAAAAGGTGTTCTGATCAGTTGATCCGTTACGATTAAGGCGCGATGAAAACCTGTCGAGAATTATAAATAAATAAAAGTAGTTTTTTCGTGCATTTTTTTAATACATTTTCCGACTTACGCCTGGCCGTGTCTTGTCGAACACCAGCATCGCAATTTTAAAGCCAGCTCCCTCACCGAGCAGGACGTTCTCTTTCGGTATCCGTACATCTTCGAATGTAATGCCGTGTATATTGGATGCTCTTTGGCCCATCATATCCTCCTTTCTTCCGGGTTGAACTCCGGGAAAATCACGTTCCACGATAAAACCTGTGAATGCTTTGTTTGCACCGACTTTCGGATCCGGATTCGTACGCGCTAGTACAAAGTACCTGGATGAACAAAAGATAATAATAATAAGGGTCGTATCATCAGTCGTTACTACAATTGTAGTTTTCTACTGTCCCGTGTCGGCGCTCTATTTTGAGGTTACGTTACAAATGTCTGTTTGCATCATATTGTTCACGTTTTTCATTTTATCAGCCTGAAATTTCCTACGATTCAAACAGGAAGCATAACTTCACGATATGAGAGCGCTGACGCTGACACGGAGCAGTAGAAATCTAGAAATTCCCCAGTCTTTCTGAAGATGAGAAAATACTATAAAAATCAAGAAAGCCATAAAGGTGACCTACAATTGCAGGAACGACTGACGATATGTCCTTCTGTGCTATCTGGGTCCACCGTGTCGCTACGTACGAGGGATGTCTTTTAAGTTTTGCATATGGAAATAAAACAGCACTGTAGCCTTACCAGTTTGCAACTCCTCCATTAGTGATCCACATCTTTTGTCCATTGAGGATGTATTCATCTCCTTTCTTTACTGCTTTTGTTTTCACGCCATTCACATCGGATCCTGCCCCGGGCTCGGTAACGGCGTATGCCTTGAAAACGGAGATGTACAGAGTGTTTCACAACTTAGCCGACAAATTTTAACCACAAATGCAGTCTGTCACGAAAGAAGTTGATTTCCCAAAAGAAAATGTAATAAAAGTCCTACCGAAATTGAGTTATAAGCCTGAGTTTCAATAATAAATTGAATAATAAATATCTGTATTTTGCGATCATCGTCGTGATATTAGGACACGCATTAGTAAAACAAGTGACGGAAACAAAATACCAGCAATTTTTTGTTTTTTCATACTGATAAGAACGTGTAAATAGGGTTTAATCTGTATTGTGGGTCAATGAAGAACGGTCGATTTTCATTATTTTATTATTTATCGAAGTTTATGTTCTTAGTTATTTATTAATAAAAATGGCACATGTGTACACTAATGATGAGTTAGTGGACATTGTTTTAGCGTACGGAGAAGCAGGGCAAAATTCGCGAGCGGCTTCTCGTGTATATGCTTCGTTTGCGAGATGAAAAATAAAAAGCACTCAACGTCCGATGAGCTGGCAACGCCGGAATCCAGGTGACGAATAACAAGGTCAGCTGTCTAGTCTTATGTCTAGCCTGGGGTACCGACGGAGCCATTTCGAACGTCAACGCGGCCAATTTTTCAATTTTAATTTGCATTTTTTTTTAAGTGTTGTGCAACGATTTCGTAAGAATGTCGCTACGGATAGTCTTGTAGAGTATATTTCCACACTCAATCAAGAATTTTCTTTCCTTATCTGTCTCGTTTTTGAAATTCAGCAAATTTGAGTATTCAATTTCGAGGTTGAATAAGAAAAAGCGCACAATTAACTAATTTTAGCGTTGCATACATCTCAAGTGAGTGTATTTGAGACAAGGATCCAATGGAACAGTATTGAACTTCTAGCTTAGACCTCCAATAGCTGAAGCATGATGACGTTTAGGCAACCCGTACAGCTACGAAACGGGTACACAACAAGTGTACAACAGCTATACTACAACTATTTAAAACTGTAATGACTCATACGCGTGATCAACACGTGATCAGAGCTCGATCCCTGCTTCCTTCCAGTACAGCCGTATAGCGTACGACATATGTCGTTTCTGTGGCTTTGCGGTGGTCAACAGCACAGACAGAGATGGAAATAATGGCTGATTGTTCTCCGCCGGTAGAACCAATGAAATCAAAGACGCGCCTCGACCGGCAGACTCATACGCGTCGGCAACGCATTGGAACGTGTTTCGTTGAGCGATCGCATATTGTGTGTTTTTATAAGAATTGTTGTGCGATTGTTATTGTTGTGGTTTCTGTGGTTACTGTTTTGGTTATGCTTAACCATGGAGAGTACAAATGGCACGAGTGGAAGTACTGAAAGCCAGGGAACAAGTAGACGGCTTCGTAAAGCACTGAAGAGGTACGCGAAAGAAATCGTGTTCAACGTGTTCAATTATCTGAACAGAACTATGTCGCAGGGAGATGCACTCGCGCGTTGTGAAAGTATGACAGGCGTTCCAGAGTGGACCATTCGCAGGGTGGTGCATGAAAAGGAGAAAACTGGAGCTACTACTGATCCAAAGTTTAATTTGAAGGGACGAAAGGCCGTTAAATTGGATGACGATAGCAAAATGGCGTTAAGGCGAACCGTACATTCATTCTTCTTTAGGAATGAGATACCAACCCTCAAGGCTGTACATGCAGCGATCAAGGTAAATAAAATTATACCCCAAATGAGCGTCGAGGTAATGAGGAAATCCCTGCACGAAATTAATTTTCGTTAGGAAACGCGTAATCGGAAGTCAGTATTGATAGAGAGACCTGAAATAGTCGCCTGACGTCGAAAATACCTACGCGAAATGATTGAATATAGGCGACAAAGCAGAAAAATCTATTATTTGGACGAGACATGGTCACACAGTTAAAAAAACCTGGATAGACAAAAACGTAGTGAGTAACCGACAAGCAAGCATTGAAGGTTTGTCAACAGGTCTTCGCGGACCATCAGGGAAAGGTCAAAGATTGATCGTAACTCATATTGGTAGCGATAATGGCTTTTTAGAAGAGTGTGACTTGATTTTCGTCTCTGAGAAAGGAGGTGATTACCATGACGAAATGAATGCCAGCTGCTTCGAGAGCTGGTTTCAAGGGGTGCTTCAGCGAGTTGAGCCCAACTCTGTGATCGTCATGGATAATGCTTCCTACCATAGTCGTCGAGCCGAACGTGTACCGACTATGGGATCTCGAAAAAGTGACATGCAGCAATGGTTGCGCGAAAAAGGAATCCCGTTTGACGATTCATGTGTGAAAGCGGAATTGTATGATAAAATTAAACAACGCAAACCTGCGAACATTAGTTACGTGACTGATGAGATGGCCCGTCAATGTGGTGTCACTGTGCTGCGGTTACCGCCCTACCACTGTGAACTGAACCCAATAGAGCTCATCTGGGCTCAAGTGAAGGGTTATATTGCGCGCCATACTACAACCTTCAAATTACCAGACGTTAAGGTTTTACTTGAGACTTCCATACAGCTAGTAACGCCCGAAGCTTGACAGAATGCTATCCATCATGTTGTGAAGGAAGAAACAAAAATGTGGCAGCTTGACCACCACATCGACACCATCATAGAGCCAGTTATAGTCAATTTCAACGAGGAAAGCGATAGCGACAGTTTATTACTGTCAGATGTAAGTGGAAGCGACGATGAATAAAGGTAATTCCCAAATTTTTGACTTACAATATGTTTCAAACCACTCTTTATTAAGCATGTGACAAATCTAGTTCACCCATGTTAAACATTCATACCCCGCCTATGAACAGCCGACTACTGGTAGTTAAGTGATGTTCACGTGAACAACGATGAGTCATTACAGTTTTAGATAGTTATAGTATAGTATATTTTGTACAAAGACCTAGAAATGTCGCAAAAAACCTAAAGAATGTAAAAAACAAAATATCCTAGAAAGATTTTTCTTTAACTTAGTTACTATTATAATTGAAGATGCAAGTGGATACAGTAAAAAGTCTCAATAAAAAGTCAATTTTCTCCATTCAATGATTTTCTTACATGCCACCTTCATCCGCTTGTAACCTTAATTATTTACTTACTGCTTGTAGGGGTTCCTCAACCAATCTTCCAAGATACTTTTTCTGTTGCTCTTTGGTTCCAACCAATATAACAGGATGTTGCTGGAAAAGGAAACTTTCGTCTAAGACTTAAACACAACGTTTGTAAAATGAGTTTTTTTTTCACAGAAAACTTTAGACTTAATCATTGAAAACGCGACACGCATTTAAACGGGACTTACTTTGTTATTGAATCAAATTGGTTTCAAATAATACCTTTGTGGCTTTGTGCCATACAGGGAAAACCAAACTTGTCCGACGGCTTCAGTTCAATGTGTACGAGAGAAAAGCGCGGAAAGTGTGTATCAAGTCATGTTGGAAAGAGACAGAACGGTTACGCAAGGTCGTGCCATCTGCCGCGTTGCCAATATGTTCACCAGAAAATGTTCGCAAAGTCTGCTACAATAGGAACATTTGATTTCACATTTATTTCAGTTTTGATGCGATTTAGTGTTTTGATTTATTTTAGAAGTATCTTCCAGCGATGGTGATAAAATCAAATTCAGACGCGTTAAAGGAGTAGAAGCATCGCTGGGTCCAGTGTATCCAGGTAAAAGGAGACTATGTGGTTCAGATGGAATAACTTTGCATATAATACTACTATGTATATCTGAAATTGACGTGTACTTAACGCATATTATCAACTGCTGTTTAGAGAGGGGATATTTCCCCAATCAGTGGAAACACGCTATAGTTGTTCCGCAGCTAAGTGTTCTGATCCTACTAACTATGGTCAACTGAGACCGATCAGTCTACTGCCAATTTTTTCTAAAGTATTGGATCGCGTTGTTTACGAGCAGCTATGCGCCTACTATATTCTAACAAAGTTATTCCATCTAAACAGTCTGGATTTCGACACTCTGTGATTTAACAGACAATATAACTGGCACTTGATAACCAAAAAGCAGTAGCTCTCATACTTCTTGACCTTACCAAAGCATTTGACACCATTAATCACTCACTTCTTGTGTCTAAATACAGTTATTATGAATTTTCTGAAAAACCTCTTTCGTTTATTCAAACCTACCTTGAAAATCGGTATCAAAAAGTTCGTCTAAATCTACCGAACAAAAAATTTGTTCTGGTGTACCACAGGGATCAGTCTTAGGACCCCCGTTATTTCCATTATATATCACATAAACTGTATCCATCGAAGAAACAAAGTAAAATCAAACATATACACCCGTATTGCACGTGATCAAGAACTTAACCGTAGGAGACGCTACAGGGCCGTATCAAGCTATTGTGACTGATCTATCAAAAAATGTCGTACAAGATATGTGTTGCTGTAAATTCTATCAAAAGCATAGTAAATTATCAGGAATATACCACGCCTTTCTAATCATATTTCGACATTAGGAATCAGTGCAAAAAATTCTGTATTCACCATTTCAGCAAAACGTTACTAAAACGCACACGAAAAAAACTTGTGGACCATCTCAATTGAAATTGTTCATATTTTATTATTAACTTACATATATACCCAATAATATTTACAAATCAACCTTCTATTCACAATGCAGAGCAAATTTTTTTGAGCAAATAGAAACTACAGACGTAGTAGTAGTAGTACAAAAGTTTATTACAGACTCCATAAAGTTTGTTAGTTTGATTGCTATTAAAATTTACATGAGAAATAGGAAGAAGGTCAAAATGGCACTATTATGCTTTGGAACTCCTAAATTAACCCTAATTTTGTGTAATTATAAATTTGGAATTTCCACATTAATAACTAGAAACTTACACTTTGATTGCAGGCTATAATGAACTTACCTGTCTTGCCAAAAAGCCCGTTAAACTGCCAGTCTTAATGGTATCAATCGATTTATATGCTGTATTCCGAGGAGCTTGAATCATCAGAATTGTTGATGTCAATTATAAGGGGTTCAACTTGGGTGTCAATGATATTGTCCATATCCCACATTTTGGTTTCAACCTTCTCTTGGACATGGTCAATACATGTTCTCCATTTTGCTGGCGCAATTCTATCGACAGCAACATCAAACAGTTTTTTAAGGTCAGAAAACTTAAAAGTGCTGTTATTTGACGCCACGTATTACTTGATGTCGGCCCAAATCAACTCGATAGGATTCAGTTCGCAGTGATAGGGAGGCAGCCTGAGAATCGTTTTATTTTGGTTTTTGGCCATTTCGTCAACAATTTTAAAATCATATTTATACTTATGTCGCTTGACTATATTTATCAGCTCAGCTTTGACCATTGTTTGGTCGAAGTCGATCTTTTTTGAGACAAGCCACTGTTGAATGTCTGCCTTTTTGGTGGCCATTGTTGGAATTTTTTCCAATTTTCTGGAGTGGTACGGGGCATTATCCATCACAATAATTGCGTTATCATCAAGTGTCGGCAAAATTTTTTTGAACCAATTTTCAAATGAGTTACCATCCATTTCTTCGTGATAGTCTCCAGTTTTTTTGGATTCAAATGCCCACAATGCTTCAGGAACAAATCCATCTACGCTACCTATGTGGCAAATGATCAGGCGTTTCCCTTGCCTGAAAGTAATTAGTTATTTTACTTCTCAGCGAGCGCACTAAATGAAGAAATTAAGCAACTTACTCTTTTTAGGTTAGTGTAGGATAGGGTCTTAGATTAGTTTTTGGGTGAAGGAAATACTCAGAAACTTGGATGAGATAGCAAAACTGAGTTCGGAGCTTCCCAATCATTGATTCGATCAGAAAATGAATTATCTGCATCCAAAAAAGTTCATATACTTCGAAACTTACCTGCAGGATTTTTCAATCCCGTCGAAAGGCCATCTAAAAAAGCCTGCCTTGAGGACCTCACAGATCTGTCTACCCAAACCTTTCCCTGCGTATGCCCCGCGTTCACCCATGTTTCGTCTAAATAATAAATTTTTCTTCCTTCAGCGCGGAATTGCCTAATTTTTCTAAGATATTCTCTCCTCCAGATAACAATTTCCTCCTTTTCTATCAATAAACTATTCCTTCCTCTTTTCAAAAATCGAAAGTCTAGTTCTTTCAACAGCTTATGGAACGTAGATCTTTTAAAATTTGGCAGGTCCTCATCATCATTCACTTGCTTCAATATTTTATCTATTGTAGGTATTTCATTCCTGAAGAAAAAGTGATGTACTTTTCTTCTAATGGCACTTTTGTCAAAGTCATCTATTTTTTCGATGATTTTTTTTCTCGCTGGATATGTTTTTGGCTCAGATAATGAGTGATTTTGTCTATATTCCTTCAAGATTTTGTAAACACTTGATCGACCTATTCCAGAAATTTCAGCAACCTTACATACGATATTTTCTATAGCCAATCCACTATTCTCTTGCATCTGGTTCTTGTAGATATTTAGAATAATTTGTTTTTCACCTGCGCTAAGATGAAGCTTTTTAGCCCTTTTGCTGGGTGGCGTTAAGCTGATTTCAACCACTTCATCAGCTGTATCTGTGTCAGACATTTTAGACTAATATTAAATTTCCGCAAGAAAAATCAAGTCAAGACGTGCATAAAACGTTCGCGCTCATAAACGGGTATCCGTAACTGATTACAATCCTGTGCGTGGTGACGAACCATCAACCTGACGCTGAGAGTTCCCTCTACTATGCAGCGTTGCCAGGCTTAATGTCACAATGATCATGTTTTATTGGGAAAATTGTCAGAAATCGCCGAATGTTGAACAGAAACATTACAAGAAGTCTAACCTTGAAATGTGAGGCTACAAATCGATATTCTTATAGGGGGGAAGGATAGGGAGCTGTTATGGTTCCTATTAACCTTGGTGAAAGTTGGAAACGGTAATATCATATATGGCATACATTCGGTTGAAGGTGTATGCACGGAAAATAGATTGCGGATAGGATTTTAATAGATAAATCTGCACAAAAAAACACAAAAGGAGATTTTTGTATTTCCCTGAAGAATATCTCAAGGTTATTTCAGATGTACTCATCGAAACTTTATGGAAGGATTATCGAAACCTTATTTTCAATTGCGATAGGGCCACATACCTCGACTTCGCATTAATGTGAAAAATAAGACAATAGAAAAAAATTCCCTCACTGATGCTATCTCTTAAGAAAAATTTAACTATAAAGATTGCACAAAAATTTTCTTCACCTTTTTGAGCTTGTTTTCGCATCTCCGTATATGCCGTTCATAATTTGCTGCAGATCAAATTGGAATATACCTTTGTGATGCCATTTATTGTTATATAATGTCCTTTACAACAGTTATTGCACGTATTGCAACAACAGATTGATTTGTGATCCATGCGAATGTGATCAACAACTCTGGCGAAAACTCGCCGAGCGTGGCAACCGTGCGACTTTGTCTGGAGGCTCGTCGCTACAAGCCAATCAGGAAGAGGTCGACAGAGCGCCATGGCTACCGATCACGCGTTGATCACGAATCAACCACTGTTTACGATTACTTTGTAGCTTCGTTAGATACACTTTAGGTAAAATCATGCAGCATACAATTTTTTGCAGACGATACTCAAATTTTCTATTCATTTAGGAGTAATGACTTGGAAACAGCAAATAACGAGATTAATCAAGATCTTGCCCAAATTGAAAAGTTTAGTAGTAGTCATAGTCTTCGTTTAAACCCCTTAAAGACAAATATGTTGGTGTACGCAAATAGAACAAAAAGGAATGCTTTAAAAAAGGACATAGGCATACATTTAAAATGTAATAAATTAGTTTACTTTTTCAATTCCACACCACAGCACATCTCTATTTCAGAATACATATATTTACAATGCGATCAAATCATATAACATAATTCTTTAGGCTGCAGTTTAAAAGAAACCAATTCATTACCCAAATTCAAGAAAAAAGGGAAAGAAGTTCTACTTGATCAGCAGCGAAATCTGTAACTCATGTTTTCCTTATGCCTTTACTTAGATTATACTTTATTCTGTTGTTATCGTATACAGGTATTAAATTTCAACAAATTCTCAGTTTTTATACATCTCGTATTGTTAAGGGGGTTGCATGGTAGAATAGATATATTATTTAATAATATTAGAAATAAAAAAGAAGTTAATTATTATTATTATACAGGGTGAGCCATCCATGTGTAGACGGAATATTAATCATAAATACATTTTGGGAAATCTATTTATGGAATGTTATACATGACATTTCTTCTTTAGAAAGTTCATTTTCAAACACGTTTTTATTATAATGCTCACAAATCTAGTTTTGACAGTTTGTCATCAATTTATTTGTTTCCAAGGTTGATGCGATATTTTAGGTAATTAAGACGTTCCATAAAAGACGTGCTAATAATCGAAAAAATAAACGTAAAAACGCTTATGTGTCTGATATCAAAAAAAAGCTTAAAGAAAATTGAATCAAAACTTGCACAAATATACAGGGTGATGCATTTGAAATTTTTGAGAAAAACTACAATTTGCGATTTTGTCCACTCTGTATGAGCCACAATTAAAATTCGAAAAAGTAACAAATGAGATAAAAGCTGAGCTGTATAAGTTTTTTTTGATACACAGTTCAGCACTCTAAATCTCAAAATGGCGGATTGAGGGGTCGCCGAAGTGGAGGGTTTTTCTAGACAAAACGCCTTATATCTCAGTAGCTAATTACCAAAACCCCATAGTATGTTATATCAATTTTCTCCCTTTGAATTGGTTTATCTATACAGGGTGACTTTGAAGTTGAGTCATTAATTTTCAGATAATGATTGTAGAAGGAAGATAAACCAAAATATGTGTGTAAAAATAAAAAAAAAATAAAAAAAAGTTTACCTTATATTATAAAGTATTCTCCCGACAAGTATTTCAGTGCGGACCTGTATTTGATCGTGAGGTCTTGGAGCACCGGCATGCCGTCCCCTGTGAGGTCTTAAGTCACCTGATTCACGAGCCCGTTGTACTACATTAACAAAGGCACGAGGGGTTGGTTGCACTCGATTGGGAAACCGATCCGCATAAACATGTTTTATTTCGTTTGAGCCACGCAGTAAACGCCACTATTCACTCACGCGTTAGCGACTGACACAGACTGAATAAAAACATCGTGATCAGCGTTTCAAATTCTTTCGCTTTTTTGTTTCCGATGCGATGAACCGATAAGGCGGATTATATCCGTTGTTGCCAAACACGAGCACATAATATTATTATTGAGACAGGGCGGTACTCAAACTTCTAAAGGGCTATAACTTTGTTACTTTAATTTTACCAGAAAAATGGTAATGGAAAAAAACATTTCTTTTGATCAGATCTACTCACTGTTAAAATAAATAACTCAACTTCGAAGTATATGCAATAAAATTTGAGGCATTCCATTTGAAAAATCACAACTTTGATATGTAGGTCTAAATTGGCACACCCTGTATAATGGCCAATATTTTTGAAATGTGCCCTGTGCCCCTGTCATGTATAACATCCCATAAATAGATTTCTCCAAAATATTAATTTATGAGTAATACATTCCGTCCACACATGGATAGGCCACCCTGTATAAATAGACGCATTTCCAAAATTTTCGTTTTCCCCTTTCTAGGCTAAGTACTCATCGGACCGCCCTCGTAGTATCATGCGCTGAGGCTCTCTGAGATTAATATTATCTTCATCGGATGTACAGGTTGACCAACTAACCTGGAAAATATTTTCAAGTTTCTCGAATGGCCGCCAGGGGGCGTGACTGCATTCTTGAATCTAAAAAAGTGATGTTTCTGTAAATTCCCCTATATTATCTTAACAAAAAAATACCTGATTTTTAGATCCGAGGATTATGTGAACTTTTTTGCTGTATCTCTAAAAATAAAGTTGTGGGGGGTATTAAAGGTTTCCGTATTAATCACCCTGTATCTTCGAAACAAAAAAATACCCGATTTTTAGATCCGAGGATTATGTGAACTTGTTTGCTGTATCTCTAAAAATAAAGTGGTGGTATTCAAGGTTTCCGTATTAAACATTCTGTATCTCCGAAACTGCTCTTGGACTACAAATACAGGGTGACTCTGAAGTTGAGTCATTAATGTTCAGATAATGATTGTAGAAGGAAGATAAACCAAAATATGTGTGTAAAAATAAAAAAAAAATTAAAAAAAAAATTTACCTTGTTTTATAAAGTATCCCCCCGACAAGTATTTCAGTGCGGACCTGTATTTGATCGTGAGGTCTTGGAGCACCGGCATGCTCTCCCCTGTGAGGCCTTAAGTCACCTGATTCACGAGCCCGTTGTACTACATTAACAAAGGCACGAGGGGTTGGTTGCACTCGATTGGGAAACCGCTCCGCATAAATCCGTGATGCCGCGTAAATAAGAATCATGTCCACAAGTTCAGCATTTTCGTAAACATGTGCCATTTTTGATTTCGTTTGAGCCACGCAACAGACACCACTATTTACTCACGCGTTACCGACTGACACTGACTGTATACAACTGAATAAAATAATTGCAAAAACATCTTTCCAAATTCTTTCGCTTTTTTGTTTCCGATGCGATGAACCAATAAGGCGGATTATATCCATTGTTGCCCAACACGAGCACATAATATTATTATTGAGACAGGGCGGTACTCAAACTACTAAAGGGCTATAACTCTGTTACTTTAATTTTACCACAAAAATGTTAAAGGGAAAAAACATTTCTTTTGATCAGATCTACTCACTGTTAAAATAAATGACTCAACTTCGAAGTCACCCTGTATAATATTTGTTGTCTTGTTAGTTTCACATGTGGCCGCGAGAAGGTTTTAGGCTAGAGAGATTTAACGAGCAGGTATATTTTTTTAGATTAATATAGCGGAATTCACAGGAACATCACTTTTTCAGATTGAAAATCGCAGTTACGCCGCTAGCGGCCATTCCAAATACTTGAAAATGTTTTCCACGTTTTTCTCTTGGCCGTTTTAATACGAACAAAAAACTTCTTACCCCCAGATCTGATGTAAGACAAGTGGAGGCGATACCAGCACATCCCCAGTTAAACGCATCTTCAACCAAGCAGGCGTCAAATGTACAATGGCCCAACCCACCTTGAACAATAAATATACCTTTACTTCCACACCACACACCTCCATTTTCGCATTCAGTTGATACAATTATACTTTATCTGAAGTCACTTGAAATAGCATAAAAACCTTTGGTTGGCGCGTCCTTTGTAATTTCATGACGTATCATAGGCGTGCGGTCATTTATTTAGAACGATAATAATAATGTTTTTATATCACAATAAATGGATTTTACTATCTTCTTATTTTTTTGATTTGGGATAAAAAATACTTATATTGGGAGTTTAATTTATGTTGACTGAAAGTTAAGAAATGGAAAAATTACAGAATTCCAACGTTTGACATAGGCAAATATTTACATAGCAGGTAGGTATATAAAAAGGTATATAAAGACTTACATTATAGGTATTTATATATCATCCTCGCCTTCGGAGCTGTCGCTAGTCATCTTGTAGAGGAATTACAACGGGATTTACAGGAGGCAAAACACAATATTCATTTTCTTTTTCAATAATATGCCTAGAACACTGCTTCCATAGGTCTGTGGCAGCAATATGAGATACTGCATCTCTTATTGTGGCCAATAGCGATTCACTTAATTGAGGGGTCTGATTATGTTTTCTTACTTTTTTTTTAAAGCAGCCTAGACCAACTCAATCGGGTTAAAAATGCAGTAATAGGGAGGTAGACGTAATACTTCATGGCCATTTTGCTGAAGCAGATTGTCAACAACATACTCTTTTTCAAATTTTTGTCTTTTAATAAGATCCAATAATATGGCTTTGGTTGATTTTTGTGGTATTTCCATTCCCTTATCCTTCATAAAATCAATAATGTCTTGTTTTTTTGTGCCTGTATTCGGAATTTTGTTTTTCTGTCGGGAATGGTATGGCGCATTGTCCATAATAATCACTGAATCATGTTCTCATGATAGTCGGCACATGATTCTTTGATATTTTTGGCAGATAACAGCAAGGCATTAGGTATAAATCCATTTTCACTGCCAGCATGGAGAATAATGATTCGTTTTCCACGGTTGCATGGTGCATTTAAAATGCACTTGTTGTTGTCGTCAACCCAGCCGTACTGCACAACATCATGGGTATCATACCACGTTTCATCCAGGTAAATCAGATTTCTTTTCTGCTCTCTATAGATTTTAACTTTGTGCAAAAATTCTTGGCGCAATTCAACGATTCGAGACGACTCCATAATCACCATTCTTTTATCTAATTTTTTGTATTGAAAACCACACTTACAATACAGTGCAGTGAGTCTAAGCATTTGTAATTATAAAAATCTTCAGGATAATCTTTTAATTTATCCCGTATCATTTCCAACGTGGGCACCAAATTTTCTTTATAAAATCCGTATATTATACGACGAATATCTTCCTGAAAATCCACGTCTATTCTTTTTAATTTTTGCCCTATGCGCTTTCTTTGGAAGGAATGGTTGACTACATCTCCCCTTTTTATAACCCGATAAATGGTAGACCGACTGATTTTTGTCAGGATACAAATTCTGTTTAAAATTTGATTTTGCGAGGAATCTGGATTTTCGTTTTTCAGACAATCATACATATTTAGGATTACTCTTTGGGTCTGTTCCTCTAAATCTTTATGAAAGAATTCTGCCTGCACAGGTTCATCAACCATCTCCTCGTGGCTTGGAGCATTTTCCCAAGGTCTCCAAAGAGCCATATTTAGGACACACAAGAACAATCAACACAACAATTAAATCAACAAGTAAACTGAGTATTCAAAAGTCAAAAACACACAAACTAATAAAATCTATGAAAAAACACGGACAGACTAAAGAAAACACGTTTATTCACCGCTACACGGCACTGGCTAAACTGTTTCAATTTTCAGTAGCCACCTGCACTTGTTCGGAGCTCTGAAATACACGCTTTCTCATTGGCTATGTCCACGCATAGGCGTGCTTTACTCCACGTGGACCGGTGAAACTGCCTTTGATCTTATACGGGGGATATTTGCTGCGAAATTTGGCGATTTTTGCAGCAACAGAGCGTGTTATATATATATAACGCACCCGGTATTTCACAGTGTTTCAAGTGACTTGAGATAAAGTATACATATTATAGAGGAAGTTTATATCTCCTAAACCTCTTGTAAACCTAGTTCCTGAAATGTTATTCGGTTAGAAAATACAGGTTAAAAACGGCACATTTGCTTTTCGTCTCCTGTAACCATGACCAACCGCAGACAGCGCTGTATCGTGCTCGTTAGCGATACATCAGAGCGGCATATGTCTAACCGTGGAAACAAGGGGATGTGGTGATAAAGTACTGGAAAGTAACACAATTGCTTATTCGCTCTTTCTATTAATAAACGAATGATTAATTCGGAAATTATTAAAAGAAAATTACTTTAAATAACCTTTGACAAGCCACGCCGATACTCATCTGAATAGGATGAATTCTAGAAATTCCACAAATGACCAGCCCCAAATATCGTTCACGCCCCCCTTGCAAAGCGTCCATCTATGGTGGAATGACTCAACGACACAACATGCATTGTTGGTTGCTATTGGTTGCAGAAGGCCGAGTAGTCTGTAGTGTTTATCTCTGAGAAGATGTAAAGGGAAGAAAGTTGTTTGAGTAGCTTGTGAATATGTGTATAAAATTAGTGAAATTTGCTGTGTCAGCCAAATCATTACCGAATGTGCTGCCAATGAAGTATATCTAAACTGGATGACAGTTGCTTTGAAACATGGAAAATTTTCCCCAAATTCAAATCTCGATATTTTCGGTACGTAAAGAGATATCGAGTTGCAGTATTCGAGAAGTACATTTTTAATCCACTTATTTAGGATGAGCAAAGGAACTTAATTTTTTTTTAGCAGCATTTGGGGCAATGTCATATTCTCAATTTTTGATCTTGGAAATTTTTCTATGCATTTTTTATCTTAGAATTAGAATTTAAAGTTATGCTTACAGTACGATTTTATTTCGGGGAGGAAATATACGAATGTTCCCACATTTGTTCAGGCACAAGAAATTTTTTATTTGGAAAAACGAATTTATCATTGTAAACGTCGATCTTTGAGCTATTTTTCTACATAGTCGCCATTTATTACGCATTTTTTTAGATTTGGAATCAACTCATGTAGGTTTTTCTACAAGATATCAACTTAGCACTTAGCTGTACGTGTTGCCTAAACGTCACGTCATGAGGCTTGTTATCAATATTTGACTCTGATGTGATGTAAAATCTGCTTCCGAGATGGCATTACTGCAGGTCTAAGCTGTACCTAAGTTGTATGTGTTCATGATAATTGCATTGGATTCTTGTCTCAAATACACTTAATTGAGATTCAAAGCTAGTTTCTTATCCATTTTGGAAATTACGTATACAAATTTGCTGAATTTCAAAAATGAGGGAGATAAGAAATAATTATATTCACTGTACACTGTCGAATTACAAGCCATATACATGCTAACGGTAATTACACACAGCGCAGGCGCGGTGATGATTTCCCGTAATTCTCCTTAGTTTTTCGTAATTTATAACTTTGAACATAACCTCTATTCAGAAAGTACACATAAATAATCTGTCGTCATATTCAGTAATGATTCATCCAGATGAGATCTTGCTATTCAACCAACTTTCTTCTCAGAGATAAAAGCTACAGACAAGAACTATTTGGCCTCACAAAACATATGCAACCAATAATGCGTGTAGTTCAGTTGATTAATTCCTCGTTAGATGGACGTTCTCAACAATCCTAGTGAGCAAACGTGGAATGACTGTTTGCGCCCTCAAAACTACCTAGCTTGCAAGATGACATCTTATAGGTTTTTTTTACGTTTTATAGGTTTTTTACGTGATACCCATGCGGCAATGACTTTCCAACAAGCTCGATTGTTGTGCGACACGACGATGCGCATTGTCGCGGTGGAGTCTTACGCTTTGGCAAGTTTTTTCCTACGACGATTTTGGATTGACATTTCGGGTCTTTCAGCAGCCTCAACCGTGTGCTCGCGGATCGTGATTCGCCGATCTTCGAGCAAGATTTGCTCAATATGCGCCGCAACATTCTCGGAAATCGACGGCCTCCTGCTTCGTTGCTTATCGTCAAAGAACTTCACCAATCGAGGACATGTTATACACGTTTACTTCATTCAACTGGCGATAAACGATAAACTTCTACGGGTGGTAACTTTTTTGCGCACGAATTTCGCACCTGGCGATACAGGACTCCATTGCACAAACAAGCGCTTCTTGTTGGAATCGGTGATGAGGCAGCCGACAAACAGGACGGTGTTGCCAGATTTCGCTTGCCATCACATGCGGCGTTGGGAACGCTATTTTTCAAAAAACCCTCGTAAATTACCAAATGCGATGTATTATCACCACTTAAAAGTATGGTATTCCTGTATTCCTTACCACAATGCTCTGGAATGCCGGCGTTTGTTAATCCCAACTCCCATGCTTTCTTTATTATTTCCGATGGATATTCTCCAGTTTTATCATGGTGGGCGGCAACAGGAATTATTTCTTCTTTAGCAAATTTCTTAGCCAATTCATATATTTCCCTCTGCGTGTCGGTTAATTCTGAAATGTACGTATTTGAGATAAAATTGTATACGTAGCTTCGAGGACAGAAAACTAGGACATACAGATCCTCCCATTATTCCGAGCAGATAGGAGTACCACGTATACTAAGTGACATATAAATCCGAACACCCAGTTTAAATGGTTTTATTTTAATAAAATTTTGTATAAGTACTTAATGAAGCATAATAAGTAAATGATAAAAATTTCAAAATGATTGCACCACTTTAAAGCACTTTGACCTTTAATAATGTGTGGATGCACCCTGATGTGCTACGCATTCTCCAACGCGCCTAGGCATGCTTCTGATCAGGTGGTCAATGTCCTCCTGTGGTATCTCATTCCAGGCAACCACCAACTCCTCTCGAAGTGCTTCTAGAGTCTGAGGAGGACGTTGCAAATTGAGCAATCTCCTACCCATCATATCCCACACATGCTCAATTGGGGATAAGTCGGGAGATCTTGGTGGCCATGGTAACAATGTGACATCATTATGTTGAAAGAAGTCTATTGTGACTCTTGCAACATGTGGTCGGGCATTATCTTGTTGGAAAGTTGGATCTGCCAGGATGTCAAGATAGGGTAAAAGATGGGGTTCTAGAACTTCGTGGATATAACGCTGCGCGTTCATGTTACCTCTGATGAAGATTAAAGGTGACCTGGAACCATAAGCTATAGCACCCCAAACCATAACTCCAACAGTGTGATGAACATGTCCTTCAACAAAAAACTGTGGATTCCTCCTTTCACCACGTCGCCTTCTAACCCTGGCACGACCATCGTGCATGCCTAAACAGAGACTCGTCACTAAAGACAATACTGTTCCATTCCTGATCCCAGAGTGACCGTTGTCTGCACCACTCAAGGCGATTACGTCGGTGTTCTCGAGTTAAAGGGAGGACCCAGTGTGGCCGGTATGAAAACAAGCCAAAACTTCCGTGTTCTGCAAACCATTCATTTGCAATGGACCTGGTAGTGGAGAAACGATCCCTTAAGGCCAATGATCTTAGGCGGCGATCTTCACGGTCTGTTGTTCTACGGCGGCGTCCAGTGCCCCTTGCTCTTTGCGTACGGCCTTCTCGAAGCCATGCCTGACAACACCTAACCACAGTGTCTACACTTCTTTGCACTCTAACTGCAATTGCCCGAAAAGAAAGTCTAGCTTCCCGAAGTCCCACTATACGGCCCCTATCAAACTCACTAAGTTGACGAAATCGTACAGGTCTCCGTACTCTAGGCATCGTAACCGATCATAAAGGATGTCAAGAACCAAAATCCGCCAACGTTGATTCTTTACTGCGGCTGAAATATTCATTTTTAGAGCGTTATGGGGCTACGTTAAGCAAGAGGTTTATAGATATCCACCATCTACCCCGGAAAATATGAAGGAAAGGATTAAGGATTCTTTTCTGAACATAAGGGAACACATGCTGTGGGATGTGCACCGGCCATTTATCCAAAGACTACGGCTGTGTATTCAACATGGTGTAGATATTTTCGAGCATATTTTGTAGATTAGCTCTTGAGTGGCGATAGTTGTTCGTTTATGTTGTTGTTATAGTTGTTTTTTTCTATTACGATTGAAGCTGATTTATACTGTTCTGATTGTTGTTAGTTTTTACGTCAAATCTGTACTCTTAGTGGCAATATGGAACTAGCCCACTGTTTGTCTTTTGTTTCCATGGATGATTTGATTTTTTTCCTTAATTTGTTGTTCTATTAAAAGCTTGATAACTCAAAATCTAGTTATTTTATTTGAATCAAACCTTATACCAAAAAAAGCTTATAAAAAATTGAATCCAAACTTGTACAAATATACGGAATGATGTATTCGAAAATTACTTTAAACGAAGTCATTAAACAGAGCTGTATTGCAAAACTTTTATAGTACCTTGGAATCATTCTCACTGAAAATATGGGTCATGTTAGTTTTAAATTTAAAATTTCACACGTTATTAGACGCTATAACCTTTTATATACAACTTTTTCTCCCAGGTCATTAACAAAAATTATAGTGGTAGTGGATTATTGCAGGAAAAGGGATGTACCGGCGTTGCCACATTTACTAGGTGTAGTTTTGCAAATATAAATAACATGTCTCCTTTGAAAGGAACGGACCAGCATATAAGAAACAGGCATTTGGCACATCATGTTCAGCTTACAGCTCATAACAGTTTTCCTTTGAATATTTTCGGTTCGCGAAATTCTCCATAATTCACCGTAACTCCCTGTAATTCCCAATAATTCCCCTTAATTCATCATAATTCCTGTTCATTTCTCGTAATTGCTTATACAGGTTGTCCGCAAAGTTGAGGTTTTCCTTTACACGACGTGTAGATCTTGAAAACATAAGCAATTTTTCTTAGTACCATATATACCAATGTCTTAAGGGAACCGCGATAAAGGGCTCTGCAACATCAAAAATATCTGAATACCGTCCTGTAGCCGCGACCAGCCGCGATATCCCCGACTGTTACAAGGTCTCAACCCGACGGCAGAACTGGGTCGGGGTCAGTGTGTCAGGTTAGTATGCAACCTTCAACCGAAGGTTACGGTCACGCGTGTAGAGGTAAACGAACTCGTATAATCGATTGCGTTTCAAAAAAGAACAAGCACTAGAGACGTGACTAGAGAAGTGCAAGTATCAAAAACTAAAGTGTGGCAAACGCTGCGTGAAGAGGGGCTGTATCCGTTTCACGTCCAACGTGTACAAGCCCTTCAACCTGACGATTTTCCAGCAAGAGTGCGGTTTTGTGAGTGCTTGTTGCATCAACATGACAATAATCCGGACTTTTTGAAGTGCATATTGGTGACAGTTTGGTCATTTTCAACAAACATTTTCGGTGAACGTTTGGGCTGGCATGGTGAACGATATGCTCATTGGACCATATATTCTCCCAAATCGATTGGACGGGATGCAATTTTGCATTTTGCCTTCCTTGTTAGAAGATATGCCATTAAGTGTAAGACAATCAATGTGGTTTCTGCGTCTGCTCGGTAGCGCTTCAGCTGATCTCATTTTCTGTTGGAGCGGTATGATTTCGGGCAGAGACGTACTTAGCCCTTCTCGTCAACTGGAGAGTGAGTACTTTTTCCTTTATTTTTTTTCTTGGTCGCCCTCGTTTCACTACACATTACCTTTGTTATTTCAAGGGTAATTGTTTCTGAAAAGGAAAACCCCAACTTTGCGGACACCCTGTGTGTATAGTACAACTGATTCCCCAGCGAATGACCCGTCGGCTTTCACCCTTCTGGAACCCTTTCAGATTTTTTGTGAAAGTCAAATATTAGAAGGTGTAGCAAAACACGTGTTACAAACTTCATTCAAATGTCTGAAGAAATGTGTTTTAAAAAGAAAACTTTGACGGACCAACTAAGCACTTTTGAGTCTAAAAATACATGGTACTTCTATGTCCACTGAATACTGGGACACTCTGCAGACTAAACACCCATCATAGCAATTCTTACCAAAGCTGTATCCTTCAGAGTTCAAAGTTTTCGCAGTGGAAAAGTCTTTTTTCAACGGCCCTATCGTTGATTTTGTTACTTTGTATATCTGAAAAAGATTCGTTTCAGTTTCGTCAGATGTAGGCAGACAGAGAAAAAAGAAAACCAGGCGATGCAAGTTCTAATCAAGTAACAAAACACTGGTCAATATGACTTTCTGCCATTTGTTACGTTTTTTTTTATATCGGACACGGACACCGCCTTCAAACGGACAGTTTCTCGTGATCCGGACCGACTCTCATATAATTTGCATTGTATTAACTCTTGAACGGACGCGGACACGAGACAATGTTCTGTTAACAAGACAAAAAACAAAATAAAAAGAAACGCCTTGCCTTAGTTTCTTTCTGTTGAGAGTATCGCTATTGCAACTCTCGTTAGTGCCACGCGCCATCTTCGCTCGGATTTCCTCGAAAATATCGGGGATTCACCGACTTTAATCTTTCGGTACAAAGGCAGCCTACGTGGTACGTTTCTGCCCCGTGGTAATTACGGACTTCCCCGAGTTGCTAGGGGATTTACCGTTCTTATTATTTGGGTACACCCTTTCGATTAAATTTCCATTCGGGTGCAACTCATATTGGCGAATGGGAAACAAAGCAGTGTTGCTGGTGCATAATATGACAACCATGTCGCACCTTCAAAAAATGGCGACTTATTGACAACCGACGTTGTCCAGATTCAAATTTCCGGCGGGTTTCTTCCTTTTCAGCATGTTATTTTATTAACATTTCGTTTTAATTAAATAAGGTCCCTATTACGTTATATGAGCCATATGCATTTTGTTCGGAGTTGTGAAGTATAACATTGTAAGTACACAAAGCTGTAATACCTATGTTTGTAAATACTATAAGACAAACTCCACATCAAAACTTTCATTTCTAAGGTGAACCGAGTCATTATCCAGGCTTCTGGCAGATCCTGAGGAAGATCAGAGATGCAGCGGTTACTCATTTTAGGAATGTAATATTTGAAGATCGTACCTGTTTGTATCTCCACATCACTCTTTGGACAGTGGAGCACCACGAAAAGTTCAACAGCTGCCGTTGTCAACCCCTGAGGTCCTGAGAATTATCAGAAGCTCAGAGATTACTTCTGATCTAACCAAAAGGCTCAGCTCTGTAGGATATTTGCAGAACACAACATTTGTAAGTTTTTATATGACTCAATAACTAATGATGGTTTGTACTGCTTTTTGTCCAAGTTACTTCGTTTTAAATCAGCTACTTTCAGAGCAGTAGGGTTGATATGTAAAGCTCACTATAATTTTAATGAAATCAAAGCCAAGAATTGTTATTGGACAATAACACACACACACATATATATATATATATATAACTTGAGATGTGATCATTGTCGTCTAGACCAGTTAGGTGAAAAATTAAAGCTTCCGCCTTTTGTTGGGTACTTCGACAAAATTTAAGCAAAGAGGACTCTTTATACTTTTTTTATTTCTCTCTAGCTTTTAATGGACTTTGCCATCATCATCAGGAGCTGCAATTACAATTTCTTACATAACATTCTGAAAATCACATCATCTGAAGTGATTTGGCAACGTTTTGGCACACGCCCACAATTCGTTCCATCTTTCAACACAGACATTGACAACCTTCGGCCTTCTGTCAAAGGTTCATCTCACTCATTATTCCATGACCACCATTTTGTGCAATCATCAAGTGGCTTCACGATGTAATGCTCTAATGTTTTTAAATAATTTTTAATCTGTTTTTAACTTGTTCTTGTCATATTTTATATAATTTTGACCATTGTACCATCTATCCAGCTCTCACCATGTTACTGGACGTTTTCCTCATCCTATACGTAAACAACAATTAGCAACATCCTCACATACTACTGTAAGTTGAGTCAATTTAAATTCATTTTACACTCTTGTTGCTACTGTTATCATTGTAATTGCAGCTCCTGATGATGATGGCAAAGTCCACTGAAAGCTAGAGAGAATTAAAAAAAGTATAAAGAGTCCTCTTTGCTTAAATTTTGTCGAAGTACCCAACAAAAAGCGGAAGCTTTAATTTTTCACCTATATATATATATATATATATATATATATATATATATATATATATATAAAAGCATAGCAATCTCAGTGTTATATATTGAGCGGACAACGTTGCGGAATATTGATGCACAATCTGGCAACAATGTCGCACCCTCAAAAAATGGCCGCTGACAACCGCACAAGTCACCGTGTTGCCATTGAATAGCATGGAATTAAACCTTCTTCAGTGTATATGTTTTGTGGGTTTAGTCTGAAGTCGATGCGGGAAAGACACAGTGAGAGACACATTCGTTGTATAAATGGCTCCAAACACAAAAATTCTGACGCTTAAACAGAAAATTGAGATTGTTGAAGTTCGTAATAAGGAGCTTACTCGTATTTAAGCGTTTCAATAGTGAAAAACAGAAGCTGCAGAATTAAACATAAAGAAATCCTTCTGAAGAAATGGATGCCGAACAGCAATTTGAATGCAAAAAGAAGATTTAGCAGCTCGTCGCAGGGGGATTCCTTTGACACATATCTATGCATATTATTTTTTTCGTGTCGTGTCAAGAAACGCAATAAACTTATTTTCTTTATGTCCGCTAATACGTTGCAAAGCAAAATAAATAGCCAATTTTCTCGAACATTCTGGTTGACTCAATAAATTTAGAATTCGCCACAATATGAGTTTTAAAGCGGTTTCGGGAGAAGGAGCTTCGGTTAATGCTGAGGATGTTTCATCGTTTTTGAAAAAATGTCCTTCGTTGATTAAGAGTTATTCACCGAGAGACATTTATAATGCCGATGAGACAGGCCTGTATTTTAAGGCTCTACCCGACATTTTCATCGGCAGTGTCATTTTATCAATAACTCTTATCTGTAAATACATTCATTACTCACCTTTTGTAAAATAGACATTTTTAAATACAGTTTTGGTCATGCGGCGACACAGATCACTTTGTTTTAATGTTGAAAGCTACCTGTGAGTATGTGAAATTTATCAAAGTCCATTGAATTGATAAGTCACATAAATAAACATTTATTAATTGGTCAATTATTTTAGCAATAGCCTTAATACAGGGTGTTTCACAACTATCCGACAAATTTCAACCACATAAGCACTGTTACGAACGATTTTTATTTCTCAACAAAAAAAAAACGTAATAAAAGTCCTACAGAAATCGAGATAATGAAATAAGCTTGAGCGCGTCTAATACAATTTCGGCGCACTAATTCAAATACACCTCCTTGCTACTACGCCTGAAGGCTCAAATTAGCGGCAGCCACTGTGATTCGGTCACGCAATTCTTCAGTATTCCGAACGTAAAACAATTGATCTAAATTTTTCGTGATGTGGTATGTGCCTATTCGGAAATCGGTGTCCACTAACTCCTAATTAGTGTACACGTCTACCATTTTAAATATAAAACTACTTCTGAGTTGGGTAAATACCACAATTTCGCGGTGATAACTATGACGTATAACAGCTGATCCATGACGTGACGGATCTTATAACCAAACTGGTAACCACACTCGCTTGAACGAAGCGGTAAATACCAATCCAAAATGGTAAATACCATCTTCATTTGGTCATTCGCTTGAATTTGATTATACACTGAAGATAGGATGTTGCGCATGTGGGTGGAGCTTCGTGACGTCACCCTGAGACTTGTCGACTCGTGGTTACTAGCGGCAGGATTGTCGTAACGTTACTGCAGGGCACGTGTGTATTGTGGTTAATTTTATACAGGGTGACTTCGAAGTTGAGTCATTTATTTTAACAGTGAGTAGATCTGATCAAAAGAAATGTTTTTTTCCTTTACCATTTTTCTGGTAAAATTAAAGTAACAAAGTTATAGCCCTTTGGAAGTTTGAGTACCGCCCTGTCTCAATAATAATATTATGTGCTCGTGTTTGGCAACAACGGATATAATCCGCCTTATCGGTTCATCGCATCGGAAACAAAAAAACGAAAGAGTTGGGAACGATGTTTTTACAATTATTTTATTCAGTTGTATACAGTCAGTGTCAGTCGGTAACGCGTGAGTGAATAGTGGTGTCTGTTGCGTGGCTCAAACGAAATCAAAAATGGCACATGTTTACGAAAATGCTGAACTTGTGGACATGATTCTTATTTACGCGGCATCACGGATTTATGCGGATCGGTTTCCCAATCGAGTGCAACCAACCCCTCGTGCCTTTGTTAATGTAGTACAAAGGGCTCGTGAATCAGGTGACTTAAGACCTCACAGGGGAGGGCATGCCGGTGCTCCAAGACCGCACGATCAAATACAGGTCCGCACTGAAATACTTGTCGGGAGGATACTTTATAAAACAAGGTAACATTTTTTTTTATTTTTTTTTTATTTTTACACACAAAACTATTCTTAGGTCAAGGATGTTCTTCCAGGTCAAAGAAATAAATAAAAGTTTGAAAGACAAGAAACATCGTCAAAAGAAATCGATAAAAATTGTTGCTTAAACTAAGTCATTTGCATTTATTGTTATACCGCCAGCTTACTTCAAAAAGAAGATAACTCTATTTTTAAGACGAATCCATCGACATTTCGTATGTGAAAATCCGTCCAGCCGTTTCGCGTGTAGGTGACAATATGCACGTTATCCATATCAACCCAAATGAGAATTACTCTCAGCGTGACGTCATGCGCGCCGACGAACGAAAATCGAACAGCGGAACATCCGGCACTGAGTAGATGAGCATGAGCTGTTAGTAGCATCATGTCTGAGCAGGAATTGTACACGTCTGTACACACATAAAATTTTTGTCGCGGGAGGGCGTAAAACCTTCCGAAATTTTGCGTGGATTAGCAGCACAGTTCAGCGATAAGACAGTTTCAAGGACACAAGTATACGACTGGCAAGAAAACCCATAGAGTGGCGAACGCCTGGATAGGCAGCGTGCCACAGCTTTCGTGATATCAACATGAGCCTCACCATAAGTCAGGATGAGTTTACTCCACCAATGCTTGACGTAGAGAGAGCTCCTGGTGCCGGAAACCATACTGCCTGTCGCTAATCAAGCCGTGACGTTCGAGGTAGTCCAGAAGCTCGCGATTTATACACCTCATCTTATTTATAACAGAAAGCAGAGCTATACTCGTAGATCTGTAGCTGTAAGGGTCGGTCTTAGATCCTGTTTTGCGATGGGGTGGACATGAACAAATTTCCAGTTTTCTGGGAAGGTGCCGGATTCGTAAGACATGGAAGAGACGCGAAAGAAATGGAGCAAGCTCCGCTGCATACCTGCACACCTCTTCAATGAAACGACAGGAATCAAACCCGGACGGGAAGCTTTGTTGATGTTGAGCGTTATGCCTGAATGTTACTTCCCGCAAAGTGTAGGAAAACCTTTGAATCGACGGCACTTGGGCGTTGGGGGGACGTCCATGAAGGAGTTGGCAGCAAAGATCTTGGCAAGCACGTGGATGATTAGAGAAGAAGTCGAGGTTATCCCAGTGGGCATGTCCGTAATGCCAAATTTTGCGGCCTGGGCGAGTTTCTGCTGCCACAGCGGCTTCTGACCGAAGCCTAACCTCCACAGCACCTTGGACTGAGTTACCCAGGGGGGGACAGGACAGCACTGCTGTAAGGGACAGGGTGTGTTGTTAGAAAGAGATCCAGCAGGTTACTGGCGTGTAACGAAACGGGGAGGGGTAGGGCTCGTCAGCAGCTTGGTCAATCCTTCGGTAAAATAGCAAACGCTTCAATTGCACGACCTGCTGCATTGGTCTTGTTTGAGCCCAGCCAGAGCTTATCATGGGCATTGAGAACTACCTTTGGAGCGAGGTGATTGATCTTCAGGAAGTCGATCTTGACAGCGAGGTATTCAGCTATTCAACTAGGTTATCCCAGTTGTGGTCCAAGGGAGTATAATAAAGGCAGCAAATAAATTTGGGGGATGTTTTGGAGTTGAAGCGAAGCCGTATAATGTCCTTCCAATCTGAAACGTCTCTGGAGCAGGAAAGACTGCTGCGGACAAAAGCCACAACTGCCCCGTTGTTTCTTAGATTGGAGTGCACCTCGTAATTTGGGAAGCTAAGACAGTTAATCGGTGCAGAATCTGAGATTTTTGTCTCTGCCAAGAAAATAATAGCGGGATGATTAGATTGCAAGTAGTGATGATGTTCGTGAAACAAATTTTATCTTATATGTTGTTCCCTGGAGTCCACCCTCCACCCGGAGATTCCGAGTCTGGAGCGAGTTTACATCCGGAATTCTTAGTACTCGAGAAATCTTCTTCCGAGTGGCACACGACGGCGTCTCCTCGCCCAATAAAAGGGAAGAATGAGCAAATCCAAAGTGAAAACGATGCTCGTTGTCTTTTTTGACATCAAAGGCATCGTCCACCATGAATTTGTTCCTCCTGGACAAACCGTCAACGCCAATTTTTACGTGGAAGTGCTCAGGAGACTCAAACGAAGGGTCAGTCGGGTCCGACAAGACATCGCAGCCGACTGGAAGTGGCACCACGACAACGCCCCGGCTCACACCGCCTTTCTTGTGAACAGCTACCTGACCAAGGCCGGCATCCCAACGCTTCCGCAGCCGCCCTACAGCCCAGATGTGCCCCCTGGACTTTTTTTGTTTCCTCGCCTGAAAAGGCCGATGAAAGGCAACCATTTTGAGACGGCACAGGGAATCCAAGCAGCATGCACCGCGGCTCTGAAGGCTATTCAGGAGAATGCCTTCCGTGACGCCTTCAATGCTTGGAAGTCACTCTGGCAGCGCTGCATCGACGCAGAAGAAGCCTATTTTGAAAGTTTTTAAAGAATTGTAACGATTGGCTCAATAATTTTTTTTAAATCGACTCAGTCCTATTACTTTCCGGACAAACCCTGTAGCTTAGGTGTGGAAACATGCGTACATTCCCTGGTAAAAGCTAGCGGGTGGTTCCGCTATGGTCGATTAAAAGTGGTCCGTTGGCGGAATTGTACCGCCACCCGGCAATCGGTACTGAGGTATTCCTTAAGGTCGCACGTCCCTTTTTTTCAACTGTGCGTTTGGAGCAGTATTATGAGCACTTATTGTCTGATTATTTCAGGGTGTGTATAAAAATGACTGATTTATGATAATCTCATGTTTTTTTGTCAAAATGACAACTTTTTTTGCCAATTTTTTTACAGTCCCAGCTTCGAAACAAATAATCGTAAAGACATGAAATTAAGTGATTGCATTATGAATCAATAAGGGAACGTCCTTTATCGCTCATTTTCCACATATAATTTATTTTTCGCATAAAAATTTTCTTTTTCTTTTGAAGGAAAACGATTTTTTGAAAGTATGTGGATAAAAGACATAAAGAACTGAAAGAACAAGCCATCTAAGAAAAAATCAACTCATTTGCTCAAACGGTTTTTGAGTTGTAGATGTAATTTGACAAATATTTTGGCAAAACCACGCCTCCCGCTGACCACTCCCTCGGCGGAAGATTATTGGCCCTATTTAAGACAGGTGCGTGTACGATCACTTTAACGGGAAGAAGTTGTATACTGAATACAACTTCTGGAACAAGCATTTTCCACGGCTCCGCTCAGTAGTATTGCTAGTAATAATAATAGATAAAAACTGAGTTTGTTTTTTCTTTGAGGTACACTATCTTACTTCATATACCAAACCTCCCATATCTCTCATCATACTCATCAGTTAAAATTGTCGGTTTCTGCCGAAACTAAAATTGAACTGAAGTTTCTGTTGGTGCGAAAATACTAGTTTCGGTCGGACAGTAAAAACGAACAACGCTATTTATTATTGTTTTACGTTTATACAATGAACCCTGCTTATAAGTAGTTATGTTGGGAACAAAAATGTAGCAACGTATGTGTATAGCTGTACATTTAAAATAAACATCGAAATGTCAGACTAAAAAACATAAACAATCATTAATTCGTACAGGAAAGCAATATTCAGTACCACGTACCACATAACGCTAAAACGCTAAAATCTTGATAATCAAAGTCCAATGATACAGGCAGTGTGGCCAGGTACAATGTGTATACGTTTTCGGTAGATTTATGCGAAATTACGTTTCGATAGGCATACATTTAAGCAGAAAGTAAAAACTTGAAGTACCTTGCTCCATTCGATTTTGAAAATTGAAGAGCGGAAGGGGTTGCATCAAATGTATTTTGTTTTGTTGAGTCATACATTAAATATAACGAGTGTTTCAAATTCGACCCCATTGGGATCTCAGAATCAGTAAGAGGTAAGAAGTCGCTACAATGGGGGCAAAGTTGTGTATTTCGGTACCTCACAAAATGTCGGTTGGAAACTTTCGTTATTCCAAGAAAAAACAAATTTTTCCAAAATCGTTTTTATTTCTTCCTGACTTTATTTTTAGTGCGATGTTAAAATGAATTTCATATTAACGTTGCCACTTTTTCTCCTATAGAAGATGACATAATGAGAAGTTCAGTATGACGTTTCGACTCCTGTCCTCCAGCATCAACCTCATTTCTGCTCATATGTCATATGTTGACATTGCCAAATCTCAGTTACTCCAGAAAAACATAATTTCCTCGGTAGGCCTTGAAATTATCATAGTCATTTGTTTCCTATACCAGACCAGACCTCAAAGTGAACATAGTAACAGAATACGGAAGACAGACGACTCCCCACGGGTCTCACGTATCTTGAAAAGTGACATTATGCCGATTTTTTTTGACATTATGCTGTTTTTCTTTACTTTATGTAGGTTTTTCTACAATTTATTAACTTAGCACTTAGTTGTACGTGTTGCCTAAACGTCATGAGGCTTGTTATCAATCTTTGGCTCTGATGTGATGTAAAATCTGCTTCTGAGATGGCATTACTGGAGATCTAATCTGTAAGTTGTATGTGTTGATGATAATTACATTGGGTTCTTGTCTCAAATACACTTAATTGAGATTCAAAGCTAGAAATTAGCTGCGCATCCACTTTTTCTTATCCATTCTGGAAATTACATATTCAAATTTGCCGAGTTTAAAAAATGAGAGAGATAAGAAATAATTATATTCACTGTACACTGTCGAATTACAACAGTAATTACACAGAACGCGGGCACGGTGATCATTTCCGTCATTATCCTCAGTTTTTCGTAATTTATAACTTTGAACATAACCTCTCTCCAGAAAGCACAACATAAGAATAACCCGTCGGGCACAGTCAATAGATATAAGGTACTTCATTGGCAGCATATTCAGTAATGATTTCCTCACACAGCAAATATCACTGATTTTATACACATGCAGACCAATGCACATAATCAACCAGATGCGATCTTGCTATTCAACCAACTTTCTTCTCCGAGATAAAAACTACAGACAAGGACCATTTGGCCTCACAAAACTATGCAACCAATAATGCGTGTATAGCTTAGTTGACTGATTCCCCCATAGATGGACGTTCACATCGATCCTAGTGAGCAAATGTGGAATGACTGCTTGCGCCCTAAAAAACTACCTAGTCTGCAAGTTGACATCGCATAGGTTTTTTTTGACGTTTTGTAGGTTTTCTACATGATACCCGTGCAACTGTGAACACCTTCTGAAAATGACAACCACTCGTGTTGGCGAAACGTCAAATAAAAATGTTTTAGGACGGCCTAACTACCCAAAACCGGACCAAATAACATTGGATGATGGCCGCGAAAGCCTTTCGCATTAGATTCTCCTAAACTTCTGCATCGCCCACAATAATCACAATACATCTCACGTACAACATCATACCTACTCATAGTATTGCTTTATACTTTATACTCATTTTTAACGGAATATCTCCGAAAGCATCAGCGTGGATAATCTCGATATTACTTAAAACAAACGCCATATTTGATATTTTTACAATTAAATAAAGATAGAGAATACCGACAACTGGCACGTCACGTGATGCCGGTAATACAGTTTCCTCGATTTTGCCTCGAGAAGATGAGCTTGGTGTTGCCAGTTCGTCCATAATGCGGGTCCCACACGATGCCTCCAACGTTGTAGACAGCGTTGTTTACAACGTTGGACACCCCGCAATTGGCAAGTGTATCTCCTACACGATGGGTTGAACTGTTTAGTCTCTAACGTTCGTCGCATGGTGGCGCCAACGTCTATTATCGGTGTCAATGTCGCGCTACTAAATGAACTATGAAACAATTTTTTCGAACGGCATAAAATCATTTCACATCTGTCTTCAAGGAAAAAAACGTAAGTCTGTCAGAAGCCTCAGAAATATCGAAAAACGAAGTTTGACCGTTTTTTTGTTTGTTTGCTTTTTCGTCATTTTCATAGTAGTAACCTAGGGTCAAAATTTCATCAAAATCCTGATAGTACTTTCAGAGTTATCATTTATTCAATCTTTTTCGTTAGTTATGAAATGCAAGTTAATATATTTCTCTACTAGTCTTGCATTGCAACAGGACATTATAATGAAACAACTGTAAATATTTTATAATTTACTAAAACACGTATCCTTAGGCCAGCCATAACTCACCTGCGAAACGTACAAAATATTAGCAATATAAAAAAAGTGTTGTTATGGCAGTTAGTTAAGGAACATACATTATTATGAATAGGTAGGTGTTCAAATCAAAATACTTCCCTCTTACCACTACTTCACCACAATCACAACAAGTAAATAGTGTTATTCGCCGCTACTGGTTCTAACCTAAAACCATCAAACACATGACATCTTGTGTGGGAGCGTAACGAACCATGCTTCCAGCGTTGTAACGTCCTTTGACGCGGGTCAAATTTACCGACAAGAGCCCGAACGTGCCATGTGGCGAACGTTGGACACATGCAATCCGTCAGCGCTCTCCCACACGATGTGGCGAATGACCATGTGTCCAGCGTTGTAAGGCATTCGCCACATCGTGTGGGAGTGGTTTAAGACGTTTCACTCTCCTGGTTTCTAGATGAATTTGCTGTCAACCGATCAGCTGACATTTGACGTTATGACATAACCTCACTTTCTCAACCCTTAACCTCAAACAAACAGTAGGATGGTTACAAAACATTTTTAACAAAAAATATGACTTTTATCGACTATAGTAATGAAGAAAAATCTAACAAGTCAAGTGCGACAAAAGAAGAAAAGGCGACAACTACTCTGCCCGAAGATGCAAGCCAATGGGGATATGATATGTACCCTGAACGAAAAGGCACAAGTTCTGGTCCATATAAGAAATCGCGGTCGATTACAGATTATTTATCAGGAAAAGGAAGAGACAACATAGATAAAATCAGATGTGAAAGGAACGTGTACAAATGCGTAAAGGAAAGCCCTCTTGTTAAACTTATGATGGGAGCTTTAAGATCATCTGGCTGTGGCTTAGATATAAGAAGACACATTGCTTGTGAAGAATGTGCACCTCAAGTTAGCGGTGGATATGATCCTATAATGAACCAGGTAGTTGATTGCAATATTTGTTTCTATTAGATATTGAATGATATAGGATTTTTGTTGATGCTGATATCAGCAGTTAGCTTTTCTCTGTACACAGGCGAGTGTATTTTTATTCAGATGAGTACATAGGCTACCAGCAGCTATGCACAAATTGTCTTCTAGTAATCAGTATTATGACTTTAACTTGCGCTATGTTGGACATAAAACACACTAGGTAAATATGCCAACATACAGGACTTGTTGAAGAAGTACCTTTCTCCCATGTTGCACCTTCACAATATAATAACCTTCCAGCTACTTTAAAAACCTTGAGATATTTTAAATTTGTTGTACCTGATTCACACTGACTTGTTTGTGTAATAATTATGCATTTTACCTTGCTGATAAAACTGTACTTTTTTGTATCATATATTTTTCTGCCCTGGTTGGTATTGAAAAGCAGCAGATAAATAAAGGCATTTTAGATAGATACTTATATTTTAGTAAATGAATGCATGTAACCAGTGAAAGAAGGAAAACATGATTGATACATCAGAGATAAAAAAAGAAGACCTACATATGATAATGACAATTTAAAATTTGTAAGATAAAAACTCTTGTACAGTATAAAAGCAGCTCTGGGTTAGAAATTTCTTTACTTTGTGCTTAAGCAATCATTGTAATTCATGATATCCCTTAGATATTTTGGTGGATTGTTGAATAAGTGGATGCAGTTGTAAAATGCAGGATTTTTCATATGTTGATGTTTTATGCCTAAAAAAAGTTGAAAGCTTAGGGAAGAATAAAACCATCACGGTTGCTTTTCACAAATGTTACACTTTTTAATATTTAAATTGTTGGAAGTGTTAGAATTCTGTGTTCTTTAAAAGTTTGTCTGCATAACCCATTATACAGGGTGTAATTTAATTGATGGTTAAAAATACAGGATATGATTCCTTAGCTCATTTTAGGAAGAAAAGTGTGTATGAACACATGTCCTAAACCTCTCAATTTTAAGAAAAAATTTGTTTTTTTAGGCGCGGGTACTTTCGTTTGTTTCAGGTGATCGTCTGCCACAACACCGCCAAAAACGAGGGCATCGTTCAAGGCGTGCTGACCCACGAACTGATCCACATGTTCGACTATTGCCGGAACGATTTAGACTTCAAGAACCTCGACCATCTGGCCTGCACCGAAATCAGGGCGGCCAACCTTGCGCATTGCAGCTTCATGTCGGCGTGGATGAGCGGCAACGCGTCAGTGTTCAACATCAAGGAGACGCACCAGGACTGCGTTAAGAGCAAAGCGCTCAGTTCGGTTTTGGCAGCCAGAAGTGGGATCAGTAAAACTGAAGCCATCAACGCGATCGAAAGGGTGTTTCCGAAGTGTTATCCGGATTTGGAACCCATCGGAAGAAGGTTGAGGAGGAATTCGTACGATATGTACAAGGCGTATGAAGAGGGATATTATTACGGCTATGATATTCCTTAGCGTTTTTGTTGGCAATAGGAATTTGTAATATATTTTATTGTTGCCATTGTGTTTTCCTCATTAGTTTCAAAATTTGCAAGAGTTAAATCTCTTGCTACAGACTTCGCAGTTAAACTAGCTGGTCAATGTGGATCTAGAGTGTTTCTGCAGGAGGCACTGAGTTTCTCCGCGTCTCTATTATCATATTTGGGGTGTCGCCACCATAACTTCCTTTTTTCAAAGCTTAATATTACATTTATTTCATTGGTAAAAAGCTGCATACTATAACAAAGCGAACATGCAAATTAAATGGTAGCAAAAAACACACACACTTGAAAATACGTTAAACAGTTTTACATGCTAAAAACCCTCAGATTCCAAGCAGCACTGCTAACGCTGTCCAAGAGAAACACTGTATATCAGCTTGTAAAAAACTGTAGCATAATATTTAAAGAACTGTAAATCTGAGGCCTTCCATTTACAGTATTTTTCACGAGTATCTACCGCGGACCAAGGTCAATAAATGACAGCTTTGCATTGCTTAAACAAAATTCTTTTTGAACGGTTCTGGTTGACCTTGAGTGACATGAACATGACATAATTTCCTTCCAAAGCCACTCAAGGTCAACCAGAACCACAACCTCTCAAAAAGAATTTTCTTTTTGCGTGCATGCTCAGCTATCATTTTTTGACATTGTTCCTGGATAGATACTAGGAAAAAATAGTATATTGCTTACGAATAACACACTTCTGACTTAACTTAAATCAAATTCTTTTCGCAGCGGTTCTGATACTGGTTGACCTTGAGTGACATAAAAATGACAAAATTGGAATTGAATTAAGTCATTTCCATGTCGCACCAGAACCGCTAAGAATTTGATGCAAAGTAGATTTTACGCATAATTACATCTGGCGACAAGATCAGCAAGCCAGAAGACAGGCTTTGCGATCTACGTATCATTGGATAAGGTAGACGTTTTAATACTCACTGGGTGCAGATTTCAACAATTCTGGCTTATGCCATGCCCATATCCATGCTAGGAGAGATTCCTGTTAAACTTGTTTAAAAAATATTGGATTTGGCAACATGGAACAGTCCAAGCAACTTTATGATGTAATGTTGCCCATTCGAATTATATTCAGATAGTCTCAGTTAATATGCTTCGTGATCGAAAGTATACTCGGTGACATTAGAAGTGTTACACCCAGAAAAAATAATTTCTTCAACTGGATCTTTTGGGAATGAGTCTTACATCAAGAATGAAACGATAACATTCCCACGAAATTTTATTGGCAATAAGAAAAAAATTAATGCTGCGAATCCCGCAGCTGAATACACTCCTGTATACGTCTAGGCATCGACAAAATGAGATGATCGATGTCTGGTTGTGGCACCTCATTCCAAGCAACCCGAACTTCCTGGGTCAGCTGTGATGGATGGTGCAAAGTGGATAGTCTCTCCACATCATATTCCACACATGTTAGATGGGATTTAAATCCGGTGAACGGGAAAATCCAATATCACGCTGTTCTCCACGGCGACGTCTTATCCTTCTTCATCGTGTGTACCTAGACAGAATCGCGATTCGTCGCTGAAGATGACATTATGCCATTCTGCCTCCCAATGTTGCCGTTCTCTGCTCCAGTTCAAACGTTGACGACAGTGGTCCGCAGTCAGAGGAAGCACTAACCGTGGACGGTATGAAAAATGTCCAAATGCTCGAATGCAGCGATAGAGTGTACGCATAGTAACAGGACTACCTTCTTCTCCAAAGCATTGGTCACAGCATGCTTCAAATATAGTCAATATGTTGCCAAAAAAAACAAGTTGAAGAAATTATTCTATCTGGGTGTAACACTGCGTTTTGTTCGACTTTGGGAGGCATTAATGCTTATTTTCGTTAACGTTTGCATAAATGTTCCCGGTTTGATTGTTGGGTAGGTAAAATACTCATTTTCTCTCAGAGTTCTGCTTTGAGTTTTTTTTTTTTCAGCGTTCTAGCTTTCTCTACAACACTTCCTCCTCTAATACGCATTGGTTCCTTTTTATTTTCATGTTTATCCATCCTGTAATTGGCTTTGGCTGTTGCGGAATAGATAAAAAACACGGGGTTCCAAAAAACCCCATAGAAAAAATCACTCGAGCCAAATCGGAAGAGCGGGCCGGCCACCTAAGTGATATAAGCCATTGCTGCTGTTAAAGGGTGTGTCCTTGGAACCAACTGTCTCCTAAGTAAAACTCATCTAACTGTTGAAAAAAATTCCTGTAACATGTTTACACTCACTGTCACTAAGACTTCATTTTCTTTAAAGAACCAATAGTTCCAGCTGAGCAGTTTGCACACCACACTGTGACTTTAGGAAAATGTAAAGTCCTTTGATGGCTCGAGGATTGGTGTCAGCCCAGTAGCGGATGTTTTGTTTGTTGACGGATCCACACAAATGAAAATGAACTTCATCGCTAAAAAAAAAGATATCGTTCTCAGGAATGACGCTCACGTTCAGAAAGTTCCTACACAATTGCCACCTTACAAGGTTTGAAATGAAGTTCATCTTGAAGAATTTCCCTCACAGAACCATCGGAAAAACCCCTTTTTTTGTGCGCAGAACACCGTGTTGATCGCACCATTGAAACTCTCACTGCCTCAAAGTTTGCACTCTTCAAAGCAGACCTGGTGTTTAGGCTTTTGCCTGCGCGACTGCTTTAGTATTAAAAGAATTTTAGTCTTTTGGAGCTAATGATTTCCGGCATACAGTCACCATCAGCACTAGCACGACTGGTGTACATGTGTTAAAGTCTAGGATACAAATGAAAAGCGTCAATACAGGGTTTGAAGTTGAGTCATTAATTTTCAGATAATGATTGTAGAAGGAAGATAAACCAAAATATGTGTGTAAAAATAAAAAAAAAATTTTACCTTGTTTTATAAAGTATCCTCCCGACAAGTATTTCAGTGCGGACCTGTATTTGATCGTGAGGTCCCCTGTGAGGTCTTAAGCCACCTGATTCACGAGCCCGTTGTACTACATTAACAAAGGCACGAGGGGTTGGTTGCACTCGATTGGGAAACCGATCCGCATAAATATGTGCCATTTTTTATTTCGTTTGAGCCACGCAACAGATACCACTATTCACTGACACTGACTGTATACGAATGAATGAAATAATTGTAAAAACATCGTTCCAAATTCTTTCGCTTTTTTGTTTCCGATGCGATGAACCGATACGGCGGATTATATCCGTTGTCGCCAAACACGAGCACATAATATTATTATTGAGACAGGGCGGTACTCAAACTTCCAAAGGGCTATAACTTTGTTACTTTAATTTTACCAGAAAAATGGTAAAGGAAAAAAACATTTCTTTTGATCATATCTACTCACTGTTAAAATAAATGACAACTTCGAAGTCATAGGCATTGAGAATGAATAAAATATAGTGTATAGTAAGACCGTATATTTTTTTATTTCCATAAAACAATAGAATCGTATTGTATAAATTTCAACAGAATTAATATATATCCCAAAATTAACAACTTTAAATATATAGATCACAACAAAATTCTTAATGTAATAATAAATATGAAGGAATAGATAAAACAATAAAGCAACAAACAAATGTCATGATTTTGCAATTTCACTTCCAATTTCTAGTAGACTAGCCTGTCAGGATTCATATTAGACGAAAATACCGCTGGTTTGCGAAATAATTGTAAGGTCTGGTTTTATTGCTGCATGTTGTTCAAGGGGATATTCAAAACATAGACGCATAAAATGGGTACACCAATTTTTGTGCGAAAACTCACTCTTCATATAGGATTTTTATGTATTTATTAAGCCCTTAGAATGAGACTACACGTAAAACGATCCGACTAACAGCAAAAAAGTTATATTTTTTTGGCACTTGGTAATGCGACGATGGTTTCTCGCAAATATTTGATATTCTTCAAAATTGTCGAAGATTGGTCAGGTAGTTTTTAGAGAATTTATAATTGTTTTTCCCAAAACACCTGTTATTCGGCCATCACTACTGGTTTATTAAGCAATATACAGGGTTAGTTCAAAAGGCATTTTATAGCAAAATACACTAGGTGATCTTGCCGATATAAATCGCAAACCATCCCGGAAGATAAATGTTATTTTTATGCAAAAAAGATTGGGTTACGTTATTTCTTCTAAACAAATTCAAACATTTCGTATTCGTCGCATTACCAACAAGTGCCAAAACATGCATTTTGCATTGTTTTTTGGCCATAACATTTTGGCTATTAGTCGGATCTTTTTACGTATGTCAATATTTTCGATTGGATCCCAAAAAAACACGAATTCTCATTATTTGTGGTAAAAAGTTTTCCCACAAAAATTGGTGTCCCTTTTTATGCGTCCATGTTTTGAATACCACCTTGAACAACTTCCACCAATAAAACCTGACTTTACAATTATTTCGTGGAAATTTGCTAATATGATTAGACTACTTACCATAATACCAATCAATATAAGACAGGAATGTACGTTTCCAACAAATCACTATATAATTAATAATAATCCATTATATTTACCGGCATTTACTGCCAGTTTGAATTATTACTCTATTCACAAATACTTCAATACAGAAACGTGCGCGTATTGTACAGGGTACATAATCGAAGGTCATGTTTAGTTTTTACGTTAGTTTTGTTATATCACAAAACGTATTCAATCCTGTTGTCAGTAGATTAAACGATCTGAATGATACATCGATTTTGTACCATGCACCGTCGTAAAGTTCATTTAGCACTATCAGCCACCTCTGAGCCATAATCATAATCGCCTATACAGAGTGACGCATTTTAATCTCCCTACCTGAATATTTCGATAACTAACGATCCTAGAAAAAACACGTTTCCAATAAAAGTTGGGTTTTTGTGGGATCAAAACGATGGTGACCTTGGTCGAGCGTCAATTCACCTACGATGTCCGGGTGAGAGAAGAATCTATGCATATGCTATATGATGTTTGACTAACCTCCCTACACCATTTTAAAGCTATCGGCTATATAATTTCGAGTACACCTTAAAAGACAATTGTCCGAAAGTTGTGGTTTAACTCTAGGAACACGTAGAACACACTGACAACGCAGAAGCCATAAAGAAAGAAGACCTTGGTCGAGACCTTCGAGGTTATTTCAAGGTCAAGCGAGTATTCTCGAATGTAACTCGCCTTTTTTAGAAAGAAGGGGACCTTGACCGTGACCGTCAAGGTCATTACAACGTGAAATCACTGCATTGAAAAGAATTTGATTTCGCCAAAACGTTCGACATCACAGGCTTGAGCTTGGTGACGGTCAGCCAACGATGATTGACCATCATTCAAGGTCATGTTCAAAATGTACACGTTCAAATATAACTATTCTTGCTATCTGCAATGTTGCCATAAAAATCAAGAAGTTGCCTTACAAATAACCTTCAGGATTGACATGACCTTGACATCAAAGTCTTTTAAACGTAACATTTCTTACTTTTTCCAGATTCTGTGATAGAAATGAGGGGTTTCCATAAAGTTCATAACTGTGCTGTCGAATATTTTTGCTAGAAAAATCGTTTTCTTGAGCTTGAAATAGCTGACCTTGACCATAGCCTTCAAGGTCATGTCAAAATTTTACACGTTTAAATATTAAAGTTCCTGCTCATTGCAATGTTGGCATAAAAATCAAGGAGTTGACATGACCTTGATAAAAAAGTCACTGAGTAACATTTCTTGCTTTTATCAGATCCCGGGATAAAAACGAGGGGTTTATCTTGGAAATTTTATCATGACCTTGAAGGCCAAGGCCATGATTAAGGCGCCTTTGGGTGACCCCACAAACTTTACAGCTGTGCTGTCTTTGGTTGGGGTTTAAATAGCCTTGAAGGTCGTGGTTATGGTCAATGTTATATATGGAAGTAGTATTTGGTCCTCTTTCCAATTCCGGTTTAAAAAATGGAGATTCCATTTGAAAATATTCGGACTTAACTTTTCCTACTTTTCTTTGAAGATGTTTCGTCTGAAAATTTTGATTTGACCTTGAAAGTCATGGCCCTAGATGATGATTAAGTTCGCGTTTGAGTGACACCCACGAACTTCACAACTGTGTCGTCAAACATTTTTGCCGGTGCAAATTATTTTCAACGTCGTTAATTGACCTTGAAATGGGTTTGATGGTCATAGTTATGGTCAAGGTCATACTCGACAGCAGAATTTCCTGCTCTTTTCAATTCCGCTATAAAAAGCGTGGATTCATTTGAAAATATTCACTTGATCCCGAAATGTCCTTGAAAGTCACGATCACCGTTTTAACCTTTGAAACCCTACAACCTTTGAAACTTTTTTATTTACGGCAAGATTAAAACGAGATTCATTTCTTTCTTATAAGAAAGTTATGTAATCATTTAACAATGTATCATCTGTAAAATTGAAAATACCCGAGTTTAATATGTTATACTCGATCCAGAAATAATTTATTAAGGATTAGTACGTTCTAATTAGGAGTTTGGGCAGGACGATCAGGAAGGTCACGTTCAAGGTCACCATTAGAAGAATCTTTTAAAACCTTACAACTTTATATACTACTCGGGGTATTTTGTGCTTTCCCTACTTTCTGGACAACCTCAAATACCCAGGAAATCAAGGTCAAGGTCATAGTACTTGGTATCATTTTTATGGTTTAAAACTTAAACTGTCGTAACTGCTCCATGGCCCAAGGTCATGATTAAGTTCGCATTTGGGTGACACCCACGAACTTCACAACTGTGTCGTCAAACATTTTTGCCAGTGCCTAATTATTTTCAACGTCGTTAATTGACCTTGAAATGGGGTTGAAGGTCATAGTTATGGTCAAGGTCATACTCGACAGCAGAATTTCCTGCTCTTTTCAATACCCGCTGTAAAAAGCGTGGATTCATTTGAAAATATTCACTTGATCCCGAAATGTCCTTGAAGGTCACGGTCAAAGTCACGATCACCGTTTTAACCTTTGAAACTTTTTTATTTACGGCAAGATTAAAACGAGATTCATTTCTTTCTTATAAGAAAGTTATGTAATCATTTAACAATGTATCATCTGTAAAATTGAAAATACCCGAGTTTAATATGTAATACTCGATCCAGAAATAATTTATCAAGGATTAGTACGTTCTAATTAGGAGTTTGGGCAGGATGATCAGGAAGGTCACGTTCAAGGTCACCATTAGAAGAATATTTTAAAGCCTTACAACTTTATATACTACTCGGGGTATTTTGTGCTTTCCCTACTTTCTGGACACCCTCAAATACCCAGGAAATCAAGGTCAAGGTCATAGTACTTGGTATTCTTTTTATGGTTTAAAACTTAAACTGTCGTAACTGCTCCATGGCCCAAGGTCATGATTAAGTTCGCATTTGGGTGACGCCCACGAACTTCACAACTGTGTCGTCAAACATTTTTGCCAGTGCAAATTATTTTCAACGTCGTTATTTGACCTTGAAATGGGTTTGGAGGTCATAGTTATGGTCAAGGTCATACTCGACAGCAGAATTTCCTGCTCTTTTCAATTCCGCTGTAAAAAGGGTGGTTTCATTTGAAAATATTCACTTGATCCCGAAATGTCCTTGAAGGTCATGGTCAAAGTCACGATCACCGTTTTAACCTTTGAAACCCTACAACCATTGAAACTTTTTTATTTACGGCAAGATCAAAACGAGATTCATTTCTTTCTTATAAGAAAGTTATGTAATCATTTAACAATGTATCATCTGTAAAATTGAAAATACCCGAGTTTAATATGTAATACTCGATCCAGAAATAGTTTATCAAGGATTAGTACGTTCTAATTAGGAGTTTGGGCATGACGATCACGTTCAAGGTCACCATTAGAAGAATCTTTTAAAAGCTTACAACTTTATATACAACTCGGGGTTTTTTGTGCTTTCCCTACTTTCTGGACACCCTCAAATACCCAGGAAATCAAGGTCAAGGTCATAGTACTTGGTATTATTTTTATGGTTTAAAACTTAAACTGTCGTAACTGCTCCATGGCCCAAGGTCATGATTAAGTTCGCATTTGGGTGACGCCCACGAACTTCACAACTGTGTCGTCAAACATTTTTGCCAGAGCAAATTATTTTCAACGTCGTTAATTGACCTTGAAATGGGGTTGAAGGTCATAGTTATGGCCAAGGTCATACTCGACAGCAGAATTTCCTGCTCTTTTCAATTCCGCTGTAAAAAGCGTGGTTTCATTTGAAAATATTCCCTTGATCCCGAAATGTCCTTGAAGGTCACTGTCAAAGTCACGATCACCGTTTTAACCTTTGAAACCCTACAACCTTTGAAACTTTTTTATTTACGGCAAGATTAAAACGAGATTCATTTCTTTCTTATAAGAAAGTTATGTAATCATTTAACAATGTATCATCTGTAAAATTGAAAGTACCCGAGTTTAATATGTAATACTCGATCCAGAAATAATTTATCAAGGATTAGTACGTTCTAATTAGGAGTTTGGGCAGGACGATCAGGAAGGTCACGTTCAAGGTCACCATTAGAAGAATCTTTTAAAACCTTACAACTTTATATACTACTCGGGGTATTTTGTGCTTTCCCTACTTTCTGGACACCCTCAAATACCCAGGAAATCAAGGTCAAGGTCATAGTACTTGGTATTATTTTTATGGTTTAAAACTTAAACTGTCGTAACTGCTCCATGGCCCAAGGTCATGATTAAGTTCGCATTTGGGTGACACCCACGAACTTCACAACTGTGTCGTCAAACATTTTTGCCAGTGCAAATTATTTTCAACGTCGTTAATTGACCTTGAAATGGGTTTGAAGGTCATAGTTATGGTCAAGGTCATACTCGACAGCAGAATTTCCTGCTCTTTTCAATTCCGCTATAAAAAGCGTGGATTCATTTGAAAATATTCACTTGATCCCGAAATGTTCTTGAAGGTCACGGACAAAGTCACGATCACCGTTTTAACCTTTGAAACCCTACAACCTTTGAAACTTTTTTATTTACGGCAAGATTAAAACGAGATTCATTTCTTTCTTATAAGAAAGTTATGTAATCATTTAACAATGTATCATCTGTAAAATTGAAAGTACCCGAGTTTAATATGTAATACTCGATCCAGAAATAATTTATCAAGGATTAGTACGTTCTAATTAGGAGTTTGGGCAGGACGATCAGGAAGGTCACGTTCAAGGTCACCATTAGAAGAATCTTTTAAAACCTTACAACTTTATATACTACTCGGGGTATTTTGTGCTTTCCCTACTTTCTGGACACCCTCAAATACCCAGAAAATCAAGGTCAAGGTCATAGTACTTGGTATTCTTTTTATGGTTTAAAACTTAAACTGTCGTAACTGCTCCATGGCCCAAGGTCATGATTAAGTTCGCATTTGGGTGACGCCCACGAACTTCACAACTGTGTCGTCAAACATTTTTGCCAGTGCAAATTATTTTCAACGTCGTTAATTGACCTTGAAATGGGTTTGATGGTCATAGTTATGGTCAAGGTCATACTCGACAGTAGAATTTCCTGCTCTTTTCAATTCCGCTGTAAAAAGCGCGGATTCATTTGCAAATATTCACTTGATCCCGAAATGTCCTTGAAGGTCACGGTCAAAGTCACGATCACCGTTTTAACCTTTGAAACCCTACAACCTTTGAAACTTTTTTATTTACGGCAAGATTAAAACGAGATTCATTTCTTTCTTATAAGAAAGTTATGTAATCATTTAACAATGTATCATCTGTAAAATTGAAAATACCCAGGTTTAATATGTAATACTCTATCCAGAAATAATTTATCAAGGATTAATACGTTCTAATTGAGTAAGGCTCTGGGTAGGAAGATCAGGAAGGTCACGTTCAAGGTCACCATTAGAAGAATCTTTTAAAACCTTACAACTTTATATACTACTCGGGGCATTTTGTGCTTTCCCTACTTTCTGGACACCCTCAAATACCCAGGAAATCAAGGTCAAGGTCATGGTATTTGGTATTATGTTACTGTTTTAACTGCTCTGTTAACCCGTTGCGCTCTTTATTCCCGTTTTTACTAAAGTTCATCTATCCTCTGTTCAAAATATCGGCGAGTTCCTTCATGGTGTTGACGTTCGCGTGCATGTACGCTTTCGTCTCCCACAGCATGTTGCACAGCTTGTCGTCCGATTTCTCGTCCATCGCGATATCCTCGGAGAGTTGCGGACAGAATCTAAAGTACGGCACCCCGATCATCGAGCACCAGGCGCGTGCGCGATCCACCACGCGACCGTCGCTCGATGTCGCCTGAATAAAATAGAAACGTCCAATCAAAAAACGACAAGTACGTTCACCTTGCACTTCCTATGCACAGGTCGTCGTAAGTACAGAAAGGATCGTGCCAAGCGCAATTTAAGTCCTCTGAAAGAAAAGTCAGTTATAAAAATACACAACAGAGGATTTAAATGGTAGGGGTATTATGTAAGAAGCCTAAAAAACGCAAAATTGTCATCTTGCAGACTAGGCACTGACCCATGCCGGAAATATGAAAAATCGTATGATGCTTACGTACCTGATCAACCAAAAGGTTCCCGAGAAACGAAATTCCGGCGAACAACTTGGCGCCGTCCCACAAACTTTCCGGCCTGAAGACGTCGATTTCTTTCACTATTTCCGTCACCGGTACCAACCCCGTGCCTAAACTGACCACCACGGTCACCGGCGTCGCCTCGTGGCTTCTGCCTTTCGCTTTCAGCGCGAGAGTGTGTTCGTGGATCTCCGTCAGGGCGTCCAACGTGGGGTTATTCGCTATCAGGCCGCCGTCCAGGAATTTCTTGAATGCCCTGAGAAAAAATGTCAAACAAAACTGAAGTGTTCTACCATGACTCCTGTTTCGAAAGTAAAGACATCTGAATTTGGAAAAGTGTTTGACGCGAATTTTTTATATTTTTGAAATAACGTATTCATAGCAGTTCTACGAGATGAAAAGAAAAAATATTACAATGCCAACATTGATGACAGTAAAAATAATAGCAAACAGATGTGAAAAACATTGCAAAACATTGTGTCTCATATTAGAAGAAATATATTATCTAAAATGAAGTTCGACGATGGGGTAATGATAAATATAAAAATAATAGCAGATCAGATTCATAGAAATTGTCAAGGTCATTGTAAGATCAATTATTGATGGGGATCCCAATCAATGAAAATTGATACCAATTCAAAATCAGAGTGATATTATAGGCGTTTGAAACTATTGACAGATATAAATTACTTACAAAATTGCATCGCTATGGATTTAAAGGAACTGCATTCAAAATTCAACAAAACTACTTAATTGACAGAAGTCAAAAAACCAAAATTGTATCTTCATTATCGAGTACAAAAAATATTTCACAAGATAGTAAACTAGGTTCAGTACTATTTATTTTATACATCAATGACATTTGAAATATTTTAGATTACTGCAAAATTCAGATATTTGCAGATGATACATAATAATCAGATGAAAATATAGGCACTGCTTTAAAATGTAAATAAACTAAAATTGAATGCTTCTAAAACAAAATGTATGCTAATAGGGAAATTCCTAAATAAAAATGCAATCTCAGGAAAAATGGTGAAATAATTGAAAATGTTGAATCAGTTAAATGTCTAGTAAACTTCGGTAAACTAAAGTTTGAGAATCATTATGAATAAATTATTTCAAAAATTACGGAAAACACAAATTACTGCTGTATTCTAAAAATTACAAGTCCTGCAAAATAAAGTCATGAGAATAAAGTTTAATAAAAAAAAGCACACCAAAATCAAATCTATGTTATAAGAATTGCAGTGGTTGAATATGTGTATAAAAAACTCATATCACATCTGGTCCTTATTTTTATATTTAAAATATAAAATGATCTTTTGCCACAAATTTAAAACGCTACATAGAATTGAATAATCATTACCACAATTATTATACATGAAGAAATATAGATTTTTATGTACAAAATTGCATTTAATAAACTAAATAATGATAAATCTACTTGTAATTTAAAGGTTTTTAAACGAAAATTAAAGACGCAAATTTTGTTTTTTCTAAATATCTGCATGTTTGGCAATTGTTATAGTTTTTTAAAAGAATGCAATAGTAACAATCATGCTAGATAGATCTTAAACAAACAAAAGAAATTTTGAAAATTATTTTCTACTTTTCAGTTCGATTTGCTGTTAAACCATGTAGTTTTTAAGCTATATTTATTTTCGGAATTTTCAGTCTCAAAATAACGAAAAACGTATTTATAATTTTACTTTTATAACTTTTGACAAATTTCTTATTTTTCCCAAATTTAAACTTTCTTTTTAAATTCCAAAATTTTTTCGAAATTTTTAAATATAATTTTTTATCAATTTTCAAAGTTTCCAAATTCTCTAATTATTTTCCATATTTCAGATTTTCTATTTATTTTCCAAATTTTAAAAAGCAATGTTTTAATTCAAAATCCAATTTTTAGATTTTTTTTGAAATCGCCATCGGTCATTGATAAAAAAAATTAAAATCTTGAACATTTCAAAGGCTCCTGATCATATTTGATTTTTTTTTTTATATTTTTGAATAATAATAATGTATTCATAGCCTGAACATGACATACCTAAAGTAAGTTGGAGCTGCTCCGGTAGCCCTGCCAACTTCCCAAACGAACTGCTTGTCTGGTGGAGGTGGAAGTTCATATGGTGAATCGTGCACTACTTCTAAAATGTCATTTGGACTAGCATACGTTCTAAATAGATGTAGTTCAACCGGTTTTCGGTCTACCAAAACGCCTGTAACCATCACCTGCAAACAATTGAAGGAATAACTATCAGATTAATGAAAACATAATTTGTATATGCATGTATATCATAGCTAAGAGCATTCTGGATCAAGTAATCTTTCATACAAAACGGTACAGACAGATATATTCCGAAAAGCTATATACATACCTTTGGATGTTTTATATCCGACATGACAGTCTGTGTACCAAAAGTTTCCCGAAGAACATTTTCTAGTGGTTCGCTAGAATACGGTCTACTTCCATTAAACGTGTGATGTTTCAAACTAAAATATAAACACTGGCATTCCTTCATAGTTTTCCCTGCTGCTATGCCTAAAATGAAAGATGCATAAAAGTTGTTCAAGTACTTTTATTCCTTGAGCCACCTGCTCTTATACATACTTTAGTATGCACATATCACTACTTCCATATATCAGTTCAAATAGCGAATACATAAAGTATTCCTCGTTTGAGCCGTATCCGTACCGTAGATCCCATAAACCGTAACGCACAAGCAGCGACTTACAAGAAAGTTTCCTGCTTATAAAGGGACAATTTTGGTGCAAGCTAATTTTGCTATTACTCGTACCCATCCAAAGAAATATAAAGAAACTTTTGATGTATCAATTTAAATAATTATTGATGAGCACAATCAATTTCCTAGTGGGTAGGATTTTTTTTCGAAAAATGACTTCCCTTTCGTTCTTTTTGAGGAAGGCTTAAGCAGACTAGAATGACTATAAATGTTATTAACTTCTCTTTTGAGTTTCCAAGCATTTCGAATTCATTTTTTTGGATAAAAACTTTTGGTTCCACATGAAAGGATTTTTTTTGAAAAAGTAATAATACCTTTTTTTACACGTCCCGTATAAGTGATACGTCTTTTGGTACAAGGATAAGTGCAGAAGGTATACTTTATCTGAAGTCACTTGAAACACTGTGAAATACCGGGTGCGTTTTATATGTCTATATTTAACACGCTCTGTTGCTGCAAAAATCGCCAAATTTCGCAGCAAATATCCCCCGTATAAGATCAAAGGCAGTTTCACCGGTCCACGTGGAGTAAAGCACGCCTATGCGTGGACATAGCCAATGAGAAAGCGTGTATTTCAGAGCTCCGAACAAGTGCAGGTGGCTACTGAAAATTGAAACAGTTTAGCCAGTGCCGTGTAGCGGTGAATAAACGTGTTTTCTTTAGTCTGTCCGTGTTTTTTCATAGATTTTATTAGTTTGTGTTTTTTTGACTTTTGAATACTCTGTTTACTTGTTGATTTAATTGTTGTGTTGATTGTTCTTGTGTGTCCTAAATATGGCTCTTTGGAGACCTTGGGAAAATGCTCCAAGCCACGAGGAGATGGTTGATGAACCTGTGCAGGCAGAATTCTTTCATAAAGATTTAGAGGAACAGACCCAAAGACCCTAAATATGTATGATTGTCTGAAAAACGAAAATCCAGATTCCTCGCAAAATCAAATTTTAAACAGAATTTGTATCCTGACAAAAATCAGTCGGTCTACCATTTATCGGGTTATAAAAAGGGGAGATGTAGTCAACCATTCATTCCACAGAAAGCGCATAGGGCAAAAATTAAAAAGAATAGACGTGGCTTTTCAGGAAGATATTCGTCGTATAATATACGGATTTTATAAGAAAATTTGGTGCCCACGTTGGAAATGATACGGGATAAATTAAAAGATTATCCTGAAGATTTTTATAATTACAAATGCTTAGACTCACTGCACTGTATTGTAAAACAGTGTGGTTTTCAATACAAAAAATTAGATAAAAGAATGGTGATTATGGAGTCGTCTCGAATCGTTGAATTGCGCCAAGAATTTTTGCACAAAGTTAAAATCTATAGAGAGTAGAAAAGAAATCTGATTTACCTGGATGAAACGTGGTATGATACCCATGATGTTGTGCAGTACGGCTTGGTTGACGACAGCAACAAGTGCATTTTAAATGCACCATGCAACCGTGGAAAACGAATCATTATTCTCCATGCTGGCAGTGAAAATGGATTTATACCTAATGCCTTGCTGTTATCTGCCAAAAATATCAAAGAATCATGTGCCGACTATCATGAGGACATGACCTCCGACTTATTTGAAAAGTGGATAGAGCAGCAGTTAATACCAAACATTTCCCCAAATTCAGTGATTATTATGGACAATGCGCCATACCATTCCCGACAGAAAAACAAAATTCCGAATACGGGCACAAAAAAACAAGACATTATTGATTTTATGAAGGATAAGGGAATGGAAATACCACAAAAATCAACCAAAGCCATATTATTGGATCTTATTAAAAGACAAAAATTTGAAAAAGAGTATGTTGTTGACAATCTGCTTCAGCAAAATGGCCATGAAGTATTACGTCTACCTCCCTATTACTGCATTTTTAACCCGATTGAGTTGGTCTGGGCTGCTTTAAAAAAAAAAGTAAGAAAACAAAATCAGACCCCTCAATTAAGTGAATCGCTATTGGCCACAATAAGAGATGCAGTATCTCATATTGCTGCCACAGACCTATGGAAGCAGTGTTCTAGGCATATTATTGAAAAAGAAAATGAATATTGTGTTTTGCCTCCTGTAAATCCCGTTGTAATTCCTCTACAAGATGACTCTAGCGACAGCTCCGAAGGCGAGGATGATATATAAATACCTATAATGTAAGTCTTTATATACCTTTTTATATACCTACCTGCTATGTAAATATTTGCCTATGTCAAACGTTGGAATTCTGTAATTTTTCCATTTCTTAACTTTCAGTCAACATAAATTAAACTCCCAATATAAGTATTTTTTATCCCAAATCAACAAATTAGGAAGATAGTAAAATCCATTTATTGTGATATAAAAACATTATTATTATCGTTCTAAATAAATGACCGCACGCCTATGATACGTCATGAAATTACAAAGGACGCGCCGACCAAAGGTTTTTATGCTATTTCAAGTGACTTCAGATAAAGTATACCTTACAGTCACTAAGTCTCATAAGCGGCGAATCAAGGAACAAAATTAGCAACTTTTATAGACAATGGCATTCTCTACAATTTTTGTATGAAGTATTTTGTGGTGTATCTTTCCCTTGTTGAAAAATATAACAAAACGTGATGTTTTTAACATTTCAAACAAGTTGCCATGAGGATATGCAGGGTGCCTCAGGAGTTGACGTCAAGCCGGAAATGGGGGATAGGCCAAGTCTTACTAGCTATGAGAAAAATATTAAAAAAAATACCTGTTCTTTAAAGTCGAGTGAACATTTTTTATTTGTTGTATCTCTAAAAATAAAGTGGTGGTGGGTATTCAAAGGTTTCCGTAAAAAACACCCTGTATCTTTGAAAGCACTCAGTCGATTTCAACAAACTTGGGCTAGATGGAAAGAGCTATTTTTGGGCTACAAGCGTTAAATTATTTGAAGTTTTGTTAGTTTCACATATGGCCGCTAGAGGGCATTGCATTGCTATTAATTTTTTTATGAAAAAGTAGCTACATGTGACGATACAAATATCTGACTGACCTAGAGCAAGAATACCGCCCGTGCTAGTTCCGGCCAACCAATCGAAGCAATGCGTCATCGGTTTGCCGATGATTTTTTCTAATTCTAACAGCATCTGAACCAAGACCAGCCCTCTGATTCCGCCACCATCCAGACATAGCAATCGGCCGTGTTTCGGGAATTTCCCGTCCGGATATTTGGAACTGGCCACTTCCATTGTGGCAACAGAGAGCATTAGGTTCAGTACTTCGCGGTTCGTCGGCCCAATAGGCTATAAAAACAGATATTAATTACCAATTAATGGTAGATAAAAAAATGATGGGATGATTAATTATCGAATAGAAACATTTTTAAATTATCGATTCCAAATTCCAAAAATTATCAACCATCACATGTAGAAAACTCCACAAAATTAAATAGTCATTATCATAACTACGAAACTAGAGGCAGTATAGATTTTCATCGGCAAAATTGTAATGCTAACTGGCAAATCTGTATTTGAAAAGGGAATATTCGAATTTAATAAATTGAATAATGGTATTGAAAAGTGTTTGAAGTTCAAGGTCAAATTAAAAACTGAATAATCAAAATGCAGATTGATGTAATTTAAATATACAAGAATGTAAAATTACAGAAAATGGATTCAAAAGAATGTGTAAATGAATAATTATACAAAATTGACATTGTAGCATTAATGCTATATAAATATTCAACAACCAAATAAAAATTGATGAATACAGTCTTGTAACTTGTTTACATATGAATACAATAAAACCGTCATGGAACACAATATTTTATCTTAATACAAATCATAAGTAAATTCACTTGTACTTTTTATGGATAAGGACCCTGAAGGTGATTGTTATTACAACCGGAGAAAATGCTGTGATGATTGTGATTAAAACAGTGCAGATTAAACAACAAGCGCCCAAACACACATCCGGTTTTGATGGACGGTAGAGGTTTGCATTTTGCATTTTAGATCACAATGGAAATTATTTTACACGAACATGTCTAGTTAATTGTAACTTCAACTCGGAAAGAGCTGCGTTTTCTTTTTAGAGCTAGGAAGTGCTGTTAACTCCCAGATATTTTGTTAGCACTACCAGATTTGAATTCATGAAAAACGCTGAACAATGTTAGTTAATGTAACCACAAGAATTTCAAAAAACTTCAATCGTGATGATTTGCTGCAAAGCATTTACCTTATATGGCCCTTTGAAACCCCCCTAGAAATTGAGGTCATATTCATAAATGGTGTCCCATTTTAATCTTCCTACCTAAGTGTAGGCGTATTCTAGAAAAAAAAAGTATGAAACAAAACTTGTAGAGTTTCAAGAGGGTCACCTTGACAATTATTTTGACTACGACACCACCTTCATTTCAAGGTCAAATCAAGATATCGAAAACAATTTGCTTTAACAAAAAGCACCCAAAGGTGACCTTGACCATGATCTTGTCGTTCAAGGTCAACTCGAACATTTTCAAAGTAATTCACTTTTATACTGGAAATGAAATAAGTTTACGTCCGAATGTGACCAAAGACTTCGGATAACATTCGACATGACCTTGACCATTGATTTCGAGCTCAAATCGATACATCAATAACAATTTGATTCAGCAAAAATGTTCGATGGCACTGTTGCAAGGTGCGTGGTGACCTTGACCATGACCTTCAAGTTCAACTCAACATTTCCAAAGTACACCTCCCATTGAAAAAAATCGGAAATCTCACGTCCGAATATAACCTTGACGTCAAATAACATTGAACAAGGCCCACCGACTACGAGGTCATTTCAAGGTCAAACCGATACATCAAAAACAATTTGATCTAGCAAAATGTTCGACAGCACAGATGTGAGATTTGTGGGGATCATCTATTCAAGGTCAAGTCAAAATATTTAAAGAAAATTTCTCATTTTTATGGTGGAAATGGAAAACAGTCGGAAATTTTACGCCTTAATGTGTGACCTCAAATAACATTCAAGCTTGAGACTACCTTTATTTTGAGGTCAAGGTCACATTCTGGCGTAAAACTTTCTGCATTTCCATTTCCAGTATAAAGATGGCAGGTTTCCTTTGCAAATGTTGACTTGACCTTGAAGGTCATAGTCATGGTCATGGTCAAGGTAACACTTGTATGATCTAGTTAACCTCCCAACTATGCTGTCGAAACTTGACGTCGACACTTGACACGACCTTGACTGAGTACAAGGTCATACTTGGAAGTAAATTTTCCTGCTTTTCAATTTTCGGTATAAAAACAAAAACCTCTGGAAATGTTGACTTGATCTTGAAGGTAGTGGCCAAGGTCATGGTCAAAGTCAGCTTTGGGTGATCCTCACAAACCTTACAATTATGCTGCCGTACATTTTGGCTATAAAAAATTGTTTTCGACGTCCTGATGTGACCTTGAAGGCAATGGTCAATGTCATTGCCAAGGACATAAAATTTGCTCCTCTCTTCAATTCCGATGTGAACAGAAGAGGGAGATATTCATTCGACCTTGAAGTTCGTAATCGAGGTCACCTTCATTTTGCCGTCTCAAAACCCTAAAACTTTCGTTTGAAACTTTTTTCTAGAATGCGCTATTTTCGAAATATTTAGGTGGGGATATTAAAACAGAACACCGTGTTTGTTATGTTCTATTCACATTCAAATCAATATGTTTGGTTCAACTCTAAGAAATTAAGTGATGCTATTTAGATGAGTTGACCTTGAAGGTCATAGTCAGGTTCAGGGTCACATTTGTATGATCTCATTAACCTCACAACAGTGCTGTCGAAACTTGACCTCGAAAGACATATGTATAAGCTTGACACGACCTGGACTCAGTGCAAGGTCATCCTCGGACGTAAAATTTCCTGCTTTTCAATTTTCGGGATAAAAATAAAAACCTCTGGAAATTTTGACTTGATCTTGAAGGTAGTAGCCAAGGTCATGGTCAAGGTCAGCTTTGGGTGATCCTCACAAACCTTACATTTATGCTGTCGTACATTTTGGCTATAAAAAAATGTTTTCGACGTCCTGATGTGACCTTGAAGGCAATGGTCAAGGTCATTGCCAAGGACATAAAATTTGCTCCTCTCTTCAATTCCGATGTGAACAGAAGAGGGAGATATTCATTCGACCTTGAAGGTCGTAATCGAGGTCACCTTCATTTTGCCCTCTCGAAACCCTAAAACTTTCGTTTGAAACTTTTTTTCTGGAATGCGCTATTTTTGAAATATTTAGGTGGGGATATTAAAACAGAACACCGTGTTTGTTATGTTCTATTCACATTCAAATCAATATGTTTGGTTCAACTCTAAGAAATTACGTGATGCTATTTAGCTGAGTTGACCTTGACGGTCATAGTCAGGTTCAAGGTCACATTTGTATGATCTCATTAACCTCACCACAGTGCTGTCGAAACTTGACCTCGAAAGACATATGTATAAGCTTGACACGACCTTGACTCAGTGCAAGGTCATCCTCGGACGTAAAATTTCCTGCTTTTCAATTTTCGGTATAAAAACAAAAACCTCTGGAAATTTTGACTTGATCTTGAAGGTAGTGGCCAAGGTCATGGTCAAGGTCAGCTTTGGGTGATCCTCACAAACCTTACAATTATGCTGCCGTACATTTTGGCTATAAAAAATTGTTTTCGACGTCCTGATGTGACCTTGAAGGCAATGGTCAAGGTCATTGCCAAGGACATAAAATTTGCTCCTCTCTTCAATTCCGATGTGAACAGAAGAGGGAGATATTCATTTGACCTTGAAGGTCGTAATCGAGGTCACCTTCATTTTGCCGTCTCGAAACCCTAAAACTTTCGTTTGAAACTTTTTTTCTAGAATGCGCTATTTTCGAAATATTTAGGTGGAGATATTAAAACAGAACACCGTGTTTGTTATGTTCTATTCACATTCAAATCAATATCTTCAAGAAATTAAGTACTGAATAATATGAAATACATTTTTAACACAACCACTTTTTCAATTATAGCGATTTTTTTTGTAAATTAGTTGCTTCCTTTTATAGAAATAAATACAGGCTGTTGCAGGTCTAAAGGAATCTCGGAAAGTTTGATATATTCTATCCATCTGTTTAATTTGAAGTGTATGTATGTCATCAAAATATTCGCCTCAGAATAGTTTTTAAAGTGGTCAATTTTAACTTGTGTGACCTGAACCTGTGTTACTGTTTTACTGTACTTTTTATAGTTTTTAATATGGTTTTGATTCATTTGATCCAAATTTCAATTCGCTTCAAATTTCGACGTGTGTAACATTTTTTATTACAGCTTACTTTTGGAGGTGGAATTCCTTCATACGTTCCATTGTATCTGCAACCATCTGTACAACCTGAGACGTCTGGCAAGCACCTTCTAGCACCAACAGCGGCAAGATAGTATAAGAGTTTCGCTTCCTGATCTGCAACAACACAATTTAGGAATACTCTATATAAAGGATAGTGTGAAAAATATTGAAAAAGTTCATCCATACCGCTTCGGTAACTTCACAACTTAAGCAACACCGAAACTGTTAAGTCTCTTCTATCAACTGATTAACTATCTGTTGACAACTTCGTCTTAGATTGGCAAAAGCAACGTTCGTTTTCGAAATCTAATAAAATCTTAAACCTTTTAATTGGATCCTGAAGTTCTAATCTATCGCTAAAACCATCTTTGCAGGCACATCACGTACTTCTTTGAAATAAAAGTATTCAGTTCAGCAAACTAAAATTTACCTTTTGTCATGAGATGCCTGGCAGTTTCACCGGCATTGTTCAGTACATCCAAATCTACGCCAAAGACGATCAATGCTTGGATTATAGATTGATTTCCGGTTTTCACGGCCAAATGTAGTGGTCTATTTCCGTCTTTATCACCTATATCCGCATCCGCTTGCCTGCTTAGTAATGCTACTACACAATCTATTCTGAAAAATTAGATACACGTGCTTTAAAATATTATACCTCAGTCGACAATGATTAAAACTGGAGTTTGATGAGTGCTGGAAAGAAATTAATGAAATCTTTGTTGACGGTTGATCAACACTTGGTTCTTAAACGAATAACCTGGTAAGGCGTTGAGATTAGAAATACTATATGAGTAACACAGTGTGTGAAAATACCGTTCAGCACCGTCAATGAAGTATACTTTCAAGATTGATAACGGTGATCCCAATTTATGTGCATTAGAAGTGTATCATAATTTATCAATGAATCAATTTAGGACAATAAAGATCAAGAATCTAAGAAAAGCTAGAGAGAAATTATTATTGGTGGTGAATCATTGTTTAGTACATGGTGAGTTTCCATCAAAATAAAAGTGTTCCACCATTACTCCAGCGCCAAAAGTTCAACATATGCGGCCGACTTGACGCAGTTCATTGAAGAAAACAAAATTTTAACAAAAAATCAGTCTGGATTTAGAAAAAAATATTCTACAGAAACACCAATCCAAATGATGGTGAAAGACTTCAGAAGAAGTATAGATGAGAAAGAATATATTTTTAGACTTCAAAACGGCATTTGGACTATTGGGAAGCATTGTTAATTAAATTTCATCACTAAGGATCGATATTACATATTTTACAAAATTACTTCGTAAATAGAAGTCAAAAAACTAAAGTTGGAGTATGTCAAGCGTTCAAAATATTTGTATATCAGTAGGGGTGCCACAGGGGAGTAAATTAGGGCCATTACTATTTATTATTTATATAAATCATGTCTGACACTGCAAAATTCTAATATTTGCGGGCGATGCATTGATGTATATAGCACATAAATATTTACTCAGCTTTTGAACTGTTAAATAGTGATATTAAAAAAATTATTAATTGGTAAAACGTTAATAAACCTAAATTAAACACTAATAAAACAAAATGACTGTCAACAGCGAAACATGTAGGTGACTAAACAATAAATTAAGCTCATGATTGATGATGAAAAAATTGAAATAGTCGAAACATTTAAATATCTCGGTATATATGTGAATAGTAAACTACTGTTTCGCGATCATTATGAATACATTATTTCAAAAATATCAAAAAAGATAAATTACTTCTATAGAGCTTCCCACAATCTTAGTATGTACTCCAAAAAAATTGTGTATAGCACTATAATTCTTCCCTATCTTTTATGTTGTTCAACCATCCTATTCATATTTTCAAAATTACAAATTCTGCAAAATTAAGCTAGAGAATCATTTTAAATAAAAACAAATATGCTAGAATTAAGTCTAGGTTAGAAGAACTACAGTGGTTGAATGTAAAAAATTTCATATGTTATTTAGTTCTCGTTTTCATATTCAAAAAATCATTTATTACCACCACATTGAGAAAACTTCACAAAATTAATTAGTCATTATCATAACTACGAAACTAGAGGCAGTATAGATGTTCATCTGCAAATCTATATTTCAAAAGGGATTGAATAAATTAAATAATGATATTAAAGAGCGATCGAATTTAAAAATGTTTTAAGGTGAAATTAAAAGATCACTTTATGAATACTCAAAATTCATTGTGATTTAATTTAAAATTTCAGAAAATGGATTAAAAAAAATGTGAAAACAAATAATTATACAAAATTAACATGGTAGCATTAATGCTAAATAAATATTCAACAAACGAACAAACTCCTCATGTTGTTATTGCTGATATTTTGTATTTACTTCTCTTCAAGATGTGGTTAAATAATGTCAAGAAAATTTGCTTGAAAATAATGACTAAAAAAGTCGATCTTTGTAGTTGCTATATTTTCTTTTCTAAAAAGCAGATATTTCTGCTCTTCAGAACAATTATTCCACGACAAATGGAAGATAAAAATTCACAAAAGTTTCTCGCTAAATGATGTATGGCCTAAAATAGCAGTTAACCCCAAAAAAATGTCTTGCTCACAATGAAATATATTTTTCCACCAGAAAAGCAGCTATAATAATAATATAAAATGGGTTTTATTACGTACAAAAGTACAAAAAAGCATAGGACCCAACATGGAACCTTGAGGAACACCGTACTTTATAGCAGTTTATGCCGATATTTTTGAAGGTGGTAGGTTCTTTTGATTGACAGCATATCGAATTGACTGCAGCGTCAGTAAAACCATCGTATCTCCATATTATCTGGTTCATTTTTTTAACAATCTCAAACAATTTTTCACATATCGACAGGATATCATTGTCCACATGACATGAGACATCCAAGACGTGGCAAAAAAAATTTAGTAGAAAAGTTATCAGATAAAATTGTAAAAAACAAGTTTTTTTTAAACAATCAACTCACGAAATTAACATACTTTAACTTGATGTGGGCACGAAATTTGAACTTGGTCGCATCGATATTTTTCGAGAAAGTATGGAAATAAGGTAAAAAAAATGGACCAAAAAAAAATTGTACCACTTCAGACGATCGCAAAAATCACAGAACAACACATAAAAAAACGTGACCAACCACCTCAAGTAGCAAAATTTCAGGGTCTATCGAATACGATTCGTACATACTTGTTTCTCTCGACCATCACGTGCAATGCCGTTTTCGCCTCGAAATTGACAGCGTTTATGTGACAGTTGACGTCTATCAGCGCCTCGATGACCAATCTGGAGTTAGCCCAGTGCAAGGGAGTGCCGCCGCTCTTGACGTCCTTGAGGTACAACGTATTCGGATTGTTCTGCAGGTAGTTGCCTACGTAGCTGGGCTCCATGGTCGCGTCTTCGTCACCTTTGGTCGCCGCTATGTTCGAGTCGGCGCCGGCGAGTAAAAGGGCTTTCACGCAATCCGGCTTATCGGACAGGCAAGCTATGTGAAGCGGAGTGTGTCCGTTTTTGTTGCGGCCGTTCAAGCAGCGAGGCGGCGATCCTTGCGCTAACGTCTGAAAAACGTCATGTCCAAGATAAGGATCATATGCACGGGGATATCAAAACATGCGGAAGATAAAAAAACTAAAGGAACTTTTTCGTTGACACTTCTTAGGCGCTACATGATGGTATTTATATGGTCCGAAAACAAAGTGCACCCTATATATGTATATGTATATATATACAGGGTGACTTCGAAGTTGAGTCATTTATTTTAACAGTGAGTAGATCTGATCAAAAGAAATGTTTTTTTCCTTTACCATTTTTCTAGTAAAATTAAAGTAACAAAGTTATAGCCCTTTGGAAGTTTGAGTACCGCCCTGTCTCAATAATAATATTATGTGCTCGTGTTTGGCGACAACGGATATAATTCGCCTTATCGGTTCATCGCATCGGAAACAAAAAAGCGAAAGAATTTGGAACGATGTTTTTACAATTATTTCATTCAGTTGTATACAGTCAGTGTCAGTCGGTAGTGGATAGTGGTGTCTGTTGCGTGGCTCAAACGAAATAAAAAATGGCACATGTTTATGCGGATCGGTTTCCCAATCGAGTGCAACCAACCCCTCGTGCCTTTGTTAATGTAGTACAACGGGTTCGTGAATCATTTGACTTAAGACCTCACATATGGACGGCATGCCGGTGCTCCAAGACCTCACGATCAAATACAGGTCCGCACTGAAATACTTGTCGGGAGGATACTTTATAAAACAAGGTAATTTTTTTTTTTAATTTTTTTTTATTTTTACACACATATTTTGGTTTATCTGCCTTCTACAATCATTATCTCAAAATTAATGACTCAACTTCAAAGTCACCCTGTATATATATATATATATATATATATAAAACTTGAGACGTGGTCATTGTCGTCTAGACCAGTTAGGTGAAAAATTAAAGCTTCCGCCTTTTGTTGGGTACTTCGACAAAATTTAAGCAAAGAGGACTCTTTATACTTTTTTTAATTCTCTCTAGCTTTCAATGGACTTTGCCATCATCATCAGGAGCTGCAATTACAATGATAACAGTAGCAACAAAAGTGTAAAATGAATTTAAATTGACTCAACTTACAGTAGTATGTGAGGATGTTGCTAATTGTTGTTTACGTATAGGATGAGGGAAACGTCCAGTAACATGGTGAGAGCTGGATACATGGTACAATGGTCAAAATTATATAAAATATGACACGACAAGTTAAAAACAGATTAAAAATTATTTAAGGACCGAGTCGATTTAAAAAAATTTATTGAGCCAATCGTTACAATTCTTTAAAAACTTTCAAAATAGGCTTTGCGACGTCTTTATTATCTCAAAAAGATGTTTTTAAAACGTCTTTAAGATATACTTGTGCTAATTGGGTATAGATAGAAAGCATTTTCGTAGATTTATTGAGGGACATGCAACATGTCAAAAATCCGAACGTAAATAGCTAGGTCTACATTTCTCAGTAGTCGGTGGTCTCACCCCAATAATTTCCTTCGTCGTGCTAGCCGCATAATGGAACACAGAGTTGGCTTCGTTATCGAGATGTTCCAATGAGCAACTGGCCGCGACGAGCATCTGCACAGTTTTCAAGTTCTGCGTGGAAATGGCCACTTGCAACGGCGACATGCCCGTTTCCGGCTCGGAGCTATTGAGGTAACAGTTTACGCGCGGGTCATTGAAACTGTCGTGAAGGCCGAAATGAGCGGCCAAGTGGGCCAACGTCCAAGACGGATGCTCCGTGAGGATGTCGCACAGCTTTTGGAGTCCGTGAACGTTGCACATCTGGAAAATTGATTATGCACGGTATTCGCATATTCGTCACAGGGTTAGAGAATAGTGTCGAGCGGATACAAATGATATAGGTAAACAGTAAAATGTCACATTTCTACTTTTTATTATTGCAATAACTTGAAAATTCTTTGCCCGATGATCAAACATTTATTCTGGTTAAAAAAAGAGGCCAAGATTCATTCATTAGCGATTAAATAGTTTGATGTTTTTCCCATATTAATGTTGATATTATGACTACCAAGGCGACGCGTTATTCGAATATTCCCATTTTCCGGTTACTTACCTCTTTGGCTACCTCAATGAATACGGGAATTTTATCTTTGAAGATGATGAATTTGAGCTCGGCCTCTTCCTGAGTCGTGGCACGATAGAGGCTGAAAATAATATGCAGTTCTGTAACAGACCAAGCGCCATCTACTACCTGAATCGGGCACCGAGAAAGTGAAAACATCATAAATGCCCGTACGTGTCAGCGACATGTGAAAAGAAGCTGGGATCGAGCACTTACGAGGTCTATAAATTAAGTGATAATGCTGGCAACGTAGCGTCCGATCTGGCAACACTGGAGGCGCCGGGCTAGGAGGGGAGACAGGGGATCACGTGTTCCGCCTTCAGTACAAGTATGAACTCGTTCGAGTCATTTGTTTGTCCGTGAAACCGTTTTTTCTATGGTGTTCCAATTATGAGTTACATCAATTTCGAGCAACGGTGTGCTATTTTGATATTTGTGAAAACTGACTCTTTCAAAATAATTGCAATTGAAAAAATAATCGTGAAAGCAGATTTGGAATTGGGTTTGACTCGCCTTCATACTGAATGGGAGAATGCAGTTAATTGTAAGCAACCCTGGACCAGATAAGTTGATATTTATGGAAATTGCAAAAGATTAACTGATCTCACATATTTCTCTAGAAAATCGAAGCATGTGTTGAAAAATCTTCTTAACTGAAAACGTTTAACACATGAAGTTTCGACTGGGCAGAGAAATATACGGGTCATCGACATGAAAGCTACAGGTTAAGTTTCACATGTCACATTAAGATCAAATGAATGCAGGCCAGTCTTCCAACAAAATAAATATACTAAGTGACATATAAATCCGAACACCCAGTTTAAATGGTTTTATTTTAATAAAATTTTGTATAAGTACTTAATGAAGCATAATAAGTGAATGATAAAAATTTCAAAATGATTGCACTGCTTTAAAGCCCTTTGACCTTTAATAATGTGTGGATGCACCCTGATGTGGTACGCATTCTCCAACGCGCCTAGGCATGCTTCTGATCAGGTGGTCAATGTCCTCCTGTGGTATCTCATTCCAGGCAACCAACAACTCCTCTCGAAGTGCTTCTAGAGTCTGAGGAGGACGTTGCAAATTGAGCAATCTCCTACCCATCATATCCCGCACGTGCTCAATTGGGGATAAGTCGGGAGATCTTTGTGGCCATGGTAACAATGTGACATCATTATGTTGAAAGAAGTCTATTGTGACTCTTGCAACATGTGGTCGGGCATTATCTTGTTGGAAAGTTGGATCTGCCAGGGTGTCAAGATAGGGTAAAAAATGGGGTTGTAGAAATTCGTGGATATAACGCTGCGCGTTCATGTTACCTCTGATGAACATTAAAGGTGACCTGGAACCATAAGTTATAGCACCCCAAACCATAACTCCAACAGTGTGATGAACATGTCTTTCAACAAAAAACTGTGGATTCCTCCTTTCACCACGTCGCCTTCTAACCCTGGCACGACCATCGTGCATGCCTAAACAAAATCGAGACTCGTCACTAAAGACAATACTGTTCCATTCCTGATCCCAGAGTGACCGTTGTCTGCACCACTCAAGGCGATTACGTCGGTGTTCTCGAGTTAAAGGGAGGACCCAGTGTGGCCGGTATGAAAACAAGCCAAAACTTCTCATTCGTCGGTAAACACTTCGCATGCCAATAGGTCTTCCGTGTTCTGCAAACCATTCATTTGCAATGGACCTGGTAGTGGAGAAACGGTCCCTTAAGGCCAATAATCTTAGGCGGCGATCTTCACGGTCTGTTGTTCTACGGCGGCGTCCAGTGCCCCTTGCTCTTTGCGTACGGCCTTCTCGAAGCCATGCCTGACAACACCTAACCACAGTGTCTACACTTCTTTGCACTCTAACTGCAATTGCCCGAAAAGAAAGTCCAGCTTCCCGAAGTCCCACTATACGGCCCCTATCAAACTCACTAAGTTGACGGAATCGTACAGGTCTCCGTACTCAAGGCATCGTAACCGATCGTAAAGGATGTCAAGAACCAAAATCCGCCAACGTTGATTCTTTACTGCGGCTGAAATATTCATTTTTAGAGCGTTAGTGAATTAAAAAAAAGCAGTATAAAAACCGGAATGTCCAACTGATAAGGCTGAAAATTTTTTCACTTGTTATTTACAGTAAGATAAATACATTCACCAACTTTTATTAAAATAAAACCATTTAAACTGGGTGTTCGGATTTATATGTCACATGATAAAAATCTCGACAGCCATATAAGACTTTTATTAAAGTACATATTTCCATATAGTAGGTCATAGTGTGACCTATCTATAGATGCAATATTATACTTCATATTCTATATACTAGCAAAATCAAACGATCACAAGAAAAATTAAAAATTTATAAAGTTACTTGACCGGAAACATATTCAACAGCTACCAAGACAAAAAAGGTATTTATAAGAATTTGTCATAATTGCTTCAATAAAATGCAAATCTCAGTCCATAATCATAGTTGTGTAAACTCGTAATGTACAATTCAGCTGACCTTGGAGGATGTGGTACAAACATTGATTGATATAGTCAATGTACTATCAGTTATCAGTAAAATAAATTAAAATAAACAATACCCTTGTTTGCTATAGAAAGTAGTCTATAGATCAAGTGTCGTTCCAAGGATCGTTTATCTACTATATAATGTCCATATATTTCATTAATAGAACCCCATAAAAGTTCTTACTTCATTTGTATTATAAAATTTAGGTAGATAATCATGAATAGATATTTTGCGGCAATCGCTATCATTTCTCTCGTCAAGCACTTTCATTTGATACCCACCACATCATAGGGGCTATGGAAATGATGAAGCATGAGCCATATTGTATTCAAAATGGCGACGGTTGATTCGTTTTATAATGTCACGCAAACCAAACGTGTATACAAAATTTCAGCTCAAATGATGGAGGTTAACTGGTTCAAAATTCAGTTTCAAGATTTGTCTCAATTCAGTAAAATATCCTTTCGCAGACAACTCCTTTAACCCTTTGACGCCGGATTTAATTTTTTTTCGAATTTGCGAATCTTTTTCTTTTAATATGGGTAAATGTGAACAATATGTTATAACTTTACACATTTTATTTATTTTTCTTAATCCTGAAATGCTTTAGAATATGGTTTCATTATGAAACCACTAGGTAGTAAAAGGAACTAATGATTTTTTTAAACAAAATTTTATTTCAAGTAATAAAAGAAGACAAATCCGATATTTTCCATTTATCGTCTGTGATACGGAAGGAAACAATTTTTATTTGCGTTGAGGCATAATCCAACGTTGCATCTGAAAAAAAAAGTTTTTGCTAAAACTAAAAAGAAGATGAAGCATTACTTTCTTTACCTGGAACAAATCCATTTCGTCCGGTGTGGTGATGATGTAGAGCTGCAATAAGCACATCTTCTTGAACTTCCATGGAGTGGCATGTGTGCACAAGAACCATATCGAATTTCCTGAGGCACATTGGCTTTGAAGGTATTTTGTTGTACTGATGATATCCGCCCTTTCTTTGGAATATTTTCGTCTGCTCCAATAAGTCCCAAGCATACTGCTAGCTTGAAATCCTTCAATGTCATACATTTGCCGGACTTAGTCGTAGTATTTCGGTTCTTGAAAATTATGTATGCATTCACTAGGGATATGTCAAGTAAATACCAAGAAATGCGCAGCCACCACTTTTTAGATTTTCGATCTAATTCATAAATTGACTTCAACATGTCTAGTTTATCTACATAACCCATGTGCTTATTATACTCCAAAACTAAACGAGGACAAGCAATATCCTGCACATCTTCATTCATGTGTTCATCTGAACTCATCTTTTCTAAGTCGGCAAAATAATATTTCTTGTTCTGATCTGAAAAAAAAAACACGGCATGCCTACTGGTTTCATAACGTAACCGAAGGTATTTTTTTATAAAAATATGAGCTAAATTTGGTCAAATTCAATCCCCAAATATTTTACAATCATGATCAACATCATATCATATAAATCATCTATTTACTTACCTCCCATTGTTTATCTAACAGCGAAAAATCCCCTATTTATTTTGATCAACCACCTGTTTGCTGCAACAACGCACACTGAACGTTATCATTAGGCTAGGAAACCAAATACAACCGACGCAACTGTCAAAGCCTATCAGATGGAGTCTCAAGGGCACGTGACTGTATGAGGTTACGCACCAAGACCATTCGGCGATTAGAAATTAATTCTTATTCAGGTGGTTTCGTCGTGAAACCAGTAGGCGTCAAAGGGTTAAACGTTAAAGTTTTTGTTTATTTTAAAAATATTCAAATACTTATACACTTTAAAATATTCAGTTTTCATTAAAAACACAATTTTTGTTGTCAGTCCCATTGGTGTCCATAAAAAGGAAATTTCATTATAGCTACTAACATACAAACAGGTCAATAAAAAAAAATTGGTATTCAGTGCTTAAGTACAGTACCTTGGAAAGCTAAAAACAATTAATAAAAATTCTTCAACATACTAACATTCTATTTTCTTTTACTAAGTTCAAAAGCATTCAGCAGCCTCTCAAATAAAGATATGATAGAAGTTGAATTTTGCTGTCGTGGATATTAAGAAACATAAGAAACCTAATAAGCTAACATCCGAAAATTATTACAATAACAATAGTTCCTCTATTAAGGCACACGAAGCATTTATTTCTCGTGCATAACAGATGCTTTGTAAAAAGGGGGGAGGGGGGTTGTTGTCCCAAAAACCTACAAGCTGTACAATACTTATGTTCTGTTTAGGTACTATTTCTATATACCAAAAAATGATAATAGTGGAAGAGATATTACATATACAGTGCTTTTCAAAATTTGATCACATAATGACATTTCATTTAGAAAATTGTTTAAAATCTGATTTTTTTATTGCAATGTGTCATACTGTATTGCAGATGCTAACAGACCCTTCCAAAAGGAAAAGGTTGATATAAAATATTTTCTGGTTCCTAAGTTGTGTAACTCAATGTACAAAACTGTTCAACTTCAACAGCCGAATTTGAAATTTTACATTGCAAGTTGTCACAATACTACTTTGAAATGAGATGTCACATCATCATGAACTTTATATAATTTTGCTTGCTAGTTTGACCCATTCATATGTAGCTTTTAACAAGTACTGTATGTATAGGTACAGTGCATGTTACCACTTATAGCAAAACATGTTAAGAAAATGCTATCAAGAAAAATCTACGAGCCTCTTCCCACTTCAGTTGGCCCACATCAAGATTTGTACCAAAATATGCCTTTATAAACTAAACATGACGAAACTATTTACTTCTAAAACAATTTATTTTCTCAAAAACATTTTAGATAGACTCTAGTCGTAAAAAATATTTTAAACGTATTCTGACAGCTATGATTAATAAAAACAATTGTCATGGCTTTTATTTTTCACAGCCACCTATGCGTTACAGAATTGTTTTGCATTGAAATGAAAATAGGTTGATATGCTGTAATTGCAACATGTGTTATTTTTTTGCTGCAAATTTGATTAGGGAGTGATAAAGTTGGTGTTTTCTACTATATATTATCAAAATATTCATTGTTAATATTTTAAACCTATATCACCCTGCTACATTTTTATTATTTATGTTTGATAAGATAAAAACTAAGATTTCAATAGTTGGGCCAACTGAAGTGGGAAGGTGCTTGTAGTATCAAGGGGCGTTTTTTTGAACTGGCATAATGTAAGGCTAGAGATACCAAACCCAAGCAGTAGTGCGGGCTACCCCTATGGTGAAAGTTTCATATTTAATAATATATTTTTGTATGGCTTACCTGTACATTTGGTGTAAAGTTTCAGTTGTTGGTCTATGCAAAACAATCTCATATTGAGGTTTAACTCCTTTTGGGACATTTTGTGGAGGCAGATAAAGGACTAACCCGTCATCTTCCCTCAAATGAATGCCTCTTTGGGAATAAGCATCTGGTCTAGTTTCTAGAACCTTATTCGGAGGAGGGTCGGAGCTCAAAAAACTTTTCAACACTGCAAATTGGGCAAAATAGAAAATGAATGTTTCCTTACCGTATGTAGTTACCATTGAATCCTTGTTGTAGCATTGTGAGGTAAAAAAACGCAAAATATTCTAAATTATATAAGCTCTCCCAGTTGAATTCATATCAGAAATAGTACACTTGTAACATCACACCTATTCGCAGAACAACTAATGAAATCCACTGGTAGTTCCACAACTGTGTTGCTTTATTGGTATTACTTAACATGCAGATTTTTTCTTGCAAAGGATTTCTTATGGTCGCGAATGAAAACAGTTACTAGCGGATATTTAAAAATTGATTTTTCTGTTTTGTTTTGATTACGGTTTTGCTGGGCTTGCATAAATGACAACGACAGGTTATGTAAGCTACTGACGTACAATTAACATCCGAATGACACTAAAAGCACGCATGACATTACGAACTGTCAAGTAGATAAAGCATCCGACAGATGTAGCATTGAAGTAACGGTTTATACGGGGATCATTTTTAAGTAAGATCCGTTTGGTAATCCAGTCAGAGAAATTCTATTGATGAATGTAAATTGTATCACAAACTAAAATATGATCATTTTTCAACATAGCCACCATAAACATGCAAACACAAGTCAAGTCGTGGCACCAGTTTTTGTGTTAATGTAGCATCCGAAGCGTATCCTGTGGTTTTCATGACTACTACTTCCGCTCAGCTAAATATTCTAATATTGTTTTTAACCTAGTCAGCTTATTTAGTGAAAATCCTAACACACAAGTAGATGAGTATGCAAGGCTCACCTAGTTTGCGGCACAGGTATCCTGTTTCCCTCAAAAGAGTTTGAAGTAGACCTAATTTCCACTTCGGAGACACTTGACACCCACGTCACAACACTAAAGCACCACTGAGAGGCAATCGGGAACCCTATAGTGAATACCACTACTGAAAAAACGTAGCTAAACCGAATAGAGTTATGCACGGAGCTGTAAATGCGAAGACATTCCGCCGCGCCGACAGTTGCCGAGAGACTGAAGCGTGTGTGTGTGCTGCTGATGATGTTTACGTTGACCGGGAGCAGGCGCGCGGAGTAGGAGATGGAAAGGGGCGTGGCTGTACTACCCGGCCGTACCGTACCGCCGCAGCGAGGTACAGCACTCACATCAGTCTCTCGGCAACCGCCGGCGCAGCGGAATGTTTACGGTACGGCCGGGTAGTACAGCTACGCCCCTTTCCATCTCCCACACCGCGCGTCTGCTCCCGGTCAACGTAAACATCATCAGCAGCACACACACGCTTCAGTCTCTCGGCATCTGTCGGCGCGGCGGAATGTCTACTCGTACACAGGTCCGTGCAGAGATCTATTCGGTTTAGCTACTTTTTTTCAGTAGTGGTGTTCACTATAGGATTCTTGATTGACTCTCAGTGGTGTTTTAGTGTTGTGACGTGTCTCCAAAGTAGAAATTAGGTCTACTTCCGACTCTTCTGAGGGAAACAGGATATCTGTGCAGCTAACTAGGTGAGCCTTGCATACGCATCTACTTGTGTGTTAGGCTGACTGATGTTTTTTTTTAAATAAATTGCGCACATTGCATACACTGAGAGATTAGTCATATACTGGGGTATTTTAGAAAAAGTAGATTGTCTTGGTATTACCCATGTGTAAATATCCAAAAAATGTGTGATCATCATGTTTTCGGTATGTTCGGGTACTTAATAGACACCGTACTGAACTGAGTATATCTACATCAAATTTTGAATTGAATAAAAGTGTCAGGTTCGAGAAGTGAATTTGAACTTCACTTGAAAAAGTGACGTCAAGTAGGTTGACTCTGCATATTCAGTACATAAAGGTATAGACATTCTTTCCGTTCCTACAAACCTTTTGCTTGCTTAGCATTGTGTAAGATTTTCATCGAAATCCAAGCGGTGCTTCTCGAGTTATAGCCGGACAGAAGTGAGTGACATGGTTTTTCGTGATGACATGTAACATGCTTTTAGAACTCTTTCATTATCATTTAATTTTTCATTGTGATGATACGATGCGTTATTTTCTAATCTAGCATCACATGGATAGCAAACTTTTTCACTTGCACGTGAGATACAGAGGCAATCTACCTGATACCGTTTGTGAAGTCTTTACAACCCTACCTCAAAGTTTAAATATCAATCCTATGCTACTTTTGATGTTACTCCAAAATACCTAGAAACACTATTTATACACATGGAAATCTACAATATGAATCATTGTTTTATTATGTTATCTTTACTCGGGCCCTCAGATGTCAAATACGGCCAGGAATTATTAGTGCACAGCTTTATTTGACGTTCAATAACTCCCCAATATGTTTTACTTTCATATTCTAAAGGCCGAAAAGTGACAGAAGCAGAACAAACAACTAACAGTAATCCAAATATCAGTCCAAGCCATTTTGGGAAACGGTAGATTCGGTTGCATATCGCAACGTCGTCAATTACGTGTCAAAGTCATTTTAATGTCAACCAGAATCGGTTGCGAAAAGAATCAAATCCAAGCGAATAACCAAAATTTCTGTGTTATGTGCCGCGGTTATAATATGGTTCAAGATGACACACGGGTTGATGACGTCAGTTACACGAATCGCTTGAACGCGTTGGTTTTAACCGCGGTTTTGTTGCAAGTTGTTTATTTTAGAAAAGCGCGTATATAATCTCTGATTATTTTTATTATCACTTAATAATCGGTGCTTTTTCGTCTACAACTGTATATGGAAAGTTTAAATAAGAAACCTTTCATAATATTCATGGGAGAAATGTTTTTTTCAGATTTTTTTTTAATGATGGAACCATGGCTTTGTAGCTATGATAACTTTCAATTCTCTAAATTTTTCCGGATGTCAAAGAAAACATTTATTGATTTAGCAGAAATGATGAAAAAAGATATTAACAAAACCGTATACAGGTGGATATCATCTAGTGAGTTTATATGGCCATATTTTAATATTCTTGTGGTATATGGCTACACAGGATACTTTGTTAAGCATAGGAACTGCATTTAAAGTGTCCTCAACAACCGTAATGAGTATAACTAATAAGGTGCTCCACTTTATGGTAAAACTGAAGTCATCCTGTATCATTTTTCTCAAAAATGAAGCTGAAGTACAATAACAATATCCAATACCCGGCAAAATTCTAACTTGTCACATTTCAAATAATAACCAGAAATATAAAACTACTCTTGAGTTGGGTAAATACCACAATTTTGCGGTGATAACTATGACATATAACACCTGATTCGTGACGTCACGGATCTTATAACCAAACTGACAACTACACTCGCTTGAACGGATTGGTAAATACCAACCCAAAATGGTAAATACCATTTCTATTTGGTTATCCGCTTGAATTTGATTAAGGATTCCCCTTTATTGTAAACGATGACATCAGTGGCATTGACACTTGTGATTGACACATTTGACAGTTGACTGATCGAATTCTTTTCAGAAAAGTTTTCAATCCAGGTTTGTTGTGAATCTGGAAAATATTTTGCAGCCGGAAAACTGGAAATAATTCTTCTAAGCTTGAATATCTAGTTATTGAACGAAATGTCGAAGGGGTATGACGATTACGATCAGGTAACATATGCGCCACATATAAAACAAAATATAGCTGGAGCTTCCTCGTGCTAGAATGCAGCCTATTATATATATCGTTTTTACCTTAAAACTAAACTTACGCACCTGCATGTTTTGCCGGTATTAATCCCATCACACAACACTCACCATTTTTAACTTGACAACACTTTTGATCAGTGTGAAATACATGTCAACTCGATTATAACCTCATTTGCTTTTTAGAGCGATGATTATGAATACGAGGAAAGCGGGTCGAAGCTGCGGGAGCAAGTGAAGAATTTCTTAATTTACTTTCGAAACAGTGTCAATGATGGCCTCATATTCGAACTGCAGGCTCTGTACGAACATACTTGGCCCAAGCTCACCGAGGAATATTTCGACAAGAGGCCATGGCCAGATCCGGATGAAGTTGCAGCTGTTGTTGGGAATGACTATGTGAGCAATATTTAAGTATATATAAGCTAAAGAAGGAAAAGATGATGCATAATACATATTAAACATGAAGTAGGGCCTGCATGTGATGATGAAACTCTTGTATAGTATATAAGCAGCTCTAGCATAGAAGTTTCTTTATTTTGTGACCAAACAACTCTCAGTAGTGTGTTGTACAGTTGTGGTTACTATCAAGAAGAGCTAAACCATCCAGGTTGGTTTTTACAAGTTTTACACATTTTAATGTGTAAATTTATGTTCTTTGAAAGTTTGCCTGCATACTTCATAGATTGAATTAAAAATGAGCTTAATTATATCAGTAGACACTCCCCAAGTGGCAATATTAAATGCCAAATGCACAGTATAGGCTTAAAAGACTGTCCTGGTTTAGGGCTCTATACATGTTGTTTTGTCCTTATTTAATATTATTTATTTTTTTTCACCACGACTCCATCTCAGACACAAGGCTGATTAGTTTCTCCTGGGGATTTACTATGCTATTGCGGATGTATCATCTGCAAACATCACTACTTTCCTTGTTTTTACCTGTTTTTGAAGATCATTCGCAAAAATAATAAAAATTGGTCCCAGCACTGATCCCTGTGGGACCCCAAAGATACAGGAAATGTTTCTGTATTGTGCAAAGAGAATCTTGTCATTAATTATTAATAACATGCGAGTCTCCCTTTTTATGAAGTGTTGATTAGATAGATTTTCTTCATTTGCTTAAGCCACACTTATATGTTTTAGCATTGTCAGATGGAGCACAATATTTAAATACATTCCTGATCAAAACGAATATGTGACTGTTGCTGCTAAATTTGAAAATGAAGTACTCCTGGGATTTGATCAAAGTAGAATTTAAAAAATAATGATAAAAAACATGACCTGACTGCAATAACTAAATAGATTTGTTTCAATTTTGCCATCAAGATGAATGTCTGGACACCTCGAGTGTCAAAAAGCCAACAAACCACAGCTAAAACTAGAAAACATTTCAAACAAAATTTTGGGAATCTTTGAGCCTTTTTATTTTTAATCATTTCACCGCAATATATATATATATATATATTTCTTCTATACAGAGTGACCAAAACAAAAAGGTTGCACCCCTACTTGTGACTCTCCTAGTACATTTTGGGAAAAATGCTCAGAAAAGTCAATTTTGATTTCTAGAGGGACTTTTCATCTATAGCTGTACAATACAGGATGATCCAAAAATAAGATATTGCGTTACACCATACATTATTAAATAGAAATCCTCTGTTTCTAATTCTTTGATTCTCCATGAAGTTTTTAGTAATTTTTGTGTAATAAAGTTTATACTTATCTTCAATGGTTGTGTCAAGCTGCTTGAGCTAATTTCTAGAAATTGTGATAATTATTGTAAAAATAATGATCAATATAGTTCCCATAGTAACAGGACTACTTGAAAATTAGAACAAGTCTCATAAGTATTAAAAAACAAAAAACAACGTACAGTTTACACACACATTAAAGTTAAATTAAAAATTAATTTGCTATAAAGAGGTAGCTCAATGTGGTAATAAGTGCTGAAAGTGGTGTCCATCTACCTCCGTGCAATAATAAAGTTTTTGTTCAAATCTATTCCATACATTTTCCAGCATGTCTTTAGTTGTTTGTCTACATTCAGTCTTAATCCGCTGATGAAGATCTTAATTGGAATCTGGCTTCATTCTAAAAACTTTGCTTTCAAATGCTCCCAAAGAAAGTAATCTAAAGGTAGTAGGTCCGGAGATCTCGCCAGCCACTCAATAGGGCCTTGTCTGCCGATCCACTGATTCGGGAAACAACAGGACAGCTTTGTCCATTAAACTTGTTATATTAGTAGCATTCAAGCTCTAGAAACTTCTCTAAAGCAATATTATATCTATGTTTTGTACCCAATTATGACAATATTTAGAAAAATACCTGAACTGTAATTTGCTTAATTTTTAATCATTTAAAGTATTTCCTAAGAAGGAAATACAGAATATTTACATTTTCAGTATAACTAGTAATATTGTTTTACCAGTAATAAGGTTGGAAACAAAATATGTGACGCTCGGATGAAACTAGGTCATTTTCAAGGATCTGTTTCATTTGGTTTTAAATTATTTTTTACTATTTGTACCTTTTTTAATGTCGATTTATGTAAACAATGCGCTCGTGAGCGGGTCTTTCGTATCTGATTCAATTCCTGAAAGCTTCCAAACACATACCTTTTGTGCCTTTATCATTTACAAGATCTGAAACGTCCCTGAACTTAACTTCAAGGGTCTGTTTCATTTGGCTACCCCTTTCATTCAGTTCATCTTTGATTGTTTGTGATAGTTTGTCACCAGTAGTCAACAGCTGCCTTTTGTAATGCTCCATGCCTGAGGCTGGATATGGATATTTTATGTTGTTGTGTGAATTGTACCTGGCTGTTATCTGATTCATAGGATATTGATTTTAGATTGTAGGTATTATTAAATATTAACAGCGTTTATTAGGTAGTATAATTGATTTTTATATGATATTCATTCATTATCCATAGTAATGGCTGTTTACAACAGGCAATCATCTAATATTGATCAGTCAACAGGTGGGGTATCCAACAAGAAACTAATTTTCTGACTCCTAATTCTTCATGTAAATTTTTTTGAATTGAGGTCTTTGAGATCTTCAAGGACGCCTCAATCTCGCGATATGTCACATGTCTATCTTCAATGATGAGTTTGCGCACAGCATCGACGTTTTCCTGCGTGACTGCCGTTTTTGGTGCACCCTGGGATCGTCGCTAAGACTCACCCGTGCACGTTTGAATTCTCCATACCAACGGGAAATTGTCGACTGATGTGACGCTTCGTTGCCGAAAACAGACAGTAACTCAGCAAGGCATTCTTGTTGCGATAATTGTCTCTGAAAGTTGTAATAAATTATGGCGCGAAAATGTTCTCGGTTGAGTTCCATTTTTCTAATGACTTGGGGGCACTTAAAAATTCACTGTAATGATAATACTGCACGTATTGTTGTGAAACTTTGAATTTAAGTTTACTAAAGAGTGAGGTTAAGATTCAGTACTGACTTTCGATCCGCGCGGCCTACTATGTTTCTATATGCAAAACTTAACAGACATCCCTCGTATGTTTGATTTTAAGACGGAAAAAAACCTGCTCTGTGACGAAGAAACAATTAGGTTTTTTGTTGAAGTGTGAAAAAATCTCAATTAAGTCAACAACAGTACTAAACGCGTCCTGAAAAACTACATGGCGACTAAATTTCCGAGCACGAAGCTACTTATTCCCACTACTCGTGTTCACCTCCCACTTGCCTGTACCACCTACATGCTTTGAAACAGTGTTTACTCTTACAACATGATAGTCATGAATATCGATAGTTGTTGACTCACAATTAAATTTTGAAATTCATTATGAAAGAATTATAAACGAGATTAGTAGTAAACTGGGATATTTATCATGTTTTTTTGGTCACCTATCAGCATTGTCTCTAGGATAACGAAAGAAAGCATAGCAACCATATGTCTGTGAGGTTAACCCTGGAAATTCTGAGCTGTTAAAAAACGTTGTCAGTCTTATTACATTTTCTACCAAAACGATTTTTTAGATTATTTAAAATGATCAATACAGACCTTTTTACTACGTTTTTCTACCAAAAATTGTCTTCATTTAGAAAAACTTCAAAAAAAAAAACAACCAAGGACACGTAAAGTTAGCTCAGGACTAGTCAGATTAAAAAAAAAATAAACACGCATTGATTTTCCATCATTTTACCAAGTTTTTCCAACCATCTTTTTTGTGTTTCCGTCTTTGAATAACGAAAAGATTTTTCTGACCGAACTTTACGAACCTATCTTCTATCCAGAATATAAGTCTATGGCGCTGGCTAATTAGGATACGGTCTAATTTGTGCTGAACAAAATTCTCTCAACCTATACTAAGTGACATATAAATCCGAACACCCAGTTTAAATGGTTTTATTTTAATAAAATTTTGTATAAGTACTTAATGAAGCATAATAAGTAAATGATAAAAATTTCAAAATGATTGCACTGCTTTAAAGCGCTTTGACCTTTAATAATGTGTGGATGCACCCTGATGTGCTACGCATTCTCGAACGCGCCTAGGCATGCTTCTGATTAGGTGGTCAATGTCCTCCTGTGGTATCTCATTCCAGGCAACCACCAACTCCTCTCGAAATGCTTCTAGAGTCTGAGGAGGACGTTGCAAATTGAGAAATCTCCTACCCATCATATCCTACACGTGCTCAATTGGGGATAAGTCGGGAGATCTTGGTGGCCATGGTAACAATGTGACATCATCATGTTGAAAGAAGTCTATTGTGACTCTTGCAACATGTGGTCGGGCATTATCTTGTTGGAAAGTTGGATCTGCCAGGGTGTCAATATAGGGTAAAAGATGGGGTTCTACAACTTCGTGGATATAACGCTGCGCGTTCATGTTACCTCTGATGAAGATTAAAGGTGACCTGGAACCATAAGCTATAGCACCCCAAACCGTAACTCCAACAGTGTGATGGACATGTCTTTCAACAAAAAACTGTGGATTCCTCCTTTCACCACGTCGCCTTCTAACCCTGGCACGACCATCGTGCATGCCTAAACAAAATCGAGACTCGTCACTAAAGACAATACTGTTCCATTCCTGATCCCAGAGTGACCGTTGTCTGCACCACTCAAGGCGATTACGTCGGTGTATCTCGAGTTGAAGGGAGGACCCAGTGTGGCCGGTATGAAAACAAGCCAAAACTTCTCATTCGTCGGTAAACACTTCGCATGCCAATAGGTCTTCCGTGTTCTGCAAACCATTCATTTGCAATGGACCTGGTAGTGGAGAAACGGTCCCTTAAGGCCAATAATCTTAGGCGGCGATCTTCACGGTCTGTTGTTCTACGGCGGCGTCCAGTGCCCCTTGCTCTTTGCGTACGGCCTTCTCGAAGCCATGCCTGACAACACCTAACCACAGTGTCTACACTTCTTTGCACTCTAACTGCAATTGCCCGAAAAGAAAGTCCAGCTTCCCGAAGTCCCACTATACGGCCCCTATCAAACTCACTAAGTTGACGAAATCGTACAGGTCTCCGTACTCTAGGCATCGTAACCGATCGTAAAGCATGTCACGAACCAAAATCCGCCAACGTTCATTCTTTACTGCGGCTGAAATATTCATTTTTAGAGCGTTAGTGAATTAAAAAAAAGCAGTATAAAAACCGGAATGTCCAACTGATAAGGCTGAAAATTTTTTCACTTGTTATTTACAGTAAGATAAATACATTCACCAACTTTTATTAAATTTTAAACCATTTAAACTGGGTGTTCGGATTTATATGTCACTTAGTATATTTGACGACATTTTTTTTCAGGTATTTATGATCTTATACAAAGAGCTTTACTTCCGGCACATCTACGCCCGACTACCGGGCGGGCCCACATCAGAACAACGCTTCCAGTCCTTCTACAACTATTGCAATCTGTTCAACTATATCCTGAACGCCGAGGAGCCAGTCCCGATGGAATTACCGGACGTGTGGCTGTGGGAACTGATCGACGAGTTCGTCTACCAGTTCCAGTCGTTCGCTCAGTACAGGGCGAGGCTGCAGAAGAAAACGCCGCAGGAACTGCAGAATTTGAACGCGAACAACAAAGTGTGGAATATACTGTGCGTGCTGAACGTGTTGCATTCGTTAGTCGATAAGAGCAACATCAAGCAGCAGTTGGAGGTTTACGCTAGCGGCGGCGATCCCGATTCTGTTGCGGGAGAGTATGGCAAACATTCGCTGTACAAGATGTTCGGATATTTTTCGCTGATCGGGCTACTGAGGCTGCACTCGCTGATGGGAGACTACTACCAGGCGATAAAGGTGAATATTACTACGTTTTTCTTTTAGCTTCTTTTTCGCATGAGGAAACCGTTCAAATTCGCAGTAGTGGTCAAATACTGTGCAGGCTTTTGCTGGTGCATGAAGGTGTAAAGTCTCCTGTATCTCTTCGTATGTCACTCTCCGGTCTTCGTCAAGCATTTTCCTCATGACAGACATGTTTTTCTCTGTTACTGACGTTTGAGGCCGTCCTTCATTTCTTCTAAGCACTGGTCTAGGCTTAAACCACGCGTAAAGTTATACCGTAAGACTGCTGTTATCTCTAGGGATGTAACGGGTACCCGGCTAATTTGACGAGGTACCCGGTTTTACCGGGTAATCATACTATCCGGCCGTGTAGACTGAATAAATGAAAAAAAAATTATTGAAAAAAATAGAGGTCAAAGAGCCTGTAAAAAACAACTTAATACATAATATATGGGGTTGTCCAAATCGGACGCAGGAAAGTAAACGCATATTAAAACGAGAAAGATTGATATTCAAATCAAGTTGGGTACTTTATTTTGAAGGTTCATTTATACCATTTATGTATGAAAAATAATATCGCTCAAATGTTCACCACGACTGGATTTACAGACGTCCACGCGATGGACGAAATTTTCAATGACATTTTGCAACATGGTCGGTTCTATGGCATTTATCTCGGCAATGATGTTGTTTTTGAGTTCTTGGAGGGTGGCTGGTTTGTTGACGTAGACTTTGCTTTTCAAATATCCCCATAAAAAGAAGTCCAAGGGAGTCAAATCGCACGATCTTGGTGGCCATGGCACATTTCCTCTGCGCGAAATCACGCGATCACCGAAGAAGGACTGCAATCGATGGATACGTTGGTTGTGTGACATGTTGCACCGTCTTGTTGGAAATAAACATCGTGCATATCCATTTCTTCAAGTTGCGGCAAAAAATAGTCCTCTATCATCACGTGATATCGCTCAGAATTGACGGTAACGGCGTCCCCGGCCGCATTTTCGAAAAAGTAAGGTCCGATGATGCCTTTTGACCACAACACCACACATTCACTTTTTGAGGTGCATCGGCTGCTCTTGATACTCACGGGGATTTTCGTTCGCCCAGATGCGGCAGTTTTGCTTGTTTACCGTCCCATTCAAAGTGAAATGCGCTTCGTCGCTGAACATGATTTTTGATGAAAAATTGGCATCAATTTGGCGGTGTTCAAGGAGCCAATCTGAGAACGTTCGGCGCGAAAAATGGTCGGCCCGACGCAGCTCTTGCGTCAATTGGATCTTGTAGGCGTGTACATTCAAATCCTTGTGGAGAATGCGGAGCAAACTGGTTCTCGAAATGCCCAATTCATGGGATCGACGCGTTGTTGATTGTTTCGGATCGTCTCTCACACTCTCCTTCACAACAGCAATATTTTCCGGTGTGCGAACGCTCCTTGGCCGGCCACAGAACCTGTTGCCTCGAATTTACGCACCAGACGACCGATGGTTGTTTCGTTTGGGCGGTTGTTGCGACCGAAATGTTCACGAAGCGCGCGAAAATTGTTTTTTATTTTTGCACCATTTTTGTAGTGCTCTTGAATAACTTTAATGCGGTCTTCAATCGAATACGACTCTATAGCGATCAATGGTAAACTTTAACTAACAAAATGACATGTCGGTGATAGAAAACAAATCGTCTATGTCAAATTGACGTTTACTTTCCTGCGTCCCTATTGGACAACCCTTTATTAGCACCGCTATCTCGAAGAACCAAGTGAACTCTGCCCACTTCTATGTTATTATTTCTTAACAATTCTAGTAAAGCATTTTTTATATTTTCACCGGTATGACGGCCATCCAGACCACGAATACTTAGCACATAATGTTTTTGTTCAAAATTTCTGGAAATCCAATGTCCAGTTAAACTTATGAAGCTCTTATTGTTCACATCAGAAGTCCACATGTCTGTTGTGAAAGAAATAAATCTTGCATCTGCTAACATCTCAGCTACTCTACTTTGACACTTTTCGTATATCTCAGGAATGACAGTTTTGCTGAAATATGGCCGACTGGGTATACTATACTTTCGTTTCAGGACAGCAAACAATCTCTTGAATCTCCTAAAAATTTATCCGCGATAAGTTTATATGGCAGAAATTACTACCCGTTACATCCCTACTTATCTCACTACGTGACTAATACTACTACCACTTTACACTGTCAATACGAGTGAACAACTAAATCAACAGGCGGCTACTATGCACACATGGACATGTCTCAACAAAACTTTTATAGTACCATATGTATTTTGACATTTTTCACAGGTCCTCGAAAACATCGAAGTGCACAAGAAATCCCAGTACGCGCACATCCCCGCCTGTCAGATTTCCACGTCGTACTACGTCGGTTTCGCGTACATGATGATGCGTCGCTATTCGGACGCGATCCGCACGTTCTCCTCGATCCTGCTGTACGTGCAGCGTACCAAACAGCTGTTCGCCTCGAAGACGTACCAGCACGACCAGATCAACAAGCAAGCCGAGCAAATGTACCACCTGCTCGCTATATGCCTGGTGCTGCATCCGCAGTGCATCGACGAGTCGATTCAGCAGGCGTTGAGGGAGCAGATGTTCCACGAAAAGATGTACAAGATGCAGTGCGGCGATTTGAAGGAGTTCGAGAACTGTTTCGTGTTCGCGTGTCCCAAGTTCTTGTCGCCGTACCCGCCGGCTGTGGACTCGCAGCCCAACGATTATTCGAAGGTACGTTTTTATAAGTGTAATCGCACCACGCTGTCTCGTGGACACACACCACCGTACCACCGTTCGAGGACAGTAACAGACACTCCGCGTCCGTTCAAGACAGAGTTAATTCCATTGCAAACTATATGAGACCATGAAAAACTGTTCGTTTAAAGGAGGTGACCGTGAGGGAGAGTTTGTCTGTATACGATTTTTTTTGATGAGCGCATCCGCAACTCCGCCCATTTTTTGTCTACGGTTGATATATCAAATTTGATTTCAGGACGCGATAAAACATCAAACGGCGATGTTTATGAGCGAGGTTAGGCAGCAGAAGATGCTCCCTACGATAAGGAGTTATCTGAAGTTGTACACGACGTTGCCTTTGAGCAAACTGGCCAACTTCATGTCGCAAAACAGTAGAAAAGAGGGCGAGAATCAGAGGGATCTGAGCAAAGAGATCCAGGCGCTGACGATCCATCTGCTGTGCTTCAAACACAAAATGAAAAACATGGTGTGGTCGAAAGGTGCCTCAGGCTTGGAGGGGAAGTTTCAAAGCGGTTCGGAGGTAAGGCTTTTACTTTCCACGCCAATTGGCGACGATATTGTAATCGTGAACAATTTCGAAAATAGATATTATGAAGAGAGTCTACGCGAACTTCCAAGAATCAACGATTTCGGCCTGATGTGATTTTCCACACTTGACTGTCTCAAATGCTATTTCCTTGTGAACCTGATTTCATCAATAAATTTGTTTTCGAGTAAAAATTAACTATTTTATGATATTTTTAAAACCGTCCATCCTCTCTGCCGCACCCTGTATAAACTGTATCTTGTTCCAGCTTGACTTCTATATCGACAATGACATGATCCATATAGCAGATACTAAAGTGGCGCATCGTTATGGAGACTTTTTCATTAGGAAAATATTGAAGTTTGAAGACTTGAACAGGAAGCTGCATCAGATTAAATTGTAAGACTTTTTTATGTTTTATAATGAAACTGTTAGGAATAAAAGTATTAAATGACTTTCTATGTTTTATTTTACCTTCCGCACTATATCAAATTTGTCCAGAAATTTGACATTAAAGGCTTTAAGCGAAACTACATGTGAAAATTGTCCCCATAGTTTTTCAGAGCTTAAATCAATACAAATTTTGAGTTCAATAGGTCTAACCTAAAAACCGCGTTTTTTTTCAAAAATATTTTTTACAGGCGCGTTTTTTCTAAAAGAAAAAAATTATGTTACACCGTTATGTCCTGTGATTTTTTACATGTAGGGAACTTGTAGTCTCAAGATATTTTTTTTTGAATTTTCGATTAGGTTATGAAAATTTACCAAATGTAAAAAACCCAGTGTATATCGGTGCTTTCTTGCGATTCTCCTCAATCTTTGACATTTTTTTTAGTAGGAAATCAAAATTTGTCCGACTCAAAAAATCGGGTTATCTCAAAAATAAGGTTCCCACATTTTTTTGCGGGCACAAGTAATTTTTATTTGAAATAAAGAATTTACCACTGGAAACGTTGATCTTTAAGCTGTTTTTCTAAATAGTCCCCATTTTTTCTACACATTTTTTTAGGCGTGGAATCCAGTTCTCGCCTCAAGGAAGACGGGAATATATTTGATTTACTATTTACTGTACTTTAAAATGGTCAAACCGGTGGCCCATACGTCGTGTTAATAAACAGTGATTTATACATACGAGGGTTATTTCAAAAATACTGTTTCAAATTTTTTTCAGACACAAGGAATTTTTTATTTGAAAAAACGAATTTACAATTGGAAACGTTGATCTTTAAGCTATTTTTCTAATTAATCGCCATTTTTTCTACACATTTTTTTTATACGTGGAAGACAGGGGAATATATTTGATTTTTTACTGTACTTGAAAATGGTCACAGTGGTGGCCGAAACGTCGTGTTAATAAACAGTGATTCATCCATACGAGGGTTATATCAAAAATAAGGTTCCACATTTTTTTCAGGCACAAGGAATTTTTTATTCGAAAAAACGAATTTAATTTACGCTTTGTAGACGATTTTGGATTGCCCGTCTAAGCTTTTTCAGAAGCCTCAGAAACTTCAACCGCCTGTTCCCGGATCCTGATTCGCAGATCTTCGAGCAAGACTTTCTTAATCTTCGCCATAACTTTGACTTGTTGACGGTTGGTTCCTTCAGAGAATTGTCACCGTAAACTTGTTCCAAACATTCAAAAATATTACAAAAAAACAAAAAAAAAGTTGATTCATATGATAGTTATTACGTTTTGAAATAATGAAGTTATGCTACCGCACCCTGCATTACAAACAATAATGCATTTCCTACCTACAAGCACAGCTGTTGTCACCGAGTGACGTCATTCGGTGACAAGCAAGGCTGATGTCATTCGGTCGCGGAATCTTCTGGAGTTATAGTACAATGACGCATAACCTACAAAGCTTCAAACGCAACGGTAATTGTAAACAATTATCCCTATAGAATGAAATAAAAACTTTATTGATCAACGGCTACATAAAAGTTGCAACAAAAACATGTTCTGACATTACTAATTTTGCGCTCGTAAGTGTTTTTTTGAGGTTTTCACTTTAAATCGTGACGCGTGTCTTGGCTTAAACCTAGTCTTATCGTCTTTACTCTTATAATACTTATTTTCCTCATTGCTTTCTCTAAATTGCTGCCATGGATGCACATCTTCACTGTCGTCGACCTTGACTTGGCCCTGCCATGTTTTGAGTTTCTGCCTGAAGTTACAGAAGAGATTCGTCTTTCTTGGAGATAGTTTCTGGAAGATACGAGTCTCTTTAATCTCCAATATTCCAAATGACTGAACGTTTATCGCAAGACACAATAATACCTTTTTAGAATAATCCACAAGCAATGCAATTTAAAGTCCCGCTGTACAAAAAGAAAATGACGAACATAGGAAAAACGATATCGAAACAGGCAATGAATTTTGTAAATATTTTTCTGAAATTGGTGAGACATTTCAAATGAAACAGCTTATAAATATCTACGAAAACCATATTCCTAAATTCCCTGTACATGTATAAATTCCTCGATCAATACGAAATTGGCTGGAAGAGAAAACGAAATTACCGGGTTTTACATACACTCTGGAACAAATAAATTATATACTAAGTGACATATAAATCCGAACACCCAGTTTAAATGGTTTTATTTTAATAAAAGTTGGTGAATGTCTTTATCTCACTGTAAATAACAAGTGAAAAAATTTTCAGCCTTATCAGTTGAACATTCCGGTTTTTATACTGTTTTTTTTAATTCACTAACGCTCTAAAAATGAATATTTCAGCCGCAGTAAAGAATCAACGTTGGCGGATTTTGGTTCTTGACATCCTTTACGATCGGTTACGATGCCTAGAGTACGGAGACCCGTACGATTTCGTCAACTTAGTGAGTTTGATAGGGGCCGTATAGTGGGACTTCGGGAAGCTGGACTTTCTTTTCGGGCAATTGCAGTTAGAGTGCAAAGAAGTGTAGGCACTGTGGCATGCCTTCGAGAAGGCCATACGCAAAGAGCAAGCGGCACTGGACGCCGCCGTAGAACAACAGACCGTGAAGATCGCCGCCTAAGATTATTGGCCTTAAGGGACCGTTTCTCGACTACCAGGTCCATTGCAATTGAATGGTTTGCAGAACACGGAAGACCTATTGGCATGCGAAGTGTTTACCGACGAATGAGAAGTTTTGGCTTGTTTTCATACCGGCCACACTGGGTCCTCCCTTTAACTCGAGAACACCGACGTAATCGCCTTGAGTGGTGCAGACAACGGTCACTCTGGGATCAGGAATGGAACAGTATTTGTCTTTAGTGACGAGTCTCGATTTTGTTTAGGCATGCACGAGGTCGTGCCAGGGTTAGAAAGCGACGTGGTGAAAGGAGGAGTCCACAGTTTTTTGTTGAAAGACACGTTCATCACACTGTTGGAGTTATGGTTTGGGGTGCTATAGCTTATGGTTCCAGGTCACCTTTAATTTTCATCAGAGGTAACATGAACGCGCAGCGTTATATCCATGAAGTTCTAGAACCCCATCTTTTACCCTATCTTGACACCCTGGCAGATCCAACTTTCCAACAAGATAATGCCCGACCACATGTTGCAAGAGTCACAATAGACTTCTTTCAACATAATGATGTCACATTGTTACCATGGCCACCAAGATCTCCCGACTTATCCCCAATTGAGCACGTGTGGGATATCATGGGTAGGAGATTGCTCAATTTGCAACGTCCTCCTCAGACTCTAGAAGCACTTCGAGAGGAGTTGGTGGTTGCCTGGAATGAGATACCACAGGAGGACATTGACCACCTGATCAGAAGCATGCCTAGGTGCGTTGGAGAATGCGTAGCACATCAGGGTGCATCCACACATTATTAAAGGTCAAAGGGCTTTAAAGCAGTGCAATCATTTTGAAATTTTTATCATTTACTTATTATGCTTCATTAAGTACTTATACAAAATTTTATTAAAATAAAACCATTTAAACTGGGTGTTCGGATTTATATGTCACTTAGTATAAAATTTCTAATGTACTAGCATATCTTGTATACACCTGCGTGGAAGAGGGAATGCTCCCGACCAAATTAAAAAAGGCAACTCTTCAAGAATATTCGAACAAATTTGTAAAAAACGCTTTAAAGATTTAATTGCAGAATACAACCTTATATCTGAACAGCAATATGGATTCCAGGAAGCCCAAGATGCACTCGTTCAGTTAACAATCAAAATTGACAAATACGTTTATAGTAATAAGTCAACATGCCTTTTTGCAGACTTGGCCAAAGCATTATGCATTAAACATTATTAAAAACATTGTAAATTTAGGATTTCGTGGAGTCACACTAACTGAAAATATGACAGACGCGGAGTTCCACAAGGGACCATATTAGGACCAATGCTGTTTAATTTGTATATTAATGACCTTTTTAGGTTAAAAAACGATGGAGAAATTATTGGTTTCGCAGACGATACGACATTTATTTACTCAGGCAAAGATTGGGCTTCTTTAAAAAACAAAATTGTATTAGATTTTCAAAAGGTTACACATTTTTTCAGGGAAAATTCTACTCATATGATCGGTTAAAGAAAACATTATAATACCAGAATATCATAAAAAGAGTTTCGCTTATCACGTACAATTGGTGCTGCAAATTCTGCAAATTTTGTTTTGGGACATCTCGTCACTCTGAGTGTCGTAGTGGAAGAACCCTTCATTCGATTGCGATGTGCTTCAAAACACTATTCGGAAAAAGATTAAGACTACGTTTGCCTAAGAACGGCAATTAAATTAGACAAACGTTAGTGCCAAAATACGTGATCAAAGAAAGTGGCCTTCTAATTAACTTGCGCATATAAACTATTATCAAAATCAACTCACATCAGACTTCTGAAGTTCCCTGCAGCGTTTTTTGAACTCTTCCAATGTTTCGATAAATTTCTTGTTTGGTCTAACGCCTTCTGCTTCACACAAATCCATTATGTACATGACGTAATTAAAGTTTACATGGTAACAGCCTTGCTTCAACATTGTGCCCAAAATTTCAGTATTTAACCTGAAATCGCATTTGATTGAGCCGATTCACATACACCAGAATACGATGAAGTTTTGCAATACAGCTTTATTTATATACAGATATCGCCAGATTTATCACCTTTGGATTTCTTTATGTGGGGTCATTTAAAAAGCAAAATCTATGCTACTCAGTCAACATCATTGGCAGACCTGCGACGAAGAACTGTGAATGAGTGCATTCAAATTACTCCTCAAATATTGCAAAATGTGCGGCAAAGTTTTTAGCAAAATCTTTATTATTGCATGGAGAGTCATGGTGGCCATTTTCAACATTTACTTGCCTAACGGGTCAGTTCATCCTTCATTTTCAAATTACTTTGCTGCCAAATGTATTGATCTCCACTAATGATGATGTAATAGTTTTATTTAAGCTTTAAATCAATAAATCTCCAAAACTACTGTACTGAAGTACATTAATTCTATATCATTATAAAGGGATTTGAAAGACCTTTAAAATAAGGTATCACTCAACCCCCCTTTCCATTTAAGATTTTAGGGTTGGTGTCACCCCCGCCCAGGGGGCTGCACGTGTTAACGTGAATTTTGCCAAACTTGTGTCCCCCTACAAAACAAAATCGACGGGTGCGAGCGTTTTTAAAAAAAAAAACTGAGCTGCCAGTAAAAGCGCGTGTTTCGTTTTCGATGCGCCACCCTCATGAACATGTCTCACAATGCAGTAACATCCTTTGTTAAGTCATATTGCAAAACTTTTATAGTACCCTTTTTATGTTTGGTTGTCAACTTTTGATTAAATGTATCAAGTATTCACCTGTAGTTTGATTCTGTCATTGCACCAATGAGTTCCTCTGCCTGTTCCTTCGTTTTGCAGCCCAAAGATAAAACTCCATAAGTAATTAAGTTTGGTTGGTACATTTCTAAATCCATCAATTCCAGAACTTCCTATAAAATAATCAATGAACTTGCCTAATTAAAGTTCTAAACATAAACACAATCAGCAGTGAGTAGTGGCACAATCTGGTTTATAATTCTTTTTATATCGAATCGCCGTGTAGCCTAAATACCAGTGCGATTTTTGAACTGCCTAAGGTCCGTAGAAGTGAGAAACGCCTGCTCAAGAACATTGTCCACAATTTGGTTACTCAAACGACAAAGGAGTGGTCGAATCGAGAGGGCATCAAAGATCTTGGCAACAATTTCCGGCTTAAGCTTTGAGTTAGTTACAATCATTCTATACACAGCTTTTTCACAAGTCGCAGCACAAGACGCAATTAACGCCTTTGAGCTAGGTTTACAATGGGCTGAAGAGAATGGTACATCCTACAACGAACTTTTACTTTTGATAAGACTGAGAGACAAAGCTCTGATCTCGCGTTATAACAACCTTGAACAAACAAAAAATTGATGGATATTTCCAAGCTTCATAATTTGATAAATTCATTAATGATTTTGATTAATAATTATTTTATTCTTTTTTTTACCATTGGATATGTAATTTGACAGATTACAACATACTATTTTGTAAGAAATTCCGGACTATAGGGGGTCTTAAGCAGTGCTCTTTAATCCGACAAATTCGATAGTCCGACACTGCCTTGCATATTTGTCAGATTACATTAGCGAAGATTGTCAAATACATATGTATGTAATATTCAAAGATATGTCGGATTACAGGGGGCGCCGGATTAGACAGGGGCCAGATTATCGGGGGTTCACTGTATACAGGTCGGAGTATTGATAAAACAAGTTAAAAAAGAAATACAGCACAATATTAATTTGTCTATATACTTTTGTCCATTACTGTAGGTTTAAGATTTTTAGATTCAACTTCAACATGTCTCTTGTTGAGAATAAATAAATAAATATCCATACCTTCGCAGCCTCATAGTCGAACCTCATACTCCTCTTCTTAATCAGCATATTGAAGAAATCTATATCTGGCTTAACTTTCAGCTTCTTCATAGCATTAAGCAGATCCTTCTCAGCAGCTAACGAACTCGGAATCACATCCAGCAACAATGAAAATGTCTTGATGTCAGGCTGGCAGTTATGTTCTTTCATGTTTGCCAGAAAATCTTTGAATCCTCCCACTAGCAATAACCTTTCTTCCGGCTTTTTCACTTCTGCCAGCGAAATGATGTTTCCGAGATGTGGTTGCGATGCCATCAAGTTAGGTCGAATCATTGTATCTATTTTCATTTGAATAGTTTTTATATCATTTGCATTGCTTTCCGTTGCTGGCTCTATGTTATTTTCAACAATACTGATCGCATCCTCTATTGACAATGCTTGCTGGTGATGATTGTCACCTCCCTCAATTTGAGTTGTACCGGATGTTAGCAATTTTTGGTCTTCACCTTGTAATAGCGTATTATTTGAAACTAGCTTATTTATAACATCCTGTGTAACTTCAACGTCACCTATGCCACATTCCCTAATAGAACGTAACATTAGATTGTACGTAAATATATTTGGCTTGATTTTTCTATCGACTACTTTACGCCATACAAGCAAGGCATGTCTGAACCCTGCATCTTTGTCTGTTATGCATGCTTGGAACAAGAAATTAAGAGTGTCTTCCTGTGGACGGATACCTTTAGTTATCATTTCATCAACAAGAGTAAATGCCATGTTTAAGTCACCACATCGACCAAAAGCTTTTATCATTGCATTGTAGTTTGTATCATTCGGTTCGTAACCTTTTTCGATCATGATTTGGTAGAGTTTCTTGGCTCTGCTTAAGCCATCTGAAGCCCACGGGCTGTTTGCACAAGCATTGAATAGAGCTGTATATGTACCACCTGTAACCTTAAGTCCTCTTTTTTTCATATCATTGTAAAGTTTGAAAGCTTTCTTGGTATATCCGACTCTACCACAAGCACCTAAAAGTAAGTTGTAGATGTAGTTTTCAGGTTTAACTCTGTCCTCCTTTATCATCCTCACTTCAACTAAATCTATGGCTTCTTTAATGCGACGATTTTTTATATAGTCTTTTATCAAATCCGCATACTGTTTAGTTCGTAGTTTTTGTGATGGTAAAGGCTGGTCTTCAAAATACCGTTCCTCCTGCAGATCACCTTCATCATACACTTCTAATTCTTTAGGGGGCCCGAACGTATCTGGATCAGTCTTCAATTTTACCAAAAAGTCTTTTTCCTTTGATTTGGTGCTGTTTGAACTTAAGTGGTTCTGCGTGGGCTCCGTTGTTTGGTGAACGGGTCGTATGAACGTAGACGTGCTTGCACTGGATTTTAAGAAAACGCAGTCCAAAAGTTGTTTTAATGACGAGCGTTTTGCTAATGTTGTTCTGATCATTTTCACAAAGACGGAGAGATACAACTACACAAACGAAAAAGCATGTGTTTGACCTGTTAAAACACAAAAAATACACTGCACTGTTATCTCCTCTAAAATATGCCCTTATGTCGAAACCCTCAAAAATATTAGGAATTTTATAATCATTTTATAAACACGATTTTGATTGGTTAACCTATCTTTTTATTTGCATTGGAATGTCAGATCATAGAACAAATACACTGTGACAGATGTCAGTTTAAACTTCCGTAAAGTGTCAAAACGAAGACTAGAGATATGAGGTTAAATTGTATGAAGCCGATTCCGTCGCCAAGGAGGGCGTGGTTTTCGAAAATAACTAAACATGATGCTTCTGTCAGTTCGACCAAAAGACAGCCAACCTGGGACAGCTGTTTTTTGCTTCTCATCGGCATGATCTCTCGTCTCTGGGGCAACCAACGAAAGCATAACAACCATCCTCTATCCAGGAGGTACAATCTACTATACACCAAGAATCGTCAGTCATCCAGCGTTCACATAGTGACTACGCGAACTGAGAGTACTTTTATTTCATTTCTTTATTGTTGCCTAATACAGGTCAAAGTTAAATTACAAAAGTATAGAGCCACAAAACAACAAAGGTTGTTGGAAGAACAACGTTAAGAGAAAACTGTAAAAAACAACATTAACAGAAAAACTTGAAAATGATATAATGATTGTGAATCTAATACAAAAGTATAGAACAAGCACATCCGAACAAATTGACAAATATAGCAAAAGTAAACAAGCACGGTACAACACCATTATACGAGATCCGAAAAGTTATTATTTAGAAATTCTTCGATGGTATAAAAGCTTGAGTTGATTCCATAGTAGTTAGAACCGTTTCTAGTTCTTTGTAGACAATGTACATCACTGTGCGTTTTGTATAGATCCAAATTGTTATGTACATTGTTATGTAAGGATCCTTAGATTGATGACAGCTGCATATAGCTCTGACTTGCGAAGACTCTTTGTAGTGCAAATGTTTTAGGCATATGCACAGATTGACCCCAGGTCAAGAGTGCATATGACATTCTTGAGTGGAAGTATCCATAGTATAGTCAACGCCAAACAAAGTGGCGTGCACGTCATCAAGGTGGGTGTGTTGAAAAATTTACATTGTTGCCAAACTTTTTGTAAAATAATAAAATTTATTATTTACATATCTAGGTTTATAAGCAATATTAACCTCAAATGAGAACAAAAATAATAGTATAATAAAATTATAGATCTGTACTTGCATAATCATTAAGTATGACAATTATTGATCAGATGACACTATGAAACTACCATATTTAATTGATAGCTTAAAGGTACTGAATAAAAATCCAAATGCGGTCCTCCAAATTTTATGCATGGTATTTATTTTACAGAATTCATACAGAAAAATGCATTCTAAAATTAGGTAAGCTACTGGTGTAAGCTTTTTCTGTACAATAAAGTTAGTCGGAGTTTCTTTCTTCAGCGCTGTCTGAATCTGAATCTTCATCACTCTCAAAGTTGATTATTACAGGTTCGATGTCTGGTCGATCAAAAATTCGTTCTCTTTCATACCATTTAAAAATTTCTTGCTCAGTATGTCGAACACTATTTTTCCACATGTCTGGGGTAACCGTTTGTAGAGCCTCGTTCCACATATCCAAACAGTCTTTTTCACTGTTACCATCTCTACCAATATGTCTGTTATAGTAACCTTTTGCTATGCCCCAAATTAACTCAATAGGGTTAAATATACAATAGTAAGGAGGCAGACGAAGAACTTTGTGCCCATGTTGTTCCGCCAATTCATCAATCACGTATATTTTAGGTGGTTTGTTTATAAAAAAGCAGTTATTTTAAGAATAGGAATAAACAAAAGAAATATAAACTGTCGACCAAAATATATATAATTAAGAAGCATTATGTACCGAGCAACAATACTCAATAGCTCTGTTTTAAACATTGTGTTTAAAAATGGTATGTTTTGATTTGTCAACCAGTCTTGGATATTTTTTTTTTCCATGCATTGTTGGGCGCTTTGTTCAATATCATGCTGTGATAAGGGGCGTTATCCAGTATAATCATAGATGGACTCTCCATGTTTTCTAATAACTGATGTTGAAACCATTTCAAAAAATTGTCCTGATTCATCTCTCCATGGTAATCGCTCAATTTTGTTTTCGAAGAAAATATCACTTCACTACCCTCAATAAACCCATTTTCATTTCCAGCATGTAATATAATGTATCTAAAATATATTAGTTTTAAATTTTATAGTGCAAATTGTGTAAAAGTACATACCTACATACTTAAATCCAAGATCTCTAAGCAACCGCCTTAAAGACGTGGCACTACCATCAAATAATGCCCTATCTCTTAATCGAGACCATAAAGTTTGTATCGTAACTTGTTCTTCTGAAACCATGTGTAATATGACATTATAATTTAGTTAACAAATTAATGCAAATTTCTGATAAGTTATTATAATAAGATCTTACTTTTGTGATACATATTATAGATCACTTCTCGAATGGCACTTGTATCCAATGTCGCTGTGTTGGTTACACGTTTAATATAACTTCGCTTTTTCTTGGGCGATTCTAAATTTGCATCACTTTTCACACCCTCGGAAATACGACTAACTGTCCTTAAACTAATTTTTAAAGCAGCAGCAACACGCTACAAAAAATGAAATAAAATTTCACTATTATTAATATACATTACATATAATTATTAGTAACCTACCTCTTGAACAGCATTTAAAGGCAACAAAGGCCCGTTGTTGTCCCTTTCTTGCTCAAAGTAGTGCATTAACGAGGCCACGAGTTCCTTACACCGACTATTTAACTGTTTGGGCATCTTTATATACCAAAATTGTCTTTATCTACTCGTAAAATGAATAACTTTGTTATGAAACAAACAGTTGTTGATTTACAGTATGCGGGGCCAAAGGATTTATAAAGATTTGAAATGCCACAAATTGATTCAGTGTCAAAATTAATACAAATGTCAGTTCCCAGTTTAAATAAGTTTCAAGGTGACAATGTGTCAACGCTGCGAAATCGGTTTAGTGCGTTTACATGTCGATAAGTGATTGGAGCGTTTGCAAAACATTTTATTTCGCATAATGCGTCTAAATTTATCAGAAAGCAACTTATGTGATATTTTAATAACAATGTTTATATGACTATTAACCATAATAAGAGAGTAATGACCATTTTACAATTTATATATCACATTAATATGAAACTGCAATAGAGCAATTGTTTGTGATAGAAACCTAGGCATTAGGTCGGGAATTTTTATCGTGATGACGTACACGCCCTTTGTTTGGCGTTGACTATATGTGGTTAGCCACGTACAACCAGAAACACAGCTTGTCAGATTCCTAACTAAAAATGGTCTTGGATGGTTCCTTGATAATATAGTTTACATGTTTCTCCCAAGTCATGTGTTTATCAATACTGACACCCGTGTTGCTCAAATAAGATATCAAGAGCTTAATGCTACTACCATAGAATTTGTAGTGCGACCATTTTTATTGACGAATATCGTGTTGCGAATCTTTACAGTTGCAAGAAATACCCGCAGTTGTCGATTTTGATGATGGAGGTCGCACGTAGACCGTAAAGAGTCTACTTTGTGGCTTACACTCATGATGACAACGACAGAGAGAGATGCCATATGCGCAGAACCAGAAAATCGTTTCCTGCGCAGTGTACTTACGAAAAAGCCCCGCCTTCGTATTCGACACTTTTGGCTTTACATCACTGAGTCTAACCGCATGCTGACTGCCCGGCGCTGCTTGATTGCTTTGAATAATATAATAGCTATTTATGTATCTAGGCCAGCGTTTCTCAACCTTTTTATTAGTTGCTACCCAATCTTCAATCTCAATTCTCGTCGCGTCGCCTTTAATTTTATATAATCGTAATTTAAGTTTAACTACGATCTTGAGAAGCACTTAAAAATTACCTACTACTAAAATCTGTTATTAAATAATAATAAACATTACCATACAACATGGCCTCTTTTTGTTATTCAATTAACATCTAAGATTCATAAAAAAATACCTGAAATAAACAAAATTTAATTCATATAACAGTTCGCGCCTCCTCGCTAGTTTTATCGTGCCCACTGAGGGGGCGCGTCCTATAGAGATTGCGAATCAAATATTGATCTAGGCGTAGCACGAAGCGCCGCGAGTTTAATATACATTCATCACGAATACAAAACGCCCGACGTTCATAAAAAAATCTATCTACTACTGGCTACAAGATAAGAATAACTTGAAACTTCATACTGGCTTTCTACTCCAGTCTAATCGTCATAAAAACAACCCTCAGCTTGTAGAGTAGGTAGGAGTTAGTCAATGATTTTTTTGACACTTCTGTTATTACATTCGTAGTTTGAGTGCTATTTTTTAAAAGTGCGAGTGTTTGTGGGTAATAGTGGTAGACAATTTCAAGACAAGCTACTTTTTATGTAATTTGCAGATAGCAGCACAAACCTAATGAAGGTAGATCTTTCCACCGGTAAGTATTATTACGTTGGTACAACGCTGACACTTTGGTAGGCATTGGTAGACAAATAAGTCAAAAGTATGCGCTAAAACTTGACGCAGCTTTGGCGCAAACATTGCAATGTAAACATACGTATACGAGGGCGGTTCAATAAGTACCCATGTTAGAAATGAAGACACCATTTTCTCCAAAAAAATTCTTTATATTTTTCAACGTTCCTGCCATTTTTTAAACCCCCAAAAAATAGGATTTGTCGAACTCTTCAAAATACGCCTGTCTCGTTTGAGCTAAATTTTTCCCGCGAGCCATTTCTTCATGTCAGGGAACAACAGAAAGTCGCAGGGGCCCAGATCGGGTGAATACGTGAGGTGCTGCAGAATTTCATGACGCAACTCATGCAGTTTGGCGGCGCCAACTTCGGATGAATGTGCACCTTCTTTTTCGTCAAATATAGCCGCGTCTGCTTCAATTATTTGTCGAAGCGGTCCAATAACTCACTATAGTATTGTCCAGTGATCGTTCTTCCCTTTTCTAAAAAATCCACGAGGATGACGCGGTTCGCATCCCAAAAAATCGTCGCCATGACCTTTCCGACCAATAGGACCGTCTTCGCCTTCTTTGGAGCAGATTCACCGGGATAAATCCATTGTTTTGATTGTTGCTTACTCCTTCGGATTTCGCTTAAATTGCTCCAAACACTGCTTCGAAGTTAACAGCCGCATCCGCTTGTTGTCCACCGTGAGTAAACGGA